ATGGTCCAGTGGCAACGTGTTGACTCAGGACACTTGGCTTGCGAGGATGAAGATAGGCTAGTATCATTAAAGAATTATTGAATCAAATACAATTTGCCACAAGTATCAACGGTGCCTAATGAAAAATACGAGGGCTGTTCAATAAATAATGTCCTCGGTGCTCGGACAGAAAAAAAAAAGTTTTTTAAATGATCTAGTCTTTATGATTTTACTTAAATATTCTCTTTTAATTAAAACACGTGTTTTAAACATTTTTATCCAATTTCTGATTGTTTTTGGAAAGCCTTTTTGAGTATGGCCCTTCGTATACTGGAATATGGCAGATCCTATGATTTCCTGATATATTTCTATTTGCTGACAAGGCCACTGTTCCAAGCTTGAAAGTGAAACAAGTCAGAGTTTCATCAATCTTGTTTGTCAATGATTTAGGTTTTAGACAATTTTTCAACAATAACTTTCTTGGTTATCAAAGCACCTTATACTCATCATGGCTTGTGGCTTTGGTATATTGTGATGAATGAATTTAATGTTATCATAGATTCATGGTTGCTGATTCCTTCCTCTCATAAACCTTTATTTTTTTCAAAAAATATCCAAGTGCTTGTGTCAGACTCCTCCAGAAATTGAACTGCCTCCCCGAATAAACATTTCAACAACAAGGAAGTAATATTTAAGAAAATAGCATACAAAACTGTTGTTGTGCTCTTGCAATTCTTTGCTTTTCTCAGACCTTGGCTGTTTGTGTCAAGTGTATCTTATTGTAAATTTGTTTTGAGGGTTTAAAGCAATGGATTCACGTTTCATTATCTGTTTGAATTTCAGACAAACGTGGATAACTAGAATTTTTGACTTTTCAAAATAATTGGTTAGATATTCTTTCTCATTTTTCAAAATATAGGGTAACCATTACTTAAGAAGTTTTTTACAGTTATATGTTTCTTTAAAACAGTGTAAACTACCCCCAAAATGATGCCTATCAATTTTGCTACGTGTCTTAAAGGCAGTCAGACATCATCAGTGATATTTGTTGAATTTTGGCAAACAGTACATTGGTTGTTGTAAGTCTGTCGCCAAGGACGGTACCCATTTTTGATGCCCATTATATCAATTTTATTGATTGAAATCCACCTGTTCATGTGTCAATAAAACAAAAATTGGTTGCTGTAAATTTCACATATTTCAGTTAATATTTCTTAGGGATTCCTAACGAGTTTAACAGCAGCTTTCATGAAGCGTTTAATTACATTCTAGTTCACTGATTCTTTTCCATTCATTTATAATGCAGTGTCTCGAATAGCCCTTGTTGTTCAGCTTCTCACAGTGAAACTATGTGGTGAAAAGTGGTCATATAAACTGCAATCAATTCATAAAAGATTCAATCATAAGAGAAAGTCAAGCTTAATGTCATAGGATTTCTATTTTGTATGTCATAGAGCTCAGGACATTATTTATTGAACAGCCCTCGTATGGAGATAACGAACAGTATTCAAGATAGAAAATCCATAAAACAATACAAAATAGGAGCAGAGCAAACACGGACCTCCAAAACTTTAGAGGTGATATCAGGTGTCATGGAAGAGTGAGCATCCCATGCCGACTGCTCGTTGTCTTGATCGGGAAAATCCGTCGTCAATTCATTGTATAAACAATGGACTAACAATTAGTAAGAAAAACGTCAGTCAGCATTTGACTCAATGATATATTGTATTTGCTGACAAGGCCACTGTATAGAACTTAGACTGCTGACATTCTTGTTTCATCAACTTGTTTGTCAATAATTTACATCGTTTTAGAAATTTTTCATACGTAGAGCATGCTCTTGCGTATCAAAGCCCCTGAGATATACGAACTATATCATCGTATTGACCTTAAAATAGCAATATTTGTATAATTTAATGAGATCAACATATCATCAACTGATTCCCAATTAAGCTATGCATGGTGAGCGTATAAAATTTCAACTTTAATTCACAATGGGTCATTCTTCTACGGGGGTCATTTTTCTTCACGTGGGGTGTGCAATTTTTAAGGGTGATGGCACTTTTTCTAGGGGCAAAGGGATCATTTTTCGACGTCGAATAATAACCGGGGGTCATTTTTCGACGGCGAAACATGACCCCCGGTCATTATTCCATGGGGGTCGTTATTCGTCTTTACACCGGATAATTAACTCGCTCTGTACTGGACAATAACCTCTCTTCAACACAAACATACTTACACACACGGATAGACGCATGTTATGATTGTATGGTTGAAACAAAATGTAGTAAAATCTTGAAGGAAATGAAGACTTGTTAAACTAATGACAGGGAATTAAGTATTTCTCAATATACTGGTAACTTAAAATTATTTTGATGATACATTTTGCAGTATCATCATAATCGACAAATCTCTTAAGATTTGAAAAACTGCTAGAATGGAGGTTTCCTTTCTTTCTTCTTTTTTTTGTTTTGTTTGTTTGTTTGTTTGTTTTTTTTTTTGATTGCCTCGCCGTCTATAGGATTAATCATTAAAATATATTTTTGGCCACGTGCACTGCTTTCACAAAGTGGGGAATATTAATTTTGGTCTCTGTCCGTCCTTCTGTATTTTTGTCTGTCTTTAACACTTTTCCGCGCGATATCTTGAAAAAAGTTTGGAATAAAATTTTACTATAGCAATTTCGTATGGCCTAAGGATGACGCCTATTAATTTTGAGGTCAAAAGGTCAATGGTCAAGGTAATAAATTCATAAATTCTATCTATGGCACGCCAAATTCACAAAAATGTTTTTCAACATTTTTATCGATTTTTACGGATTGTAAACTATAGTTAACAACGTTAATATATATTTTACATCCGTAAACCGTAGTTAACGCGATAATCTATGTTTCACAACCGTAAACTATACTTAACACTGAAAACAATTTTGCGATTGCAAAACATAGATTTGCAAACTATAGTTTACAAACCGTTAAATTTTGATAAAGATACTTTCACGATTTGTGAAACTTTTCAACTCTTAACTACTTTAAGTATAGTTTACCTATATTTACAAACGTGAATCTATGTTTATCAACAAAATCTATTGTTAACGCTTTTATAGACAGATAAACTTAGATTATCATTCGTAAACTATAGTTAACATATATTACGTGTGTTACTGTCTTTAACTATAGTTTACGGTTTGTAAACTATACTAGTAGTTTACAGTCTACAAACCTAGTTTATCAAATGTGAAACTAGGTTTATCTCATTTTTGTGAATTTGGCGTGCAATATCTATCTGTTTTAACACTTTTGTTTTTGCGCGTTATCTTGAAAATTAAGTTTTTGAGCTTTTGCAGTTAAATTTTATATAATTTTCCAAATGATTTCCTAATTTCCTAATGAAGACCCCTATTTATTTTGAGATCAAAGAGAAAGTAAATTCTTATATTGCGTGTGTGTGTAAAATTTTCCTTTCCGGGCGAATCTCAATTTCTACCCCCCTCCCCCTTGATCCTCACATGCTCCTCTTTTTTTCCTTATGCTTGGTACATAGATTTTCTGAATTAGCTTGTTGTAGACAGTCATTCACAAACCTGATAACTAATTTATTGAATATATTTTCATCTATATCTCGTAAATAACATATACAGCATTACGTAATGTATATATACATGATGGACAGCTAGACCGACGGACAGACATACAGACCGAAATTAATTTCTCCCACTTTATAAAAGCGGGGGTAAAAAATTGAAACTACGAGTTCTCTGTTACAATGCTGTCGATTTTATAGGAATCTCACTCAATTTAGTACATCAAATTCAAACAGAATGTTTAATTCTAACTTGTCGGGTTTTATTAATGTAATACACATGTCATAGACTACACAACAACTATTACATTAACACTATTTATGCCATCCACATAATTTTTTGTCAACATACAACACTATGTTAGGTCAAGATAACTATTTCAAATCACGGGGAAGCTCTAAACACTAACAAAAGGTGCTTTTTGGACTTGGAGAAAAGTATATATATATATATATATATATATATATATATATATATATATATATATATATATATATATATATATATATATATATATATATATATATATATATATATATATATATATATATATATATATATATATATATATAGTATATATATATATATGTTACATAAAAGTCTGCATATTGGGATTATTGGGCTAATTTTCAACATAGAGTACTTGTCTTACATGTATTTCCACAAGAAAAATGTTCAGAGACAATGGGCTACTCGTAAGCAGAAATCATTGTTGTTTACTTGCATATAGGGAAAATTAATGAAAAAAAACGAATTCATTTACTTATTCTTGGTCTAATATAATGCTAAGAATAATTTGATGTATTACAAATTGTGTAATTAACCCCATTTTTTCTCTGTATTCTAAGGGCAGAACACTCTAACTGCATAAATAGAACTCTCTAGTGTCTAGTGTTTAAAACTTCCTTAAATAATAAATATGTAGCTGAATGTAATGATTAATGTACTGTATATGATTATATGTTCAGGTTTTAAAGCACCATATATCATTTGAAACATTCGTATATACAAAATAAATTGAATAAATTGAAAAAAAAACCTTTAAATGCTCTGTTTACCACGTTTATGTACATTTGAACACAGTTATGATGAAGCGTGCCAAGATTTGTTTTAAATGAATATAGAAGACATGTATCGAGCTTTTATCAAATATGAATACATGCTCTTGTTTTGTACACCTATTCAGAATATTAATTGTTTTAATTTTAAGATGTTTTCGATAATACTTGATACATATAGAAACACTTATTATCATGCGCGTGCATTTAATTCTCTGCTATCTGTTAATCTTGGATCCATTGTCAACGATTTGAATCCTTGTGTTATCATTTTATCAAATATATTGAGGTCTAATTGTTTTAAATGTCTAAGTCTCGCCATGTGATAAAACTACCCAAACTTAAGTTTGAGCATTAGTGCGGTATACGCAATGATTTAATGAACAATTTTCAAATTTTACGGAAAATGGACGGACAAGTTTCCGTTCTTTTCTGTATGTGTTTCTTGATAAGTGGAATAGATGCAAGAAGAAAATTTATTGACTTCAAGCCAGGGTATGAATATGTGTACAGTTTCAGTGGATATTCGAATGTCAAAGACCTGGGAAAGTTCATTGTCAGTGCAAAGGTATTTTTTTTAAGAAAGGCATAAAATTCTGGATTGAAATATATGATAAGTCCAAGTATATATACATGTATTTATATCTGATGCAAATATCTATCGATTATAATTCAATTCATTCATCATGTTCATCTTGTAACCATGTTATATACTAATGAAGAACATTACAAAATTTTTGTGTGTTAAATTCGTCTTATTTCGGTAATGTTTATGGACAAAATTATTATTTTTATTATGTAAATCCGAATCGAGTTTTTAAAAAAAGGTTCCTATTTCCATATACGTTTCGAGTTAATTAAGCAACAAAAGTGACCTTGACTTTGAACCCAAATCTTACAAGAAACACAGAAGCCTCGGAATTCGCTGCCAACTGAGAGGTCCGTGTTTCCTATGCCTATAGGTCCCAGGAGTGGTCAATGTCATTTCTGTTATCATCTAACTCTAAAAAAATCACCTATATTTATCAAAGATTCTTGAGGACACCCCCCCCCCCTTCGATATAAATCCGTGGGCCTTTTCGACTGTTGAAAACTAAAATTATCTTTCAATGACATATTTGTGATAAAATCTATCCCAACAAAAAAAATTACCTAAAAAAAAACAAACGCTTTATAAAATCTGTCGAACATTACTTTTCGCGAGCCGAAGGTTTTTTGTCCGATTCAATGTGGGTTAGTTGGGAGTGAAGTGGACCGAAAACCAGTTTCTGGAGAGTGAAGCGGACCGCAAACCAGTTTCTGGAGAGTGAAGCGGACCGAAAACCCTTGGCTTGCGAAGATGCCGTACATTCTAAAATATATTTAGAGTGGGGTAGAAATTTTTATAAAATGTTTGTTTTAAGCAAATTTTCTGAATTGATAGAATAGAATTACAGCTGTAGATCTATATCACAAATGCGTCATCCATATATAATTTATGTGAAAAAAAGTCTGAAAAGGCCCCGGGGGTCTATATGGGGGGGGGGTGTCCTAAAGCACCTGTGATATTTATGAACCCAAAAGCGAATTTATTAACCCCCCAGACCAACCTGGAAAACAGTTTTCGTCGTCATTTGGAAAAGACCTTTTTTAAATTTGATTGGGAACGTATTTCTGGGAGAGTTTTGGGAAGGGGGGATGGACTCCGATCCTCGATCAATCTTTGGAAGAGACATAAATATCAGGAAAAGAAGTTATATTTTTAGGTTGACCATATTCCCCCAGCTAGCTTCCCTCCCTAGAAACGTACGCTGACTCTTCCTCGAAAACGCGGATCTTTGTTAATTTGGTATGAAAAGTCATAAGTATGAAGCTTTAGACAACTACTCAATTCAATTTATAATTCCCAAACCATGTGAATGGTACATGAGCTAGGTACAGAAACATGCATATAAAACAACATAATTATATACATACATCATACATGTATAATACAGCGGGTCAAGCAGAGGGTGCTAGCTAAGAAAAGGCCATACTAAATATTATTTAGTAATAAATGTACATTTTTTTCAAAGAATCAACATCATTTTGGCACATGACTTCACAAAACTTGAAAATACTTCGATAAGAAAAAGGTTTTTGGTTCAAATAATCTTTCCAAATATATTAATGATGAATCGAAAATAATTATGAGGTATGCTTGTCTCGGTCATAAATTATGTTACAAAAATGCCTAATTGCTATATTCCTATTTCTGTAAATATTGCTATATATATATATAACACGCTCATTTGGATCCGCGCACATGCCATTGTCAACAACCAATGAAATCGTTAGTGTCAGCGCGGGAAACTAATGTGATGCTGCAATGTTTACAAACATGAACTTGGATCGGTAAGAACCTGAGGCATCTGTCCCTATCCCTACTTTAACAAGAGTTCGTATAAAAAATCTTGATCTGATTTAGAAGTTTTGTATTTTGACAAGCAAACTTATGATTATAATAGGGCCTATGTTTTTCACACTGATGTTCTATGATAATCTATGGCTAAACATTGTTAAAAATGAAAGTTAACGCTTGAGCGAAGGAGTGCAGTGTGTTTGAGATATATTTACAAATTATGGGGCTCCTACTTAACCATTTCATATGTCAAAAAAGAGGAAGTAGGCATGTACATAAGTTACTGTTAAGGTCCATATTCGTGATGAAGTGTCGATATTTATGCCCTCCCTCGAAGAAGGGAGGGCATGTTCATGATGTTGCTTTGGTGTTGTCTGTCTGTCGGTGTACCATCAGTTTCTGTTTATTTTCTTCGAAGAGGTTGAACATATAGAAATGAAATTTGGTATACAGATTTTTCATAAGAATATCTAAGTCAAGTTTTTGTTTTGGGTCCGATCAGGCCATTTTTGACAAAGTTATGCCCCTTGGACTTTGAAAAATTCCAATTATTTGCAGTTTCTGTTCATTAATTTCCTTTGCAGAGGTTGCTCTGATTGAAATTAAATTTGGTATACAGATTTATCATGAGAATATCTAGGTCAAATTCTGTTTTGGGTCGAATCATGCCATTTTTTACAGAGTTATGCCCCTTGGACTTTGAAAAATTCCAATAAATTTGCCGTTTCTGTTCATTTTCTTCGCAGAGGTTGCACTGACTATAATGTAATTCAGTATACTGATTTATCATAAAAATATCTAGATCAGATCTGTTTAAGGTACGATTGAGGCATTTTCTACTAGGGATGGGTATCGCTAAAAATTTCGTATCGCGATATATCACGATTTTTTCCCAAAATATCACGATAATATCATGATATTTTTACAAGCAATTTTTACAAAGATTTTTAATGAATTTTCATTATTTTTCTTAAAATATTCTAGAAAAACAAAATTTCGCTTTTTTGAAATTTTTATGTACATAAAATTAATCATGTTTGGATGGTAAGATGCCATTCTTTCCACCTTTTACAACATTTTTTAGACTTTCTATGATTGTAATTTGGAAGATTGAACAAATAAATGAATAATTTCTGGACTTTATAATATGTACCTGAATACCGGTATTTAGGTCTCTGTATCACGATACGTATCACGCAACAAAAAATCGCGGTATACCGGTATATCGATAAAATCACACATCCCTATTTTCTACACAGTTATGTCCCTTGCATTTGAGGGAGTCTCAGGGCATAAGTACAAACATCTCCTGTTCGAATTTTACTTAGGATAAAAACATTACTAGGCTGGGCAATTGCCCATAGATATAGTGATACTCTGATGTGCGTGGCACTGATCCAGTTTATTTTTTTCCTTTGTTAAAAATTTTATAGGTAAAGAAAATATTAAGGTTTAAAATGTAACATATATTATGATCGGATCAAACACCCTGTATGTCCCTGAGGCTATTAGCATAGCTTGAAGTAAAAACTAAAAACCGAAAGTTCAAACAGCTGGTTAAATTATGCCCAAATGTTCATTGGCATAAAGAAGAGAAAATTTGTTTCATTCCCTTTGTAAAGGGACTAACTTTTAAATGGTCGTTAAACAGCAGAGTGTGGATAAATGATTACATAAAATATTTAATCATTCATTTCAGTTCCCTCAAGTTGCTCACACTGCAAAACTTGCCAGTTACATGTATATAGTTGCAAGTAATTTGTAAATGTATATGATTCAATAATGAAAAAATCTGCTAAAAAATCTACATGTATCAACTGATATCAACACAACTTTGATTTTTAGGTTGGTTATATCAACATCAGACAAACGACCGATGGCCAAGAGCTTGCTCTGAGAGTACATGCCTTTCACTTCTCATCCGCCAAAGATCCAAGTAAGCTTCTAGTATTTACACTATAATGAAAAGATATTCTTGTGATAATAAATTGCATACAGAGAAAATATGTAAAACATTGACTTACAAGCTAGTGCATAAACTACATGTCTTTTCGGTATTTAAGGTTATACACATGTATACATGTGAACTAAAATAAACAGTAACAAATTTTGATCACACCAGGGCTCCCACTGGACCAAAAATATTTTTCGCCACTTTTCGTGACAGAAGGAAAGGCATACTTACCACTGCTTACATCTGATTTCTCGACAATGCAATGCACTTTATGTTATTCATTTTTTTTATTATCTTTATCATAGACATTGATTTAAAATTGTAATGTTTAAAGCTTATGGTAGTATCCATTAAAAAAAAAACTAATGTTGGAATCATAAATTAATTTTATATTAATTGATATCAGCCAACTCTTGACAGAAAATGTCCTCTAGTTTATATATATTTTTTGCCTGGGAAGGGAAGGGGGGGGCTACAGACCTAGAAAATATATCTGACATTTTTTAAAAATGGAAATTTTCATCATTTCATTAATTAAGAAAAATGAGAAAAGAAGTATACTTAAAAAGTAATGAAAATTAGGTTTAAAACTTGACTTTATTTATAACAACTTGGAGACTCCAGGGTTTAATATGCAAGCTCATGTAATTGCAAATAATTCAGTGTAATTAACTAAGACAATTCTGTTTCCAAACCAATTTCTTTTTCACTCTTTGTCAGTTTATGGTATAATGTGCACATTTACAATTTTCATTAGGTAAAATTTGAAGCCATTGTTTACAATTTTCGTTCATCATGTTTCCCTATTTTCGGTTAAAAAAAAAAACGATCTACATAGATCCAGAGTTTGTTGATAAAAATCTTTTATTTACTAACTTCATCTCCCAATAACACTTTATCCCCCCTTGTTTAATCCAAATTATATTATTTCAAGTAGTTATGTAACCCTTTATTGCTCCAGGCTAGTTACCTAGTCAGCTGTGTTCGTTCAAGCGAGACATGATTCCCTACATGTAGGTTTCAGTTTTCACACCTCTGCTGCATTAAATAAACAAGAGGACTTATCTGTATACATTGAATAAATAAAGGAGCTAAACCAGGACTACACAAATTTTGTACATGGTACATCTAAAAAATTCATTTTCCCCACTTATGAATTTCTTTTCGCCACTTTTCAAAAAAATTCGCAATTGGCGACAATGGCGAATCACAGCTCGAGCACTGGATCACACACAAAATGTTTTTGTTATCCTATTACAGTAAAACATGATTATAATGAAGTTCTAGTAAGCTTCAATTTATAATAAGCATGTTTTACTGAATGTAGTATGTAATTACCTTAATTTAAGAAAATGTTAATCCTGCAATGAAAATTTGTTTTTACACTTTGTAGATATCCATGGAGCAGACTTGGATTTTTCAAAATGGTAAGAGTGTGAATGGGTCAATTTACCCTAAGCATATTGTTAGCTAGAGTCAGAATTTTGACTTCATTTCTCTGTGAATGTCTATGGCATGAATAGATAGTCTATTCAAGACTGGACCCAATTTAAACCTGGTCAACTTCTTTAAGCAGCTTCTTTAAGTAGTATGCAATACAGGCTGTTAAAGGGGGAGGAAATAAGCACCTCCTTTAAATTTACCTGGTTTTAGAACCTCTGTCAATCATCTGAAATTAAGCCTGGGATTGGATACTTTGATTTGATTGACATTTAGTTTGCTGCTGTTGTGTATATCTTGTGTACCTTGTCTGGAGATCGAACCGACCATCGAATTAACTTTCAGACTTTTGATGCCTACCGCACTGTATGCCAACATGATAAAGAAGCAATCAAATCGTTCTTTTCTTTTTTAATTCATAAGAATATGCCATGAATATAATCAATCTATCAAATAATTAAATAAATGACAAGAAAATCATGGCTATATAATATATATTATAAAATTAATTTTAAAAGGGAGGATTTCGTATCACGATTACAATCGATAATTTTAATTTCCGTGTCAAAACATGAGTTAATGTACATTTATTCCTCCATTAATTAGCAAAATAAACCGACCTGCATTTGAAGCTAGTATCATGGAATTAAATAAAATTATTTTTTAAAACAAGTATGACAACATTGTAACATTGTTCATGAGTCAAGCGAATTTATATTTATAAGACAAACTTGCGTTTTCTTCGAGACATGGTGACCAAATTACGGTGTAATTATAAGTTTTAGAAGAGAAATTACTCGGAATTTAACATCTTGCGTTGTTTTGTATTTAATATTTGACATTAATAATGAATTCCTAAAGAAAATAAAATGATGCAGATGATTCCATTCCCGCTTCATAGCTGTCGGGGAATCAACCCCAACCATACGTTATGGAAAAATCAAGTAGGGTTTATCTTAAAAAGATATTTATTTAGACAATAATATTTCTACTTAACATTTTATTCTCAAAACATCGATTCTAAGTTTCATTCTTATTTACGTAGAGACTGTTTTATGATTCACTTTCTTCTTTCGATTTGCGTAGATGACGTGTAATTTGAATTATTTACTTCCCTTTTTGTCGCCAGATTACAACGACAGATTTTGATGCTAAATGTATTTTCGTTATTACACTTCATTAAGAAACATACTGTATGTAAAAAAAAAATGTCGAATTATTAAAAATATTAATTATTTTAAAAGAAAGAAATAGAGAAGGATTCTGTCTGCAACAAAAAATGCTTTATTTCGCATTTCAATTCATGAGCTAAACATGAAAAAAAAAAAACGGCCTCGGTTTACAAAGTCGTAGGAAAACACATACAGGTAATACACTCAGGGTCTCAGGTAACATCCTGTGTATATAGGTAGTATACACAAACCAGCGTCGTTCCCTCGGGGGCTTCTCAGCCGCTTCGATTAAGCTCCACCCCACACCAAACTTACCTGAGGAAAACCGTACGGTTGAAAACCTCGGCCTTTAAGAATTGATTCAAGCCACTGTATACATGTATTACTGATTCCAGTTCTGATCTGTCAATTTTAACTTCTTTATTAATTTTTTTTCTTTAATTTGTCCACCTAGAACATAATACTCATATTTTGATATCCTATTTTTGGTAAGCTAAGTATGCAAGCTGTAAAACGTTTTGTACGAAGATGGATATAGTGAATTTATACACATAGAAAATATTTTGGAGATCCTCATCAAAATATTTTATAAAAGTTTGACAGTTATAATAAATACTGATATAACAAGTTTAAGGATATGGCAAACAGATTTTTATCCCATACAGATAAAAAACAAAAAAAAAAAAAAAAACAACACATTTATATACCCGGTATTTTAAAACAAATTTACAACAATCTTAGACTTGAAAATATTAAACTGACATTATTTTTCATCATGTTCATACAGTGTATGTACTTATACTTAAAATTTAAATTTGAAATTTAAATGTTTTGCAAACTTTACTGTTTTTACCTCAGTTTGTATTTAATAGGTAAAATACAAATATTTCTGTTGGGATAAGATGCTTCTGTATAATATTTTTAAGGTTCTCATTTGTCATCTCTGGAAATGGGGAGATAACTCAAGTATACCATGCAGCTGATGAAGATGCTGAAGTGATTTCTACAAAGAAAGGCTTTGCTGCTTTGTTTGCATCCAGACTGCATGACAAAAATGAAGTAAATTTCTTTCATGTTGAGAAATTCCATTTTCCTGCCTGTAATTTTTGTTTTTGATTCTCATTGCTAGTCTTTTTGTCATAGGTTCCAGGAATTGTTCAGAAAGATTTCTTCACATATAAAGTCACAGAAAAGGGCCAAGAGGGTAAATATATATTTAGAGGAAATTTTAACCAATTTTTTCTTACAGGAAGTTGCTAAAACAAAGGTTTTTATCATGCAAAGAACTTTTATGGTAGTTTCATTTGATGTCATGAATGCTTTGATTTAAGGTGAACACAATGCTACGTACAATGTCTCAAAGTCAGACACAGGTCTGAAGTTCCAGAAGATCAGGCACAATCATCCTGTTAAAAATGCCAGAGCTAATTATGAGAAGGTAACACTTAATTTTACACTTTTTAATTTTTTTACAAAGTGTGTGCCAAGTTTATATTTGTTGTATTTTATATATGTTTGTCTTATGATTTTATCAGGTGCTCTATTACCATGACTCACTTGGAACTGTACATAAGGTGGACATCACTGAAGATTTTAAGTCGCCCAAATCACCACCAGGGTATGTTTGAGAGCACTTGTATGATATATGTCAGGAATGTTGTACCCGGTACATATTTTGATTTAATACATATGAAACTGTTGCCTTGAAGATAATTCAACTGTTCTGTTTATTTATTAGCAATGCATGTTAAAATTTCTAGGTTTGATCCATACATTGGGATGAGGAACATTCCATCAATGAGTAAATTGGGAACTATAGGTATGCATGCATACTTTAGATTTACTATTCAATTTTATCATTCATTTTGAGAGCAATGCATTTTCTTCTTTTAACTTTTTTTTTTTTTCTTGAATGTATACATGTTCCATTCTGGAAAAGGGACTTTAAGAATTACTCTGTTCACCTTTAATAGTATTATAGGAGATATTTAATTTCTGCTTTGTAAGAACTAAAATTCATCATGCATTCACTGCAGCCTCCCCAGAGATGAGCTATACAAGTCAGGGTGGACTAATATTCCTACACAGAGAACTCATGAAAGAGAAGTGGAAGAAGCCATCTGGAAAGTTGGTCACTGCTGGATTAGAAACCCAACAGGTTGTGCAATTGTGCAATTATGATAGAACAATATGTGAATTCCTTCAATTTGAAAACTATTTAAAAACAAGATTAAAACCCTGTTAAAGAATATTTTAATGATCAAATATTTTTCTGTTTTGATGTTTCAAGAAATTTATAGGTTTTACAAGTGTTTTACAAGTTGATTGGATAATTTTCTTGTCAACAGATGGAAGAAAGGACAGGAACCTATAAAAATATCTCAAAGGCAAAAGAAGAAATTTATGGAAATGTAACCTGTTTGCAACTTCATACAGAAGGTAGGAAATCAAAAGGCTAGATACAAAGCCATCTTTATGTGTTCCTTTTCTTTGTATTTAGATCTAGGAAAGTAAAATGTGCAGAAAATTGTTGAAAAAAATAAACATTAATTTTTAGCCACAGTATTTGGAGGTTGCTTTCAAAACATTGTCAAGATTCTGAAACAGCTACCAGAGGATGGTCTAAACCATTTAGCAGATCATCACTTCTATTCCTATACTAAGCAGTAAGTTAATAATTAGAATCCCTAGCTGTTAGCATGATAAGATTATTTTGTCATTTTTAAGTAAGAGTTTTATAATTGGTGCATCACGAATTGAGTTTAAATTTTTTTCCCCTGAAAAGAAATGCATTGGAAAAAGAGGTGTCAGGATATATTGTTGATGCTTTTGGAGTGTTGGGAACAAAGTGGACACAAGAACAGTTCGCTTTGAAAATACTGAGAAACCCAGATCCAAACTCAGATCTTGTAAAGAGGGTGCTAACCCACATTATTGCAGATGAAAAAGCACCCAGTGAGGTAAATATACTTCACATTACCATTCATTAAATCAAAACTTTACTCGATTGTTACATAATTAGCCATGAAAAATGTGAATTTTTAAGATTTTGGATACAAATTTTATAAGCATTAAACTTTATTCCCGAAAATATAATTATCTTCAAAAAATGTCAGGAAATACTACTTAATAGCATCTGGATTTTTACGCTGTTTCTGTTTCTTGTAGTTTTCATTCTAAAGCATAACTTATGCACTCTATTTTATCATTTATTCTTGCAATGTCATATTACGGGTTCATGACCTAAAGTTTTGTGATGTTTTGAAGGTGTTACTGAAGACACTAGAAGAAGTGGTATTCAGAAGAGATAAATACCCTGAGTCTCTATACAGTGGAGATGTTCACAGTCGTCTGATGTTGACAATGGGGGCAGTGTGTCAGAGGCTAAAACAGGAAGGACAGTCAGACAGGGCACATAGCATCATTGACCGAATCCATGATCAACTTGGGATGCATGGTCAGTCCTTAGATTCCTCTTTGATAAAAAGCGTACAGTGTAATTAATGGAACATTATGAGATAATGTAAGAAATTAAGAGGTTGTGGGCCATTCGTGCATACAAGTAAGAATTACCAGGTTTCTGGAAGGCCCTTGAAAGGGAAATCTCAAATTACTAGAATAATTAGCTGTCAGAGAAAGTTAATGATACCACTGAATGAAAACTACAAATGCTATCTGTGGGACTTTCAGATCCCTGGGAATACCGCAAGAAGAGATCCCTGATGTCGGAGGCTGTACGTTCCATTTATGATCAACACAAAGTGATTCTTCTGGAGGCCCTGGGCAATGCTGGACTGGATCACTCCTACCATTACATTGTGTCCCACATCAACAGCTCCAACTCCCCCTGGGTCAAAAGAGCAGCCTGTCATGCTCTGAGAAAATATGGTCACAAACAGGTAAAGATGAGGCTTTCTTTTTTAATTCTTAGACCTTTTGTCCTCATCTATAGCTTTCTACTTTTGTCTGTAACATTTTGTATTAAGTAAACCTTTGCACCGCTTGTTTTGATTGGGGTTGACATAGACCTATGTCTGGTACTTTATAATTCTACTTCAAGGTAACATTACATAGATCAGACCTGGGGTCAATTACTTTGAAATGTTATGCATTACAATTACTATTAATTATTTTCATATGAAGAATAGTTCAAGTTTTATTTTTTAAAAAATGGCAAAATACAACACATATTTTGTGTGAATATTTTAACTCATTTCCAGGCTTCAGAAGTCTTACTGCATTCTGCACTGCATGATGAAAACCAAGAAGTTCGATATGAAGCATCTCTGTTGTACATGGCTCATCCCCATGGCAAGGTGATTGCCCCAATAAATGGAAGGTAGGTCTTCATATTTATAGTAAAATAATCTGTAAATAAATATGACTTTCAACCATTTTCAAAACCAATTTTTAGAAGAATTTTTATAAATCAACTTTTTTTTTTTTTCGGAAACAGGGACGTCAGTGACCCGTATAATGCAGGGATAGAACTGCTGGATTTTTCCCATGATCGCATCAGGACCAAACGCTCCTCCCCCGACAAGAGATTCAAAATACATGCCACCAATGTTGACTGGAGGAAAATGATAGGTTCCCCTGATGTAGGGGCATCTTTTGGAGTTGTATTGAAGAACACATTGGATTTGAAAATTGGTAAACTTCTTTTCTTCTGTATTTGTTGAAAAATAGAAAAAGAAGCAAAATTTGTATTGAAAGCAAATTCCTTGTTTGTGTTTTTAGCCCCTCTCACAAGTGAGATGTCTTTGGAAGTGCATGATGAATCGTATGCTAGAATTCACTTGGGAAATATTGGAGTGAACATGGACTTTTTTGTAGCCAGAATCTGTTTCAAAGGAGGATCTACATACAACATCAACATTTTAAAGGTTTTTATACCCCCTGCAAACGAAGTTTGGGGGGGTATATAGGAATCACCTTGTCTGTCTGTCTGTCTGTCTGTCCGTCCGTCTGTGCAAACATGTCCGGTCCATATCTTTCTTACGGAGGGACATTAGAATCTACTACTCTACACAAAGATTGCCCATGACCTAAGGGTGTGTCATGACCTTGACCAAAGGTCATTTGGGGAACTTCAAGGTCACTGGAAGAAATATTTCATAATTTGTGTCCGGTCGATACCTTTCTTACGTATAAACTTGGTAGGTTCTCATTTCACACAAAGATTGCCCATGACCTAAGGGTGTGTCGTGACCTTGACCCAAGGTCACTTGGGGAACTTTAAGGTCACTGGAAGAAAAATTTCATAATTCGTGTCCGGTCGATACTTTTCTTACGTATAAACTTGGTAGGTTCTCATTTCACACAAAGATTGCCCATGACCCAATGTGTGTCATGACCTTGACCCAAGGTCATTTGGGGAACTTCAAGGTCACTGGAAGAAAAAATTCATAATTGGTGTCCGGTCGATACCTTTCTTATGGATAAACTTGGTAGGTTCTCATTTCACACAAAGATTGCCCATGACCCAAGGGTGTGTCATGACCTTGACCCAAGGTCATTTGGGGAACTTCAAGGTCACTGGAAGAAAAAGTTCATAATTCATATTTGATACATATCTTTATTATGGAAAAACTTACTTCTGAGAAACCCAGTGTTTTTGTAGTTTTCAGTTCTAAAGCTCACCTGAGCCGAAGGCTCAAGTGAGCTTTTCTGATCACATTTTGTCCGGCGTCCGTCTGCAATCTGTCCATCTTCTGTCTGTCCACTCTAAATTTTTCATCATTTTCGACTTCTTCTCAAGACCCGCTGGGCCTATTTCAACCAAACTTGCCACAAAGCATCCTTGGGTGAAGGGGATTCAAATTTGTTCAAATGAAGGGCCAAGCCCTCATTCAAGGGGAGATAATTGGGAATTAATGAAAATTTGGTGGTATGTTTTAAAAATCTTCTTCTCAAGAACCACTGTGCCAGGAAAGATGAAACTTATGGTGAAACATCCTCAGATAGTGTAGATTCAAGTTTGTTCAAATCTTGTCCCCCGGGGGTAGGGCGGGGCCACAATGGGCGACCAAAGTTTTGTATAGAAATATATAGGAAAATTCTTTAAAAATCTTCTTCTTAAGAACAGCAAAGCCATGATTGCCCATATTTATATGGAAGCATCCCCAGGTAGTGTAGATTCAAGTTTGTTCAAATCATGACCCCCAGGGGTAGGGCGGGGCCACAATGGCCGACCAAAGTTTTATATAGAAATATATAGGAAAATTCTTCAAAAATCTTCTTCTCAAGAACAGCAAAGCCATAATTGCTCATATTTATATGGAAGCATCCCCAGTTAGTGTAGATCCAAGTTTGTTCAAATCATGACCCCCGGGGGTAGGGCGGGGTCACAATGGCCGACCAAAGTTTTATATAGAAATATATAGGAAAATTTCTTTAAAAGTCTTCTTCTTAAGAACAGCAAAGCCATGATTGCCCATATTTATATGGAAGCATCCCCACAAATGCTAGTTTGTTTTCATGACCCCGGGGAATAGGGCAGGGATCCACAATGTCGGAGGCTGTACGTTTTATATAGGAATATATAGGAAAATTCTTTAAAAATCTTCTCAAGAACAGCAAAGCCATAATTGCTCATATTTATATGGAAGCATCCCCAGGTAATGTAGATCCAAGTTTGTTCAAATCATGACCCCCGGGGGTACCATTCACAATGGCCGACCAAAGTTTTATATAGAAATATATAGGAAAATTCTTTAAAAGTCTTCTTCTTAAGAACAGCAAAGCCATGATTGCCCATATTTATAGGGAAGCATCCCCAGGTAGTGTAGATCACAAACATGACCCCCGGGGGTAAAGATGATGGCCTACCAAAGTTTTATATAGAAATATATAGGAAAATTCTTTAAAAATCTTCTTCTCCTCAGCAAAGCCATAATTGCTCATATTTATATGGAAGCATCTCCAGGTTGTATTAAGTTTCTTCAAACACGACCCCTGGGGGTAGGGCAGGGCCGCAATGTTTTATATAGAAATATATATGAAAATAAAAAAAAACTTCTGTCTCAAGAACAGCAAAGCCATAATTGCTATATTTATATGGTAAGCATCCCATAGTGTAGATCCTGGTTTGTCAATTGACCCCCGAAATGTTATGCAGGCCCACAATGGCCGATTAAATTTTATATAGAAATATATTCAAAACTTTTAAAAATTTTTTAAAAAAAAGCCATAATACTCATATTTATATATGGATTTGTGTGAATATTTTAACTCATTTCCCCCATGGCTTCAGGGCCAAACTTTTGGATTTAAACTTTTCATAGTATGAAAACCAATTTCTACTTTTTCCTTGTCACAATGCTCGGGTGAGCATGTGCTCATCCCCATGGCAAGGTGAACATTGCCCCTGTGTCGCATTTACTAAAAAGGTAACATTGCCCTAGTGTCTTTACAAAAAGGTTTATAGTAAAATTGCTTTGTAAATAAATGTAACTTTCAACCATTTTCAAAACCAATTTTTTAGAAGAATTTTTATAAGATCAACATTTTTTTTTTAAAGAATTTACTTCTAACAGGGAAATGAGATGAGAAACATTGAACAGTATGCCAAGTCCTATGATAGAGATGTGGCTGTTGTAGCAAACTCTCTGGCAGCAGGAATTAACCTGTTCTTGGATGTTATCACTGGTAACTACAGCATGAAGGCCACCGTCAGTCAACTCATGGAGGCACTGGAAAATCTCTCAGACAAGGTATGCACAAGACGAGGAACAAAACTGACAGAAGAAATTTAGTAATGCATCCTTTTCATGTCTTCATCATGTTCATATATATTTGGTTTAATCTTTGAATTTTGAAGAAGATATGATCACCTACTTACATTGAAAGGATGTTGACAGCTAAAATGCCAGAAGTCTCATTAAAATCAACAAATGTTAAATCATTTAAAAAAAACAGCTTTTTTTTTGCATGCCTGAAATATCCAAGAATTTTTCCAAGAAATATTCAAGAATTTTGTGATATCTTTCTGTTTTTTAGCTCACCTCTGACAAGTGAGATGTCTTCACATTTTGGAAGTGCACGATGAATCGTATGCTAAATTCACTTGGGAAATATTGGAGTGAACATGGACTTTTTTGTAGCCAGAATCTGTTTCAAAGGAGGATCTACATACAACATCAACATTTTAAAGGTTTTTTTTGTTGTTCCTTAACATTGCTCTCTGTGTCGCATTTACTAAAAGGTTTGTTCCTTAACATTGCCCTTTGTGTCGAATTTACAAAAAGGTTTGTTCCTTAACATTGCCCTTTGTGTTGAATTTACAAAAAGGTTTTTTGACCCCCGGGGGTAGATTAAATTTTTACATAGAAATATATAGAAAATTCTTTAAAATTTTCTGGAATGACAAAGCCATAATTCATCTTGATGAGCAGTGATGTGAACATTGTTCAAATATGATTGTAAAGAATTTACTTCTAACATAGAAATATATAGGAAACATTCTTTAACAGTATGCCAAAGCCATAATTCCTATTTATAGAGATGTGGCTGTTGTAAGTTTGTTCAAACTCTCTGGCAGCAGGAATTAACCTGTTTTACTTGAAATATATATTCTTTAAAAATCTTCTAACTACAGCATGAAGGCCATAATCAGTCAATTTATATGGGCACTCAGGAAAATCTCTCAGACAAGGTATGCACAAGACGAGGAACAAAACTGACAGAAGAAATATATAGTAAAATTCTTTTCATGTCTTCATCATGTTCATATATATTTGGTTTAATCTTTGAATTTTGAAGAAGCTCAGGTATGATCACCTACTTACATTGAAAGGATGTTGACAGCTAAAATGCCAGAAGTTTTTAAAATATATACAAATTCTTAAAAATCATTTTTAAAAAATAGCAAATTTTTTGCATGCCTGAAATATCCAAGAATTTTTCCAAGAAATATTCAAGAATTTTTTGATATCTTTCTGTTTTTTTCAACACTGGCCATATTTTTGTATTTATGGAGAGCTAGTTTTTCTATTTTAAATTTTAATGTACAGTATTAGTTACAGAAAATTTAAACCATCAAGTTGTTAATAAAAGTTGTCATGAATATTTAATTAATGGCTAACTAGATTTATTTGCAGAATTTCTTTATAAATTCCTGGTACATATATACTTCTTTTTTTTTTTCAGGTGTCCTCAGTAATAAACCGTACAACAGAGGCTATGGACAGAGTTGGACAATATGACCCAGATGACCTTCCCCCAGGCTTTATACCGGCTCACCACTTCATTGACAGAATCACCCGAGTTTTAAATGATATAAGAACTCATATCATTGGCTTCAGAAATGTAAGATTTCAGTTGCACATTCTCCTTTAAATTTTTTGGCACACTTTTTACAATAGACTGAATATGTAAATGTGTGCATGTAGCTTGATAAGTGATGTACTTTTACAAAATCTTTGGTTATAAACCAAATCTGCTTAAAGTATAATTCAGTCAAACTTTTATCTTCAACTCAATGGGACAGAGAAAAAACAGAGAGATATCTGAGATCCCATGATATTTAGGCTAAAATACTTTAATCTGTGTGACTTATCCATGATGCTTGAGATATCCATATTTGAGATACTGAAGCTCAACTGTATTATTTGGATGAGCAATACAGTTAATACAGAGATATGCAAGTACATGTATATTGGTCTGTCACTGTAGGAAGTGGAGGAGATGGTTCAGTTGATGCTACCTCAGCAGGCAAAGTTTCTTTATGACGCTTTGTTGGATGTACTGGGTGGTCTGACCCAAATACCCAGGGATCCAAAAACAGCCATAATGTCAATAGGAAATGGAGTTGTATCGTAAGTACATGTAACTGTATCAGTTGAGCCGCTATCTGTATGTAAAATTGTGATCTCTATAGGGTTTTGAGTTCATACAACAGGCAGTTTTAAAATAAAATGTTTAAGACGATAAAACAGTCTGATAATCTGAGTCTCTATTTGTTTAGGATCGGGAAAGCTGTCGAAAAACTGGTGGCTGCAGTTGATTATCTTCAGGAATCTTGTTTGTTTGAGAGAGGTTTGTGGTTCTGTAGCCATTGCTTGTACATGTACATGGTATTACTTCCAGACTTGACCCATTCAAGTATGTTTACAACAAAAACCTTTTCGTTATTTCAGAGGAGAAGCCTTATTGGTTTGATCTGAGCAATCTTCTGTCTGAATTTCGTGACTTGGCTGTTTTTGCCAACTCCTCCATGACCTTGGCTGGTTCTGAATGGTTAAATGAGACAACAGGGGAAGACCAAATAAAGATATTAAGCCAAGCCAGGCATACCACTGTAAGACTATACATCTCTTACAATTACACAGAGTGTTCAATAAGAAATAAAGATTTTGTTTTGATTTATTATTATACCCCCGCAAACGAAGTTTAAAACTGCTATTCGGTTACTGGGATAAAAATATTTTTCATATCACCATGTCCATTTCCCTAATTTAATTACCGTTAGGCTTGCTCTAGTGGTTCACAAATAGTAGATTTGTTTTGTTTTGTTTAATTGATTTTGTCCGGACCGTTTCTCAGAAACTGTTGGATGGATTTGTCTGAAAATTTATACACTTATTATTTACCATATGAAGGTGTGCACCTGGTATTTTCACCGTGATTGGATGATTTTTCTGCATTTTACAGGCGTTTTTTTCTTTTTTATTTTGTTGTTTTGTTTGGCTCATAACTAGAAAACTATTAGACTTACAGTCATCAAACTTGGACAATTTATGCATCTTGGGTAGAAGGTGTGTCACAACCTATTTCAAGGTCACTGTGACCTTTAATTTAAGTGATTTTTTTAAAAAAACTTATTCTTTAAAATTTTAAATTTCATAATCCTAAAAAATGTAAAAATATAGTTGTATCCTTATTAAAAAATGCTAAATTAAGTAAAAACTTATTTTTTCATCATATACTTTACAGCAAATTCTGTAACAAATGTTAATTTTTTGAGAGGAATTCAGTTTGTCCCATGGGCATAATTATCAAGCACTGGTCAAGGTTACCTGATTTTCTTGCACCCTAACCAATTTATGATTATTGAACAATATTTGATGGGCGTATCATGCTGTGGCAGGGCACTTTATTAGACAATAGTGAACACCTCTTACTAGATCCATAAAATATTTCTGAATTGGCACCTACTCTGAAAAACCCAGCGGGGGTATTTGTCCCGATTGGACAGTTCTAGTTACCATTATAACTAGTGTTGGCATATTTTGCCATTCTTGACAAGTTTTTGGGTAATATCTGTCACCGGTTAACCGGTTAACCGGAAGTAGAAAAAAGGCTGATTTTTGCATTAAATGACAAAGATATCGGTTAATAAAACTGCTATTCGGTTACTGGGATAAAAATACATTTTTCATATTTCATAATATAAAATACGTATAAAATAATTTTTATGTCATTTGTAAATGTAAATTGACACATTTCCCTAATTTAATTACCGTTAGGCTTGCTCTAGTGGTTCACAAATAGGATCGATTTGTTTTGTTTTGTTTAATTGATGGCTTTAATTGCCAGGGGGTACGCGTTTTGAAAACCTGAGTTATAATTACCTAACTTTAATAGACCTGTGTTAGAGAAACATATACATGAAGAAGATGCCGCCGCTTTTATCAAGAGCTTGGAAATATTGTTACAGAACGCGAAATCTGCCAAATTCAAATTATGTAAATCGGATTTGTCGTATACGGGTGGAACTACAAATATGCTAAATGATTTTAGATTGAAACATGATTCGATAACCAGCGACTTGCAGAAGACTCAACGATTTTATTTTTGAGTTTATATTTGTAAATAAAGTTCATATATCTTATATTTGTTGTTTATTTCTACCAATAAGTAAAAGGATGAGATTAAATAAATACGGAAACTATAGCATAAAATCATCCGAGTAACCGGGAACTCGATCGGAAGATTAAGCGAGTAACTGGTTAATAAAAACCGTCCGATTTGCTAACACTAATTATAACCTGAAATAATGTTAAAAAGGGGAATGTCTTCACATGTAGTCTAGATATATGTATTTTTTAATGAATATTCTTAGAAAGTCAGTGTCATTATAAAGTATTTATAATCATTAATATATTATTAGGGTTCAGTTAAGCAAGAGGTATTGGACAACTTTAATTCAGTGATCAAAGATTTGCTAGATACACTGGAAAGCTTGGACGGGGTAGGAGATAGTTTTCTATACAGATACTTCAGGGTATTCAACATGGTGAAACTGGCCAAGAAGGCCAACAATGTACTTAACACAGGGTATGTGTCCTCTTTACCTCTCTGTGTATACCTATTTGCTTTTATAGTCAGTTTTCATTGTATGCCATTGAAACATCCTATTTGATTCTTAACCACTTTCAGTTATGAGACAGCAAGAGCAAAAGTAGAATCCATATTTGGACCGAGAACCCACCGAGATTTCCCAGGACAGATAAGACTGAGTGGACAGGGCTGTACTGGGAATGGACTGTATCCGTCTACACTGGGGAAAATGGGGGTAGAGGAGTATGACCACACTGGACTTGATTTGTCTGTTGCAAATGGAGAATATGTAAGTTTCTTTACCTAAAGAGAGTCAGAAAATAGAGCAATATGAACATATGTAAAATTTTTTAAAGAATTGTATTAAGTTCCCATTTTTGTGAAATTAGTGTTCATATGTAAAATTTAAAATGTACTAGTTTTTAGGCTATCTAAATTTAATTCCCTGGTTCTCAGGCCAATTTTCTCCAAAACAGATGCGGGAGGGCGGCATTTTACTTTTCATTTTATTGGCAATAAAGTAGATGAGGGAGGTATTTTTTTAATTCTAATTTCAGAATTTTCTTTAACATAAAAATAATTTTTTTAATCACAGATATACTTTCCATTTCTGGTTTTCCATTGCTTAACAGAATTGTATTAAGTTCTCATTGTAAATGGCTACATTTTTGTGAAATTAGTTTTTTTCTCGTTCACAATACCATCTTTTTATTTTATCAAAAATACAATAGAATTGGCAATGCGGCTACCTCAAAACGGATGTGCGCGGGCCTGAGAACCAAGATTTCAATTTTATATGGCCTTATATGTAAAATTTTTTAAAGAATTGTATTAAGTTCCCATTTTTGTGAAATTAGTGTTCAGCTATTAAGATTTATTATTAATTTCCCAAACAGGTAGTGGCCCCGTTTCCGGGCACAGTGTCTCTTGAATCTGTAGGGGGTAACACAGTGGTTCTAGTTCCATCAGAGGGCTCCCTAAAGGACATTGTTATTTACATGTCAAACATAGAGCCCAACAGTACTATCTCTGTGGATGACAGCAGAGCTGTAAGTCTCTATACAGAATTGTTAAAATTATGATATTTAAATTTAAAAAGTGAAATAAGCATTTGTCAATTGAATAAAGTCGCATTATATTGGTCTTTCAAGGATTGGAATGATAATTTTGAGTCTTATGAAATGTTTGACAATGTTTAGGTTATTGGTGGCCAAGTATTAGGAACAGTCAACAGTACTCATTGTGAGGATCACATTCACTTGTCCTTTAAGAAAGTGGGAGCATCATACGTTGATCCTACTCGCTTCCTAGAGAAGGCCTACCCCACTCTGCCTACCTGGGTACAACAGTGTGATGACTACAAACTGGTGTTCAAGGTTGGTGGGAGAGAGAGAGAAAGAGAGAGACACACCCACACAGAGAGAGAGAGAAAGAGAGAGAGAGAGATTTTCAATAGAATAGCCACATGTATTTAAAAAGTCTGGTAGTAGCTTAATTACTGACTTCATTGTATATTATAAATTATATATACTTATTTAATGAAAGAGTGATACTAATCATGTGACCTCTTTTCTCAGACCAACACAGTGGCTGCTGGAGTGATAGTGGGGACCAGTGGTCAGTCGGTCAAGGACAATGACCCAGTTATGGAGAATGTGGCCAATCTCACCTTTCCAGCAGCTCCCTCTACATCTTATGATCCAGATGACACACAGTCTATCAAAGGTAACCTGTACATTAGTACTTGTCTGGATCTTATTGTAGTCTTCTTTATCATGAATGGCAGCTTCATTGGTTGGTTATATATTTTATCAGGAGACGGTCAGAGTTTTTACTCGGTGGTGAAGAGTAAAGTGGGGCTTGTAGGGAATGATGTGGATTCAGGAGAGGACACTTGTTCTACATCTTCTTCAAACAGTAAATCAGGTAAGTGCTCTAAAACTTCAGGTCTAAAATGGTTCAAACTTTCATGTTTCCCAAGCTACCATTCAAGCACACTTGTTCTTGTCAGTTGTGCTGTCTTTCGAAGGCACAATATGGCCATCAGTTATTTTATTCCACCAAACATTTTAATGTACCAGTAGTTTTTCACATAAGTCTGTGTCTCTGGAATCATATTCTGTTGAATATAGTATTATATTTAGAATTTTTGGCCTTGCAGGGATGTTTTCCACACTACTTTTGAAAGCTGACACTTTCCTACAAAAGTACAATTTGAGAAGACTGAAATTTGGAACCATAATAGAGTTCCTGGATAAGTTCAACATGACTACCAGTAAAGAAGCATTGAGAGGAGTTGTAACGAGCATAAAGGTGCTGAAAACAAATAGGAAACGTGTTTATATATAGGAACCTGTAATGATTTGTGAAATAATTCTCTGGAAGATTATTTTCCAATTTCAAACAAAAGTTTGTAGCAAAATGACATTTATCATGTGGAATTGTAGTAATCTTTTTAATATATTCACAGGATATGATAAACAACAAACCTTGTCGCAATCCTAGTGAAATGACGGAGGACCAGCTATTTATGGAACTTACACAACAAGGAAAAAATACCTCTGGTTCCAGAGAGGACATGGTTGCTCGCCTGATGACCCAGTATCTAGGTCAGGACAAACATTTACCAACATCAAATCTCAATTTTGTTGAAATATTTTCTTTCTTTTTTTTTTATTTCCATTCAAAGGACTCCATTTTATTTTGTACAGATTGTCCATTGCTGGCTTTCACTATGCCAAGAGATGTGTACTGTACATATGACAGGAACTGCCTAGGAGTGGAGTGCTGCGTCAGTCTAGAGTTGTCTTTCTTGACCAGGACATACAAGATTTGGGTAAACATGGACCACTGTTCCTCTCCAGTCAAACTCTACATGGGCGTCGGAATGAATTCATACCAGTTTGACCTGTCTAGTGCAAACTTTGATGGTAAATTTACAACCAACAATTTGACTTCCTCTGAAACTTCAATTGTAAAGGTTTACCATTTTTTATGGGTAATGAATATTTACCCACAAATAGCAGATATATTCTGTAAAAAGGTTCTTGTAAGGTTCTTCAATTTTTAATTGTGTTTTATTAGAGGGAGTGGGAGACAAAAATAAATTTCTTTTCTCTTTTAATTTAGGTGTAGAGGGAGACATCATTGTCAATGACACATTAGATGCATTTCTTGGAGGAGTATCAGTGAAGCTGAAGTGAGTAGCTTTTCAAATGAGGATTGAAGGATTGTGAATGTTTTGACAAGCCATTTAAGAGCCTAATATTGGGGTTCATTCCTGTGTTGCTTGAATATGTTAAAAAAAAAATTCCAGAAATTCAGGCTTGAGAATAATTTTTACTTTTTCATAGGTATGGTGTGTTCAAGGGAGAGAATGCCACCTTGGTGACACTAGCAGCTGGACTGTGTAGTAGGAGTGATCCTGATTATTGTCCTAGATTTGTGACACTTTTGGACAGAGCCATCTTCAGAAACCCTCACTGTCTTCCCGATGGATCGTTTATTTGGCCTGAAGGTAATGTGAAAAGCCAGAAAAAGGGAAATTACTTCTGTTCTATTTGATAGTATGTTGACTGTCTTATAAATTGAATTTTTTAAAAGATTATAAAGATTATGAAAGTTATTTTCAAGATCTGTGAAATATGTTTCAGTGGATTACCAGAGTTTGTTAAGGAGAGAGGCATCATGGAGAAACATTAAGCAGTCGGGTAAAACGTTGGCCAAAAAAGCTGTATCAGATGTTGATGCCGAGTACCTCCAAGAACTGGGATTGACAAAGGTGATAATGAAAGAATTAATAAAGTTAAAAAATTTAGTTGTGAAGAAAAATATGTACACACAAATGGTTTGCCATTAATCAAAAAGAACACATAAAATATCTTGATTTCTTTCTCTGTAGAGCATGATTTATGAAACAGGCCCGTGCCCTAGACCAGGCATTATGACAGATGGCCAGCTCAGGTCAGCCTTGGAAGCCAGAAACTTGTCACCAAATGGAACTAGAAGTGAACTGATTTCCAGGCTTACCCAGGATAATTATGGTATGCCACATGTATTATTGAAATGATAATTAAAAACCATTATATTCAGTAGATAATGTTTTATATACATTTTGAAAAGGGTTTACAAATTTAATATACTAGTAGTTGCTTGAAGTTAGTTGTGCAATTTGTGCAATTTATTTGCATTTAAATTGTAAAGATAAATGTATTTTCCATGTTTTCAGCATGTGCTAATGCCACACTTCCCACGATAAGTAACTCAACTATTGCCAGCATCATTCACTATTCCATTGATCCCGATTGCTTAAGGATTGAAACTTGTGCAGACATTGCTCTTAATCTCAGTGGCAAAATCTACTCCAAATCTCTCAAGACCACGTTTGATGTGGAACCGTGTAGCTTTTTGTTGAAAGTTGAATTTGAAAGAAGAATTTTGACTAGAATTTTGCTATCTTACAGCTGGGGTAAGTAAATGTACATGTACCTAAGATCTTAATCAAATCTATTAAAGATTGTATATTTTTTCTTTGTATCTATGTAAATGTCTGTCAAAAGTATGTATTTTAAAAATGATATTATTTCAAATTAATTTTGGTTTTAGGCTCTGAAAAGATCATTCAAATTTCTCCAAATGTCAAGATCAAGTAAGTATCTGGTAGCAGATTTATTTACATGTATTTAATCTTTTGAATGGAAAGATTTATGGGTTGTAAAAATAAGCTTCATACAGTAGTTATCCAATACATGAATTTGCTTTTGAAGGTATACACTAGATCGTGATGTTGCAAGAGGAGTGTATATCCTGGATTTGGGACTGGTTGTTTGCCCTCTGTCATCTGGATGTATTATAGATGGATTTTTCCTGGAGGATTTTGAAATACCAGTACCATCTTGTGGAGATTTTGTACTCCCAGGTATTCAATTGCATTTCGGAACATCCATAATTTAGATTTGTTAAGTTATTAAAGGTTGTGCAAAACACGTAGAGAGATTCGGAACTGAGTCTGACACACAAAATGAGAATAAAAACTAAAAAAAAAAAGAAAAACAATTACTGTAGAAGTACATTTTCCATGTTGTATTAATTTACACTATGTACAAGGTCACAGATTTTCAGTGAAATTTTTCCCATTGTACTTAATATACATGCAAGGCATATAAGGAGAATCTAAGAAATCTGTGTATTTTTCTATCCACAAATTAAACAGAAATAGAGATTCTGTAGAATTTTGAACCCAAGGAAGAAAGAATGTTTACAGTATGTTGACAAGGGAAAAAAAGAATTTTAAACAATTGATTTCTTTTCCAGGAGATGGAACGATAAATGGATTGCTCAATTCCATCGGAGGCAAAATGACAACGGAAGCCTTTGAACTTGTGCTGAAGAAATTTAACATACAAGTAGCTGTTTTAAAATATTCTTGTGCATTCATGGGAGTATTCTTTCTTTTTAGAAATTATTTGTAATTTATGCCCATGTTTCTTGCAGCATGTGTTAAAAAGTGAGACATGCGCTTTGCCAACAGCACCAGCAGGTGAGGGAAATGTCTCTTCACCTTTTGTGCTCGCAAACTTGTGTATTGAATTTGTGACAAAATCTGCTGTCTTGTGTTTTTATCAGAAATGTTTTATCAATTTTTTAGAAAACAGGAAGAAATATTTTACCTTTCTTTGAGTTGTCAGGTTGTTTGGCACAGCATCTTGGTACACTTTATTTCCAGGAACTCCATCTAACTGTTTCTATTGATATTAGGTTGCACCAACACACTAGATGTGGACAGTAATCTGCCTGCCACTGTCCAAGACATGGTGACCTGCCAGCTGCCCTGGGGGTGCTATGGGGTCCAGTGCTGTCTGGACTTGGCCTTCCAACTTCCTCTGGGGGACATAGTTACAGCCAAGAACTTCTCCTTCTGGTTTATAGTGGATCCCTGCGACTTCAGTATAGACATCGGGTTAGGGGGGCTTACACTGTTGAAGTCTACCTTCCTTGAGTATGAATTCGGTAGGGAACACTTGTTTTAAGGATAGTGTGAAAATGGTTTGACTAAAAAAGTTAAAGCATATTGCATAGATAAACTCCATTGTATACAATAAAGAATCATAAAAAGAAGAGAGAAAAAATCATGGAGAATATTTTACTGGATATTTTCAAGGAGTAAAGAAAAAAATTAAGATGTTTAGAAATTAAAATGTTTATGAATATGTAAAATACATGTGTCACTTTGTTTTAGATGTACATGCATAATGCAACACTATTGTTATTATTATGCTGACTGTTGTAATTATTTATGCGGCAATCTGTTTGACTTTTTCCTAAATATACATGTTACACATGCAGCGCACTTGCAAGAACTCACAAAATCTTCATGCTAAAATTGTTTGCATGCTTATTTATTTTGGTTACTAGTTCTCTGATGTGGTTTAACACTCATCTTTATTTTCTGTTTTGTTAGTAAGCCTTATTTTTTGCAGACGGACAACAATTTTCTTTTACATCCTTCAATAAGCCATATAAAAAAGCGTTTTAATGACCCTATGAAATCAGTTCATCAACCTGTATGCAATTATGTAAAGTTTGTTGTACACATTTTTTTGTTTAACTGTTTTCAAATAATATTTTTTTCCGTGTGTATAAATTAAGTTTATATATTTATTAAAATTCAACTATGTACGTAAGGCATCACAAATTTTCATCCCCGGCGTGTGCATTGAAGAATTTGTTCAGTAAATAAAGCCGTGCAAAAATATGTGTTATAAATCCTTAGTATGCGAGAATAGTAGGGTAGGGGTTATATAGAGACAAACTGACAGGAAGCATAATAATATGTAATATACAGACTTTTGTTGATGTTTAAATCACATTTTAGTATATTTTTCGATTCATGTCTACATACATGTGTATCTCTGATATGGTTTACAGGAATAAACATATTTTTTAGGGACAACAAAGACAATAAGCCTAGGAACGGGGAGTCCAGCACCTGTACAAGTCATGTAAGGAAAATTTTTTTTTGTTTAATCCAGGCTTATACAGCCATACAATATTGTTACACAATTACTTATTATTATTATAGATACTCAATAGCACAGAGGGGTGTAAACCAAGGATATACAGTTGATGTTAAACTGAAAATTTGTTTGAATTTGGATGGTCAGATTTTCTGTATTCCAACCAGTGAACTTCATTTCATGAAACAAGTGGACATTCCTGTCTGTCAATCCAGATCTCTAGTCAACTTTAACAGTAAGTTTTATGTGACAAAAAGACTTTTACCTGTATTGATTATATATTTAAGTTTTCACTTATATAAATGTCTTTGAGGAACAGATAATTTAATTTTTTATAAAGAATGAAATGTATCCATATCTTCATCCTTCAATAGCCTTTACCTTGCAAAATTGGGCACAGGGTGTGAATGTGAGTCTGACAGAACAGCTGGATTCAGGGGCATTAGCCATGTTGTTAGAACAGCTCAATCTGACCCAGTTCTTCAGCAGCCAGAAGTGTGACAGGACTAGGAGTCCCTACAGCCCATCTCTGATGGGATACCACAATGGTGAGATTAAATGCCACACGTCAGTTAGACGCTCACTAATGAATTTTAATCCCAAATCTTTTCAAGTCTTGACGTAAATGTAGCATCAATCTTTTGCATGCTGCCATTGGTAGTGATGTTTTATTCTTTCCTATCAGTCTTTGGTAAATTAGAAGAAAGTATAATTGTTATGGATATCTGATATTAGTGTAGGAAAAAAATCAAGGAATTTTTTATTTTCAGTGTGCCCCCGTACCATTAATTCCCTGCCCGCCAAGGTTCCTGACCCTATGACCTGTTACATCCCGGAGTACTGTACAGGAATTGACTGCTGTGCTGATCTCCCAACACTGGGACTTGGCCTTCGGTCCTATGTCTTCCTAGATTTAGAAAGGTTGGAGATCCGGTATGGCATGGAAAATGTACAAAGAACTGTGAAAATAGCAGATTACACTTGGGGTAAGGATGTAATGTTGTGTCTAATAAACTGATTTCCATAAAAATGCCTTTCTTACAGTTTAGAGTGAAATTAGTCAATTCATAAAAAAAAAAAAATAATATTCATTATTATATATATCTAATACATGGAAACTTATTTTTCAGGACAAGAAAAGACAATCTCTGCAGCTGGTGACCTCATTAAATTAAGGTACATTAACTTACGATACAAATTGTGAAATCTGCTCATCATACAACATACCATATTAGCAGAATTTTTAGTGAGGATTTATTTTGACATTATGAGGGAAGGTGCTGAGATTGCTAAAATTGAATATCGGTAACAATTAATTGCGTTTCAGTTGTAATGGCTTCTTTAGTGAGCTTTTTAATATTGCTAAGATTACTTCTCGCTAAAAATAAAATACCTATTTTTAAGGACAAATCACCAAATTTGCCTCTCGCTAGAATTTCCACTTATATGGTATATGACTTTTTAGTTTCATAAAAGTAAGCCATAGGATATTAATTTTCTTACACAGATTCAGCATTTCAAAAATATCTGACACAGACTATATCTTCAATGCCAATGTGTATGCATGTTTGGAAGGGTCAGGACAGTGTGCCATAGATATTCCTGTCTTCCAGAATACACGTCTACAATCCTCAACAACAGGAATATCTACCCAAAGTAAGGTTTTCTTTCTTGGACCTTTGAACTCAAGATAACAAGGTTTGACTGTAGCTTCTTTTGCATTTAAGTGTATGGAGAGGATAGTACATGGATAGCTAGATTATGTTCATTTAAAATCAAGTCATGTCATTGTAATAAATGACACTGGTGACCTGTATTTGAATTAAGCATTGACATATCAAACATTTATGACCTGAATGACATCCTAAAGTTTTTGATAAAGTTTTATGTTAGGAAGTTGGGGGGTGCACTCACTTCATGACTGGATTCCAAACAATTCAGTGATTAAGGTTCATGGACACTTCACAAAATTAAACTCTGACCAATATTTGTACATAGTTAAAAAGTTAGGTTTTGATATTATAAAGGAATGTATTTGAGATCTTTTTGTTATCTGTAGATTTCTCTCTGACTACCTGGATGGCTGAGATGGGAATTCCCTCTAAAGCTCAAGTTACAGATATAGAGAAGGGATTCCTGATACAGCAGCTGGGTATTGATGCCTACAGATTGACCACTCCTTGCGACCCCACACAGAGCCCATACACTCCAACAACCAATGGATGGAACAACAGTATGTACATTCTGTATAAAGAAAGAAAGAAAGGTGGTATTGTGAAAAAATGACCCTGGTCAAAAACTTCTTCACATGCTTGTCTAATTCATACACCATCCCCCCTCCCTCAGAATACACAATACATTGTATCCAGTTAAGTCAAGTTGAACTGTACTTCATTCTGAAGAGTGACAGCTGAAAGTAATTGTGATGATTTTTTCCACCATTCCTTCCCTAGTTTTCAGTAAACTGAAGCTCTGCATAAAACTCCTGTTTATTAAGTATTTGAATTTCCCTTGCAGTGTGTGGGGTAGCCTTTGTTGTGCCCACTGCCATCTCCAGTGCTGCTGTGAAATGTACACTGTCAGCTGATTGTAGCAGAGTAGATTGTTGTATGGAGTATGCCTACTTCAACCTCAAACTGCATTTCTTCCTCCACTTAGACCAGTGTAACTATGTCATAGTGGGTGGAATTGAGAAGAAAAACTTCACCAAAAATATTCTCAGCTTTCCTTGGGGTATGTTTTTTATCATTTCTTTGTTATTATTAAATGAATTGACATGATGAAAATGATTAAGCATTGTTTTTTATCAAAAAAAAGTATATTGTACACGTCAAATTTTCTGTCTCCATTAGGATCAGACAATGTAGAAAGCATCAACAACATTATTAAAATGAGGTAGGCTAATATCTTTTTCATCAATCTAAGTGTACAGTAAAACACACTAGTAGTAAACTTGATTAGAAAGAATTCACACCTACAGTGAATTCAATTTCATTCCTCACTTAAGAAAAATATTGAATTACGTTTAGAATTACGGAAAATTTTCATCCATAGCGTTTCATTCTAATTGTGTTTTACTGAACATGTACAGTAGTATTCTTGCAAAATTTACTTAAAATCCATATCTAATTACTTATTGTCTATAAAGATTACAATGCAGAGGAAACAAAATACAGTGAAACCTGTCTTATCCGACATGCACTAGAGATGAATATTGTGTCGGAATAGACAGGGTGTTGGATTGCACAGTGTAAAAAACATAAAAAATAGTAAAATGATAAAGAAATTTTAATGTGAAATTCACAGTGTGTTGGATTGCACAGGTGTTGGATTAGACTTTCACTGGATTGATTTTTCTACAGATACACAATAGACAGACTGAGCCTGTCCGACAAGTATGTGCTGAACGTGTCAGTGGCGGTGTGTCTGGAGCCTGACTCCTGTGATGTGGACGTCACTGTTCTGAGAAATGTCATGATTCCTATCCTACAGTGTAACCTCACCATGCCAGCTAAACTAGCAGGTCCAAATTATAAGTTCTGAAATCTTCAAATTTTGCATATATGTTTTACAACAATGGAAATATTTGATTAAAGTATATGAATCATAAGTTTGTAACATACATGTACTTGAATTCATTCAAGGGTAGATTAGTCAATCTTTGATAGAAATTAGCTTACATTATTTGTAAGTAATATTTGCATGGCTAAAGGTGTACAAATTTTATATGCATCCATTGAAGCTTAATTGGAAAAATGATAATTTTATTGTTGAATGTAAGTCTCTCTGCTATGTTTAGGATTTTCTTTGACTAATTGGATGGCATCTCAAGGACTTGAGGGAAGTTTGTCTAAGGCTGTGTCAGATCAGCTCCTAAATACTCTGGGTATTGGACTCTTCATGAAGGAAAAGTCGTGTGACAGAGCAGAGACACCATACAGCAGTAACAAACTAACCACAGAAGGATGGTCTGCTGGTAATTCATATTTGGCCTTCATGTTTGCAACAATTTTAATTAGTTCTCTGAAATTATTTGAGTTAGTTGTTTTTAGTGTGTAAAAAATTCAATATTGACATTTTTATTAGGGGTGGGGGACATTTACAAATGAAAATATTGTATGTTCAGTGCAGTGTATTTGAAATTGGCAAAAATGATATATTTATGTTGTTTTAGTTTGCCCAGCAACGATTGCCCTTCTGGAGATTCGAGATACGGTCAGTTGTTTTGTAAACAGTTCATGTACATCCATCACTTGTTGTGTGGAGGTGGAGAAGCTGGAACAGGCATTTGAAGTTGTCCTTGACCTGGATTTCTGCAATCAGAAGGTCACATTTGGAGTTGAAAGGTTAACAAGGACTGAGGCACTGAAAGACTTTGAATTTGGTAAAAAAATATTTATCTTAACTTTAAAATAATTTCATAGTTTTCAGGGGAATGAGTGATATTTTTATGTTGTGGATTCACCTGTATTTATTTGTTGATTTATTTTTTACAAATATTTATATGACTCTTAGGAGTGAAAAAAGAGATGGTGATCATGGGAGTGTTCAAATTCTGGTAAGTCTCATTTTCAGTAGTAAAATATTTTTTAAAAAAAACATTCGAACTGCATTCTTACACAATACCCGTGGTCATTTGATCGGATGTAGAAAACAATTATCAATGTGCACAAAATTCAATTTGACTTGTGGTCATTTTTATTAGGGGTCAGAGACCAGAGAGCTTATGCGATAAATGAAAATATTGTCTGTCTAGCTGTTGTCCGTGTCTGTGTATTCTGTAAATTTGCAAAAACTCCTCCTACAAAAATAATTTTTCAATATTACTTGGCACAAAAGTAGACTACACTAAGATACATAGAATAGTGCATCGATTTTTGATTTCGATGAACGGTGTTGCCATGGTTACTAAAAATAGAATTTTCTGTGAAATCCCTTTAAAACGCTACTCCTTCTACAGTTTTGGTCTGATTTCAATATAACTAGGCACACAAGTAGACTACACTAAGATACATAAAATAGTGCATTGATTTTTGATTTCGATGAACGGTGTTGCCATGGTTACAAAAAATAGAATTTTCTGTGAAATTCCTTAAAAACGCTACTCCTTCTACAGTTTTGGTCTGATTTCAATATAACTTGGCACAAAAGTAGACTAAACTAAGATACATAGAATAGTGCATCGGTTTTTGATTTCGATGAACGGTGTTGCCATGGTTACAAAAAATATTTTCTGTAAATTCCTTTAAATTTTTCTACAGTTTTTGATTTCAATATAACTTGGCACACAAGTAGACTACACTGGATACATATATGCATCGGTTTTTGATTTCGATGAATGGTGTTGCCAAGGTTACTAAAAATAGAATTTTCTGTGAAATTCCTTAAAAACGCTACTCCTTCTACAGTTTTTGTCTGATTTCAGTATATCTTGGTACACAAGTAGACTACACTAAAGAGATCGGTTTTTGATCATGAACGGTGTTGCCATGGTTACAAAAAATTTTTCTGTGAAATTCCTTTAAAACGCTTTTCAGTTGTAAATATATTTTACACAAACTACACTAAGTACAATTGCATCGGTTTTTGATTTCGGTGAACGGTGTTGCCAAGGTTACTAAAAATAGAATTCTCTGTGAAATTTCTTTAAAACACTACTTCTTCTACAGTTTTGGTCTGATTTCAAAATAAATTACACAATAGACACACAAAGTCATACATAAAATAGTGCAAGGTTTTTGATTTCAAACTGTATTGAGTTATTGTATATACAGGTACAGTGTGTGGGAGCTGGTTGGGGAGAACTCCTATGCTATATCTGTAGACCTGGCTGTGTGTCTGGAGGACTCAGGAGAATGTGTGGTGGATGTTAATGTAGTGGATAGGGTCAAATTTCCCAAGACAGACTGTGACTGGCCAACCAGCTTCATCCAAACAAGTAAGTACAGCTTAATTAACATGTTTCATTAACATGTTAATATTTTGTATATTTTCTAAGGTCAGTTTGTAAAGGCAGATTTCCAGCTAGCAAATACTGTGATACAATTTCTGTTGACATTTATTTTAATATTTACTGTATTGACAACAGCTATGTTTATTTACTTGACAGATTTTTCTTTGACGGCATTCATGGCTGAGAACTCAGTGACTGACCCGTCACAAATAACGGGACTTGTGTTGGAGCGATTGAAGGAGACACTGGGGCTTCCTAACCATATGGATACAGCCCAATGTTCACTAACAGACTCTAGATATACCCCAAACTCTAACGGAATAAAAAATGGTGACTAATTAACTACAGAGCTAAAAATTATTTAAAATATGAAAAAAAATTAATTATCAGCCAAAATAGTGTGAGAAAAAATGTCAAGATGTATTATATACATGTAGATTACTTGCATGGTATTCAAGAAAGAAATGCTTGATTTAGTTAAACAGGTATCAAAGTGAAAATATAAATCACAGTTGTATAAATTACAGACTGCACCCGAGCTGTAAACCAACCAACAGAGGATGCCGTTCCGTCTCAGGTTACCTCCCTTCCTGGTAACATGGTATGTCAGATCAAGGACTTGTGTACCGGGATAGACTGCTGTGTGCAGTCCACGCCCCTCTCCCATAACTTCCACAGCTACCTGGACATTGATCCTTGTAACTTTAAAATCAGCTTTGGAATTGACAAACTCCAGTTCACATTCAACTTAAGGGATTTTACATTTGGAGTAGAGAGGGATGTTCGCCTGTTTAATGTTGTTAGAATGAGGTAAGAGCTTTTTTTTTATGCCCTGATAATGGAAAGTTTGGGGCATATATTTTATATTTTGTCCGTTTGTTTGCAAAAACCTTAACTTGGCATAACATCTGAGTGCTTAGTGCTTTCATCTTTACATGTATATTCCTTATGACAAGACCTTTCCTTGAATACCTTTGAATTTTGACTTCACAACCTAGGTCTTGGAGTTTGACCTACATTTGAAAACCTTTAACCTTGATCATTCCATATAAGGGATCAGTGTTTTGCCAAGACATTTTAATAGTAAAATAACATAATATTAAAAAAAATGACTTTTAAAAATGATAATCACCTAAATCCTGTCAATGCTGTTTACAATGTAGATTCACCATTTGGGATCTTGCATCAGAAAACCAGTACTTGGTAGACCTAAACTTGAGTCTGTGCTTTGAGACTGCGGGAGCCTGTATGACAGATGTTCAAATATTTAACAGGAGAAGACTGTCCAAGGGTGTCTGTAACTACAGTGCTCCACCCATCTCCATCAATCATCCACTAACTTAATTATCATATTTTATTCTACTGTAAATCACTTTTTATTCAGATCTGATGATAATAACACTAACTTATCATAAATTTTATTCTAATGTTGACAGTTATATAGAGGAATAACAATAATTCATGAAAATAAGAAATGCTTTTAAAATGTTCTACAGCTTTAGAAAAAATCTTTTAAATTGTTGCAAAAAAAAATATTTTTTTTTTTTTTTATTAATCAGATTTTTCCTTGAACCAGTGGAAGCTGTCAAGGGGAATAACTGCGACCTCGCTGTCACAGTTTGATTCAGATTTGCTGATGGAATACTTGGGAGTTCTTGGGTATCTTAACCCCTCCCAATGTAGCAAAGTAGATCCTTTATCCTTGGAGGGTTGGGTTGATGGTAAGATATACCATTTCTCCCCTTTTATTTATATTAATTGAAAATCATGGTTTTTGCTTACCACTTTGCAAGCTACATGGTTAAATATAAAGTAATGTATTCCTTGTTTTCAGATTGTCCAAGGTCATCTTTATACATGAAGACTGACCTGTCATCACAGCCCGCCCTCTGTAGAATATCCTCCAAGTGTACCGAGGTTAGATGCTGTGTCAGTGTAGGTCCTGTGGCCAGAAATTTTGAAGCCTACATTGACATTGATCCTTGTAATCATAGAATGACTGTTGGGATAGAGGATTACAAGACAGCCATAAATCTACTGAACTACACTTATGGTAAATACATGTACATACATGTAGTTAATTATGAATTACAAAGGTCATACAGGATGCTAAAAAAGTATTGAAATATGCAGTTAAACTTCAGGGGCCCAATTTACAAAAGAACTTACAACTAAGACTAAAAAATTCAGATGATTGTAAAATTAATGATTCTCTTTGAAATTGTTTGTGTAAAAATATCTTTTACATTCCTTTTAAAAAGTTTAAAATAATTTTCGATATAAAGTTCTAAAGTTAATTAAAGTTAATTAAAAAGTTATATGAAGAATTAAATTTGGTATTAAGTCTTAAGTCCTTTTGTAAAATGGGCCCCTGATCCATGTCTAGACTTTAAAGTGAATTCTTGGTTGAAATGCAACAATTTTCATTCTTTAAAAGGACAAATTTAGAGAAATACTTTCAAATAAAGATAAAAAACATTTTTATAAATATCTCTTTATCTACATAAAGTTTAAGTTGTATAATGGAAATTAATAAAGATTTTTTTTCTCTGTTTAGGAGCAACAGAGACTATTCAGATGGAGAGTTTGATCATGCTAAGGTAAAATGTTGATTGGTATTACATTTTATTGGGAAAGAAATTTTTATTAGCTCCCCCCTTCAAATTTGACTCAACTTATGATTAATTATTATTTTTGTGTACATTAGCTATCTTGTGGAGAGATTTGAAGGAGCTGAGCGATTCCTTGTCAACCTGAACCTCAGTGTGTGTTTGGAGCCTAGTGGAGCATGTTATTTGGACTCCATCATCTTACAGGACGTGTACCTACCCTCAGCACCATGTGATTGGACCAAACCTCAGACAGGTAAGATCAAATTAACTTCAGGTAACTATCAGTTTTGTGACTGGGTTTCCTTGAAAATTCTTTTCCAGGGACATATTGACATAAACAAGCTGTAAAAGTATGATTCTGTAAAGACTAGCATACTGTAAATCACTTTTTATTCGCGAGAACTTTATAATTACGCGAGACAATGAGATTGTGAAAATATCATTCACGCGATTAAAAGTATTCCATACGATAATATAGAGGAAAAACAAGAATTCGTGAGAATTATGTCTCGCTAATGAAGAGTCAATGACTTGACAAAAATGTTTGTATTTGACAAAAAAGTTTTGAGATACTAAAGGCCAAAGCTCCATTGTAGATTTGTACATTTTTAAGTTGTACACACAATAAATTCCAATGGTTTTGACTTAGATATTCCTTCGATCAATATTTTCGAATAATCTAGATTTAATTGTTATTCGAATATACCATTTTAGCCTGGGCTTAACATTAATTGTGAACTTCAATTTTAAGGTTTCTCCTTGAGCAACTGGTATGGTAATTTATCCCTGACTCCAAGCACCACCCTGTATCCCACTCATCTATCCCTCCTGAAGGAGTCCCTGGGGGTCACAGATTACCTGAACTCTGCCCCCAATAGGTGTGACAGGTCATCAGCAGTCTATAAACCTGAAACCCCAGGTCTCTCAGGATGGAAAATAGGTCAGTGAATCTTGGCAAGAAAGGTTTCTAAAAATGAATTCATTGTAAAATGAAATTTTTGGTGATTGATGCAGTCTATCGTGGACTCTTTTAAACCTTATGAAAAGTGGAGAGGTATCTACTGTCAGTTTTAAGTTTATTGTAAAAATGTACGCTGCTTTTTATGATAATAGACAGTGGCTGTAATCTGAATTTGCTGGTGATGAGCTCCCTGCTGGCTGACGGAATGAACTGTTACCTGAAGTCTAAGTGTACAGCCGTGGAGTGCTGCCTGGATGTGGAGGATCCGCTTCAACAAAACGTCCGCTTCTCCTTGGATCTGGATCTCTGTCAGCAGATCCTGGAAATCAGTGTGGACAAACTGAAGGGAAAGAAAGCACTGTTCGCGTACTCATATGGTAGTGTAGAGTAGAGATACACATGATTATTCAAAGATATGAGAAGAAGAAATTTATGAACAGAATTTCTTTTTGTTGATTTTGTGTGTTACTTTCAAAGTGAAGCATTTTATTGAATTTCTTTCTTTTCTTTTTTTGCAGGCATAATGGATTATTTCAGAATGTCAGACTTGATTCAAATTGAGTGAGTTTGAATAAATTTTAGTCACCTCAAAGATTCATGTTTTAAGTCTAATCAGTTTATTCTCCTCTTGAAGAAATGAAATACATGTATAATCAATTCTTTCTGTCCAGGTTTAAGATAGACTTGGTAAGCTCCAGTACTGTGTCCTTCTACCTGAAGCTGAAACTCTGTTTTGAGCCAAACTCCTGTACAAGAGAGATAATCGTGTTTAACAATAAACACGTTCCTGCTCCGTCCTGTCAAAGAAACCTCCCTTACAAAGACCCAGGTAAGTCATCGTCAACTTGTGAAACAGCAAGTGAGTTCAATAACTACTAATCATTTGATTTCAACAGGCAATCTAAAATTTGTTTTTTATACATGCATTTCTTTTTGCTAGAAATATGGTAAAAGTTTTTGTATAGAATAAAGATGTCAAAGAATTTTATATATATATAGTATTCAAAATGGAGTATTTGTGTTGTACACTATGTTTATTGTTTTGAGATAAATTTTCTTTAGGATTACTTAGAATAGTCTTATTTATCGAACTGTTTTGACATTTTAAAGAATATATGAATAGAACAGGGACTGCATGTATTTTTCAGCATTTTCTCTCACACAATGGTACAACTCCAATGGACTGTCCCCAGGCTCCAATCTCACAACACTGGATGCTAGGAAGCTCCTGGAAACTCTAGGAGTGGGTCACTTCATGCAGGACATAGGCTGTCAGAGGTCAGGGTCTGTGTATAGCCCTTCACAAAACGGCTGGAAATCAGGTACCAGAAAGCATTGGAATTTGAAATATTGAAAGTAAAAGTGACTAGACAGTAAAATTTATGAGTAAACCAAATCTGAACATCTCTACATTGTTGTAAAGCATCACTTTAAGTTTTTGTAAGAAGACACTGTTTTGTAACTGCTGTATGTGAATATTCTCCATGAGATTATGAAATTTTTCAGAATGCCAGTTGGTAGTGGATACAGACCCCATCACAGAGCCTGTGAACTGTGTAATTGAGGACACGTGCACTGCTGTCAGCTGTTGTGCTGAGGTGGGGTTTCTCCAGCAGTCATTTGAGGTTACCATGTCACTTGACCCCTGTACAGAGACCTTACAAATAGGAATTGAGAAGTTCAGCTTTAATGTCAGCCTGAGCACCATTACAATGGGTATGAATGCAGGAAGGGTTGTGATGTTGTTCTTAGTCCTGTTTACATGCCAGTAGAAAATCAACATTATATTTTTGATATTTTAGGTTCAACAAATGAACTGTACCTTAATGGAATTGTACGGGTCATGTAAGTAACGCTATTTTTTTTAGTTTAAGCTGAATATTCCTCATGACCTGTTGATCCTGTTAAAATGTGAGGGCGATATGCATATATTGATCAATTTATTCATTTTTAAAAACAGTACAGGTTTCCATAGGTAACTGAATTTTTTGCATGCCACTTTTGCAAGATGTTTTATGCTTCTAATGAAAGAATATGATCCCCTATTTTACCTTTGAAATTATTTTTTGTATAATGATACATTTACTTACCTGAACCATAGGCGACAGTGAGTTATTGTGTTCAAAATTTTGCAGTATTTATGCATTTCAATATTGACACTTCTGAAGATACAGTTTTACCCATTGTTGCCATGGTTACAGAATTTGAATTTTCTGTGAAATTCCTTTAAATTGCTACTCCTTGAAAAATTTCCACTTCTTTCAATTGAAAACTACATTGGATTATCCCCTATAAAAAATAAAGAGAAAAAAATCAAAGTGGAAATAAAACTAAAGCAAAAACCCTGTTAAAAGCTTTGATAACACTTTAAAACAAATATGATACAAAAGAAAAAGAATATATGAATAATAATCTTAAGTCATCATATATATCAAAATTCATGACTAAATTTTAACATGCTAACTCTATATTAAAGGTACTTGTATTATAATACAGGCTGCATGAAAACTTAATTCTTTTTTTTTTTAATGAACATTGAATTAAAGGCTTATAATTGACTGCATTGTACTTCACTTTAAAAATTGACTTGTGATATAGCCATTACCATGGTACATTTCAAAATTTGATGTGCATATTTTTTGTTGAAGATTCTGCTTGTATATGATATGTATTCAAAAAGATGAGATAAGCAATTTAATTATTAAGGGGAAAACAAAATTATTGCAAAGGATTTTTTATTCTTAGGATCATGTGTAAGCAAGTAAAAGTCACTTTTGGTGAACATGACCTACGATGAACTATATAAAACTTTTTTTTACATTTTATTTACAGATACACTATTACGGACCTGCCAGTGCCCAGACTGTACAATGTATCCTTTTTTTTTTTTAATGACATTGAATAAGGTTGCTAATTGAGGCATTGTACTTCACTTTAAAAATCTGTCTGTATTCAGCCATTACATTTTCAAAATTTGATGTGCATATTTTTTGTTGACCCTGCTTGTATATGATATGTATTCAAAAAGATGTGACTTTAATCATTAAGGGAAAACAAAATTATTGCAAAGGAACTTTATTCAGGTTTGTGTACAGAGAATGGATGAATTTGAAGGTTTTTTGTTATCAGTTTAAAGTATACAGGTATTTTATGAAATGGATTGGACAGCAGGCATAAATGCCTTTGCTCATTCTCTGTATAGTTTGTTGTAGTTACCATAATTAGTATAAAAATATGTTCCAATGCATGAAGTTGCAAACACAGAGAGTTACAGGTTCAATCCAAGTTACAAGTACAAATTCTTAAAAATAGATGAAGATGCTCCAATTATGACACAATATTGTAAAAAGAGTTCTGTTTTTAATCCTTTTCAGATTTTAAAATTGTAATGTTTTACAAACAGAGGAAATAATTAGAACTTTTAATTTAGGTTTCAGGATTGCAAAGTGGTATTCAGACAACTTTATTTCTCCACCAAACTATGAGTTGACCCCAGAGAAGTGGAACAAATTGCTGGATGACTTAGGAATCAGGGCCTACATAAAAACAAGTCCTTGCTCCTTTGACATGAATACCTATAAACCAACCAACCCATATGGATGGAATAATGGTAAATCAGCTTAATTTGCATCTTTTACTTAGGTCTCCAAAATATTAAAAATAATGTAAACTCTATCTACTGTTAAAAATCTCACACACCAAAGTTCCACAAATGTTTCAAACCAAGAGTGTGTTCAAGAAGTAATAGAAAAAGTAGATGTAGAAGTGTAACAACTTTTAATACGTATGCTATGCTAGCTACAAGGGAAGGCAGCCTAAATACATGTATCTGAAGCTTTCACCAAATCCAAGATGACAGCCTTAATTACAATTTCATATTTGTTCCTGAGTTTAGAATGCCCCCAGGACCTGTCTTCTACTGTCTTTCCCACCCTCCCCTCACATGCCCGCTGTCAGATTCCCTCCTACTGTACTGGATTCAGCTGCTGTGTTTTGGATCAACACATTCTACATCATCACTTCACTGTGGGCGTCAGACTAGACGACTGTAATCACCTGGTCACCATCCAGCTGGAGAAAATCTTCATAGAAATCCCTCTCAACAATTACACATTTGGTAGGATGTCACCTTAAATTGTAAAAAACATTTTGAGTTCCATGTTACTCAGTTATTGATTCCATATTCTTGTAATTTTTGATTTTTTGACAGGAGTTAATGAGAAGAGGTGGATTATGAGTGTCTTAAGATTTGAGTAAGTTAACATTATTTATCTTTAGTTATTTATACTTGTATAATTTAATTCATTGTTAAAATATTTTAATCACTAAAAATTCACCAACTATATACCCCGGTAAGTAAATTCTTGATGTGTATATGATAAACTGTGTTATTTAAATGAAGTCTTATTAAACGGAATGCTCCACTATGTGGTGTTTATGTTGCATGAATAAAATGAATTCTGGTAACCTTTGTGTAGATTTACGATAGAGGACTTGACCCTAGAGAACAGCTACCAAATAACTGCAAATGTACGCATCTGTTATGAGCAGACCTATTGTGCTGTAGACACCATCACTCTCCTGACAAACTTTAAGGTGCCGAAAACAACTTGTGAATGGGGAACGGGATTCTTAACAGGTAGAGTGTATAAATTTTCCAAAATAGTAGACTATTTGCATTTGTTTTTACAAAAAAATTGTTTTGATATTAACTTGCAATCTTGCACATACCAATATGTCTCCAAAAGTAAAAAAAATCACAACTATGTGAAAAGTTAGAATTTCATTTGTTTCCAGAAATGTAGATAACGGACATTTAATTTTTTTATATTTCCTTTTGCAGACTTTTCCCTGAAGTCTTGGTTGAGAGGTAAAGGTCTGCCCTCTGGCGTGGACCTCATCCAGTCTGATGCCCGGCAGCTGGAGGCATTGATCGGTCTATCTGAATACACAGAGAACACCACACAGTGTAGCAGGTCCAGCTATGGGGCCAGTCAGGATGGGGGCTGGAACAATGGTGGGTAATTCTTCTGTTTACTTGAATGTCTAGTTTAATGAACAGCCATTTAACAGTCAGTTCTACTGTATCAGACTTACAGCTGTACTTAATTCTTGGCAGAAAAAAGGTTTTCAAAGATAATCAATATTTTTAGTTACTCATTAAAAAAATTCCCGAAAGAAAATAGCATGTTGTGTAACATGGTGAACATTTTATGATTCAGAGTGTAGAGAAGCGTCCACTCCTGCCCCACTATCCCCGTCCGTCTCCTGTCGAGTCCTGTCCGAGTGTTCCAGCATTGACTGTTGTGTGGACATCAGCTTCCTGGCGAACCGCTCTGTCAACATCCAGTTCCTAATGGATCCCTGCTCCTCTGTACTCAGTCTCAACATTGAGAAGTACCAACACAACATGACTCTCTACAACTACCAGTTTGGCAAGCCGGATAACTTTACACTGCAAGGAATTATAAGAATTGAGTATGTGTTATTGTTTTCATCAATGGAGCAGTGGATTTGTAAATGAAATTAAGTAGACATACTGGATAAGTCTTTAACTCTTTCTTTTTCAGCTTTTTAATTGAGAATTTCCCACTTTCAAGAACTTATGTCGTGAGTTTGAATTTGAGTTTGTGTCTGGAATCATCTGAGCCTAGTAACTGTGTGTACTCAGAGGTTATTCTGAAAAATGCAGTGCTTCCCAAACAGACTTGTGATTATGCACTGGAGTATGAAAATCCTGGTGAGTTATATGTTGCATGTATAAGTGTTGTATCTAGGAATATCCTGAAATGATGAAATATGTTTTGTGGTTGATATAATGTGCAAAAATGAGTATACCAAAGACAAACATGACAAAGCAAAAGAACAAGAAACCAATGCTCATTGTCTAAAAACACTGTCATGTTGAAGGACATATCACTGTTTATGATCTTTCTTTCCTTTTAAGGGTTCAGTCTGGGAACTTGGCTAACCAGTAAAGGATATACTGTGCCTCTGAATGGTGACCAGACCAATGCTCTGATGAGACAGCTAGGGCTGGAGGAGTTTGTCAGTCTCACCTGTGACAGAAACAGTTCCTTCTATCAACCAGATACAACACCTGGATGGAAGGTGGAACCAGGTATATTTTGGTCATGTTGTTTTGTTTTTTTCATAGTGTTCTTAAATAAAAAAAAAATATTTTTTTGCTTTAATTATTATGTTTTAAGTTTGGCATTGATGTAGGGAGAAGGCTAAAATAGGCTGAGCCTGCTGCCCAATCCTATTCACTTTTAGATCTTTGAATGAAATAGAGATAAAATTTTAAGATAGAGAAAATAATGTTTCTGTATGTTTTCTACATAGGCTGCCTGGCTGTACCAGTAGAACTGTGGGAGAATGACACAAACTGTTACATAGACAGTAACTGTACCACGGTCAGCTGCTGTTTAGATGACGAGGTGACCGATCGGTCCTACCAGATGTCTGTCCAGATCTTGACCTGTGACGAGAAGCTGCTGGTCACTCTAGAGAGGAGGACCTTCACACTACCTTTACTGGACTACGCTGATGGAACCACCCACATCATCAGGCTGTTTGGGGTCCTAATATTGGAGTAAGTTATCAAATAATCTACTTTTCTTCAAGTGACACTAAAATTTGTGTGCATATCTGAAAAAAAAAATTAATTAAACAATGTCAAGGTCAGGAGGTACAGAATTATCAAGTTATGAAGGTCTCTATGAAATGTTTAATTCCAACCAAAAAAATACATAGTGGAGGAACATTAGGAAGCCTTGCTTAGTACAAAGAATGCTTGGTGTTTAAGAAAAGCTTATCAAGATGGTCTGATTTCTTTGGTTTGGTTAATTATAGTAGTAATTTTGCTTTCTTTATATTACAGATTTAATATAGATGACCTGCTATCCCTGAACCAGTATGCTATATACATGAGGCTGAAGCTTTGCTATGTCCAGGGGTTAGCCTGTCAAAGAGACATCAGGCTCCTAGAAAATGCCAGGTTTTCTAAAGTGAACTGCACCCCAGATCAGTATGCCATAAATGGTATAAATGTTTTACTCTAGTTGTACATGTAAATTATCATTGATTTTTTGAAAATCCTGTATTAAAATTATGCTTATCTAATAGTGATAAAGTACTAAAAATTGCTTGTTATTTTTGTTTTTTGAAGGTTTTTCCTTGACTCAGTGGTTAAATGACAGCCAGTTTCCTCCAGGAGTTGTTCTAGAGAAGTGGGTGGTAGAGCACCTCAAAATGGACCTCAAGCTGTCCGCTCTACTGATGAACCCCTCCTGTAACAGAAGCTCCTACGTAGTGGACCAGAACAATTGGGATATGTCTAGTAATGGGCTTTTTGATTGTTGTTATTTAATTATCATGATATGTTGAGATACCATGTTTCTCAACATTTTAGGTAAATTAGTTTATTTGATTTATGAAAATAGATAGCTAATATAGTGCTAATATAAGTAGTATGCCTGCTTTCAATCCTGAAGTGCATTCAACCTAAAATTAATATATGAGTAAATAATATCTTTATTGTGTTTGCAGAGTGCTCTCAGCCAGTGTCAGTATCAGCTCTTCCCACCCACACTTCCTGCATGCTGACTCCCTACTGCTCGGGGGTCACCTGTTGTACAGATGCTGCCATGCTGGGGATGACCTTTCAGACAGAGGTCAAGCTAGACAGGTGCCAAGGAAAACTGCTCCTGAAAATTGAGAAACAGCAATTGTCCATTGGACTTCATGAGTTTCAGTTCTCTGCTTGGCAAATGTACACACTTGGAAATGTGTTTAGATTGAGGTGAGTATGTTCTTGTACAAACATGTATATAACTGTTTGCAGATCTTTAATTAAAACAAAAAAAGTCTTATTCAGTATGTGCAGGTGCCTTTTATTTTATAATGAAAAATGCATAAAGGGGAACAACTCTTCACTGACTCGAATATTTCTGTCAGAGGATGGAAATTAAAATGAAATTCAAGTGTCATACTGGCCTATGATGCACATATATTTCAAAGGAATCATTATTGAAGATGATTTTTTTAATAATAAATTGTGTACAGGAAATGTAGCAGTTTATCCAGTGTTAGATTCATGTCTCAGCAAAGTCGTTCTCCCTGAAGGTCACATTTTTTCATAGAAAGAGTATTTGGTAAACCTTATACTGGTGATTACATTTCAGGTACAAAATAGATCATGTGACCATGGAGAACAAGTACAGATTTAATTTGAACATCAGTGTCTGTTTAGAAACTTCTGAAGCATGTTACCTCAACTTTCCACTAATGACTGATGTTGATATTCCCATTCTTGACTGTGATTTCAAAAATGTGTCTTACCCAATCCAAGGTTTGTAGAAAGCAAGGCACATACTGCTCATTTATTCATTCATGTATTCAATGAACAAAAAGTAACACACAAGAGAAATAAATTTTACAGGTTTCAACTTTACAAATTTCCTGATCACTCGAGGACTTCCTCCATCTACCTCAGCATTGTCCTGGGAAACCTCCCTTCAGTTCCTGGAGCATTTGGGAATAGAGACATACTTCAATAAGACAGCATGTGATAGATCCTCATTCACTGGTGCCCTGCCCTCAGGATTCCTGAAAGGTAAGGTTCCCATTCTCATGATGCATGTTTTAAAAAGTGGATTTAGATATTTTAAAAGACTTGATCAACATTTCTAAGAATTTGAGATGAGACTGGTTCATGATAAATTTATATTGATGAAAATTTATCCATAATCTTTTTTTATGCATAAAATCTTTGACATAGATTCTGGATGTACTGAAAATGTTGCCCCCTTTCTGCTGAACCTATCGGACACAAACTGTAGAATTGGTGCCTCCTGCCAGGATTTCATTTGCTGTTCAGAGATATCTACAATTGGAAGGACTTTGGCGTATGATTTCAGTGTGGATCCCTGTTCTCACACTTTAAATATTGGCATAGAGGATTTTCACTATCAAAGATCACTTGTAAACTTTGAGTATGGAGTCACTCAAACATTCACCATTGGCCAGATCTTCATTTTAGAGTAAGCAACTTTGTTACTTCAGCAACATACATTGATCTTATTTTAAGTATACTGAACAATTAATATATCCAGCAAAAAAAAAAATTAATAAAAATTTGAAACTTTTGAATGACAGTGTAAATATTACAGTTGTAATGAGATTTAATGTCTTGAATTGGTCCTTTATCAGCTAATGTCTATCTTTGATTGACCTTCAGATACAAGGTGACAGACTTGACAGGACAGAGACAGTTTCTGATTGACCTGAAGCTCAGTGCCTGCTTTGATGACGATCAGCCCTGTCAGCAGGTCATAGCCATCCTCAAAAACTACCTGGTGACTAAACTGCAGTGTGCCTGGTACACAGGATTTGTAGAAACAGGTAAGGAAAAAAAATCTTTTTTGGCATGTCTAAAAGGAATAAACTTAGTACTGAATAATCAGTGTAAATAATGTCAATCTTATGCTTAATTTATTGAGCTTCAAGAAAGTTTTGTTATTAAATTAAGATGTTATATTTTCAGTTATTTACATGTTGAAAGAATATATTGATTACAAACTATTATTAATATGTGTTGGATAGAACAAAGTAATATGTGTATACAACGGACCAGTTGTTATTAAAATTTACAATCCCTTTTTACTCACTCAGGCTTCTCCTACACCAGCTGGCTGAGTTCTCATGGACTAACAGGTACCACTGTCCTACAGCCCAGTGATGTAGCGAGTCTACTCAGCACACTGGGAATCACAAAGTACATGCAGTCTCCGTCCTGTAACTCAATGACTGGGGACTACGAAAACTCTTATCAGGGTTGGAGGTCTTGTAAGTTGTGGAAATGGTATCTTGTGCAAGTACAGTAAAACTCGTTTAGTACGAACATGGATATTGCAAATTCACAGATAAAGTGAAGTTCTCTTGGATCCCAAGCTATATAAATTTAACAAATTCCTTATAAGGATATAACGAATTATGGATATACCGAAGTAATTTCATAGATCCCAGTGACTTTATTATAACTGTTTAATTAGGATTCTCCAAGAAATATATATCGCTATAAAGGTTACCAAAAATGTATGTGTGTTGAAGTACAGCGTATGTTAATGCTCCATTGCAGTGTGTCCAAATGATCAGATAACCAACAGACCAGTGATGAACAGCAGTTTGTCCACATGCATCCTATCTAAGACCTGTACAGGGGTGAAGTGCTGTATCAGTGTACCCAGACTCAGTCTGTCTGTGGAAGCCTATGTAGAGGTTAACCCCTGTAACCAAACTCTGCAAGTAGGAATCGAGAATTTACACTTCAACAGGAGTCTGTATGGTTACAAGTTCGGAGAACATGAACAGTTTGATCTTTATGGATTTATAGTCATTGAGTAAGTAAGCTTGCTAGATCATTAGAAAATTTCTGTGTATCCAAAAGATTTTTTTCTCTTACTGTAAATCACTTTTTATTTGCAAGAACTTTATTTTCGTGTAATTACGCAAGATGAAATGCTCGCGAAAATTTCATTCTCGCATATAATAGAATTCCTTAAGATTATATAGAACAATGACCACAATTCGTGAAAATTTTGTCTCGCTAATAAAGAGTCAATGACTATCTCGCGAAAATAAGGTGTCGTGAAAATTAAGTGATCTACAGTATTTTAAGTACATGTACAAATGTACTACTCTTCTTTGCAGTTTCGTGATAGTTGACTTGCCATTTGGAGGGAGCCATGGTCAGTACCTGGTCAATGTGAACATGAGTATCTGTTTTGAGGATGCACAGCCATGTGACACTGTAGTTTCTGTGTTCAAGGATTCACTTTTAAACAAGGAAGACTGTAATAGGAAAAAAGACTTCTTAGATCCAGGTCAGTATAACACAGATGATTCACTCACCAGGTAACAAGTACTGCATCAAGATTGATTTATGAATATAATACATACATGTTTTTAGGATTTTCCCTTGCTACATGGAAATCTCAGCATGGTATAACTGGCAGTGGTCCCCTGGATGTACACAATGTGAAGCTGTTACTACAGGACCTGGGGGTAGCATCTTTTGTGAGGGAGCCCTCAGACAGGTGTGACTGGACCTCTCCCACCTTCTCTGGAGCCAATGCTGATGGATGGACTGATGGTTAGTTTTTATAATTCTTTGCTTATGAATGATCTGTTTTTCTCCATCTATTTTTCTAAATGATAACAGATTAATTACAGAGAGGACTTGTAGAGGTGTTATGCCTGGTATCCAATACTTTTATGTTTCATTCATGATAAAATATTGTTTAATAAGATAAGAGAAAGTACTTAAAAATGCATTCTTTACATCAACAGTTTAATTTTCATTTACCATTAAAACAACTTTTGAAAAGCAGCTTTATTTTGTAATAATCTGTCATAGGCTGTAACACAACGACCGAGGGTTTGTCTCCCCTTGGTGACAAGGTGCGCTGTTCCATCTCCCCCTCCTGTACAGAAGTACACTGCTGCCTGAGATCTGACACACTACAGGAAATGTTTGACGCCTACATCTACCTCGACACCTGTAATAGTAAGGTGACAGTAGGCATAGAGAAGCTCCAGTGGAACGACACACTGGTCGACTATCAGTTCGGAACCTCTATGCATGTCTCTCTTCTTGGGTTAATCAATCTTGAGTAAGTTATTTTTTCATAGATTGCATTTTTTTTTCAGTCAGTTTGTTTCTAAAATTGCCTGATTTTCTTAAACATATTTGCCATTCATATAAAGTAACTGTGTTTAAAGAGACAGTGAAACTTCAGATGCGAAACACTAGGCTTTGTAAACAGCAAATCAGTTATTTAGCAAGCCTTTAATTCCATCTGTAATTGAGTTAATCTTCTCTTAACAGCTACATCATCACAGACTTGGTGAGTGAAAATGTGTATGGAGTTAGATTCAACTTGAGCATTTGTCTGAACTCCACTGGGCCCTGTGAGGTACATGTAGAGGTGTTTGATGAACACAGGCTTAACAAACCAACATGTAACTGGACCAGAGGCTTTGCTGTTGATGGTAAGAAAGTATTATATGACATTGCTCCCTCATAATCTCTCCAATTAGGTGTAAAATGATACTTGACAATTTGAGGGTTACAAAGTGTTATAGCAATATTAACCATGCTGAAGAGAAGGAATACATGGGAGGATAGTGGAAAGGGAGAGGGTGGTACAAGACAAGGACTGGGGAAAGGCTAGATCAGTACTGCCTTACATTATTGCATTGTGACTGCCTTGCATTGTTGCCTTTCTATTGTCATTCCCTCATCTTGTTGCCTTAATAGTATGTGATAATTATGCTTTGAATACATGTATTTATTCCCCTCTTTTCCGGTCTCTAAAATAATGCTCTAACTTATAGCTTAATTGTCTCTTGTGAGAAAAAGGTCTGCTAAGACAATTACTGTATGTAATAAATGTTCATGAAATTGATAGGTTTCTCCCTGGAGTCCTGGCTGTTGACAAAGGGTTACACAGACTCAGCTGATCTACCTAATTATGTTGTGTCTGAGCTGCTGCATGACCTGGACATTGCTCCATTTCTAATGGACACAAGCTGTAACAGGAGATCTATTCCATTTTACCCAAACACTGATGGATGGAACAAAGGTGATTCAAAAATAACTTTGTAAACAATTTTTTCCATGATAAGTCGGAATGAATTTATCTTGGATTAGCTGTTTAACTTGAGTATAATTTTTAAGACCTAGGTTATTTATTTGAGATTTTATTGATTTCAGCCTGTGACGAGTATGTAGCCCTGAGCCCCGTCGCCTCTAACACCACCTGCCATGTCTTTGACTTCTGTACAGGCGTGAGGTGCTGCTCAGACGTTGGATTTATCCATAGGTCTCTTCACAGTTTCCTCATCATCGACCACTGTAACTACAAGCTGGCAGTGGGAATAGAGAAGATGATCGTCAATACCAGCCTACACTCGTATGTCTACGGCACGACCCAAACTGTCATGTTAAATGGAGTCGTCAGGCTACAGTAAGTCATTTCCTTTATCATGGAATGGTGATACCTACGAAGATGTTATATGAAACTGTTAACTGGTTTGCTTGCCATCTTTGATAAAAGTTTTGAAAGGAGCTGTTTTTGTAGTATACGTGATATTCATACAATATGTATATATTTTGTCTAGGTACTCTATAAATGACTTCCCCAATGAGAACAAGTTCCAGGTGAACGTCAGCCTGAAGATCTGTTTTGAGAGCAGTAAGCCTTGTCTGTTAGAAATCCCCGTGTTCTCAAACACAAAGCTCCCAAAGAAGGTGTGTGACTGGACTACAGACTTCCTTCATCCAAGTAAGTGTTTGTAGCATCCATTGTAACGATTGTTGGTCTTCTTTGTATGCTTCAGGAAGTGTTATTTATTTCTGAACCCATCTTTTTGATTGAAGGTCTTCATTTAAATAGTAGCTACCTTACTGTTAATTATAAGCAGAAATTAATTTTGTATCAAAATTGTCATGATTTTTTTAAGTTATTGGATAGAAATTGAAATTACTTAATTTTTTTGTTGCACACCAGCATTCTCCTTCACTGCATGGAAAGAGGAGAGAAAAATCACTGGGACAGGTCTGTCTGACAATTTCCTGGCAGAGCTGATGGATGACCTTGGACTGTCATCATTTATACTGGGCAAGGACAAGAAATGTAGTGATACCAAAGCACCATTTACTCCAACAGTGGATGGTTGGAATAATGGTGAGAGAGAAAAACATATAATACCCAACACCATTACACAGATCTCTGATTTTATATTCAGTGTAAAGATTAACTTTGTGTTCATTTAGAAAATTTGTCATTCCTATCATTTTGAAATTTTATAATGTAAGTGTGATAACTGATAACGTTATCCCTGCAAAGAACGTGCAAGTCTTTTTTCCTTTTCAGAGTGCCCTCAGTCCCTCAAATCCGCCCTGCCTTCTCTGTCTGTTCAGCCTATCACCTGTCATATTGACTCCTCCTGTGGTGGTGTCCAGTGCTGTATAGATGTGGCTTCCCTCAGCACCACCTTCACCACCAGACTGGAGGTGGACCCCTGTAACTATAAGATGACTGTGGGTATTGAGAGGCTGACTTTCTCTAAGGACCTGTTTGATTATGAGTGGGGACAACAGGAAGAAATATGGATGTTTGGGGTAGTCCGAATGAAGTAAGTTATAGTGTATGCATGTTTTTGCAGAGTTACCCGAGAACTTTGTTACAGAAATAAGTCATCCTTACACTACCCATCTTTTTCATATATCTTGATTGCAAAAAGAAATAGTGTGTAGGATAAAATTACAATGTTTTTGTATTGTTTAGATTCACCTTGTATGACCTGTACATAGAGGGGTACATCCTGATTGATATGAAGGTGGAGGTGTGTTTGGAAGCCAGCAAGGTAGATAACTGTGACCTGTCCATTGTTGTCCTGAAAAACTACTACCTCCCCAAACCTAACTGTAGTGGGGATCCTGGCTTTGTCACACCTGGTAAGTCATCATAAAACATTTGAAGAATTACAGCTTTGTCTGATAACAAATGATTATTTATGCTATATTAACTGGCAAATAGTTTCTTTACTTACATATAAAAGAAACAAATGATCATTTATCAGCATTTCTTTCTTCATTTTGTTTTATAATTCAGACATGTTGATACTGAAGTGATATTCTAATTGCTTATAAACCTTAAAATTATTGTCAGTAATTGTTTGGAAGTAAGTTTCACAAACACATCTTGTTCTTTCTTCATTTTGATTTATAATTTAGACATTAGATTTTCTGGATTTGTCACACTCCTACATTTATTATTCAGGCTTCAACATCTCTAGTTGGTTGGCTGGTCAGGGACTGTCCTATACCCAGCCTCTGGATAGCCCAGTAGTGGACAACCTACTGTCTGACCTCTCTCTAGCCCAGTTCCAGCTCGAGCCATCTTGCTCCTGGACAAGTGACCAGTACAGTGATGCAGCCTCCAAATGGACACAGTGTAGGAAAACTTTGATTAAGCTTTTTTCTGAAGACATTTTCTATTAGTGCTCTAGCTTTTTTTTGTTTGGTGTCATTTCACCAAGATCTGTGATACATGTATTTATTTTCCTTTTTGAAAAAGGTGTCATTTCACCAAGATCTGTGATATTTATTTTCCTTTTGGAAAGAGGTGTATTTCAGTAAGATTTATATCCTTTGCATTTTCCTATAAGAAAAATGACATCAGTTTATAATTTTATATTTCAGACTGCCCCTCTGAGTGTACAGACTTCCCTGTCCGCTGTGGCTGACCGGGCCCTCTGTATCGTGTCCCCCTCCTGTACCAACATCACCTGTTGTGTCCTGGTCCCCCTCCTGAACAGGACCTTTGAGGTACAGCTGTCCTTAGACCAGTCCTACAATGAGATGAGGACCCATGTAGAAAAGGTTTCTAGGAGGCAGTCTCTGATTGGGTACAATTTTGGGATACAGGAAATTCTGAGTGTTAAAGGAGTTTACAAACTACTGTAAGTTAAAACAGATTCTGTACAGTGTGGTGGAAACAAATGGTTAAAAACAACTTACAAAAAGACATGATAGATGGATTAGTTGTCCCAATTTTAATGAGTCTGTAATTTGAATTATCCACTGTAAATTTTGCAGGTACAAAGTGAATGAGCTGGTGGATGGCAATCTGTTTGATGTGTCCATGACGGCCCAGGCCTGTTTTGTGGATGGAGGGGACTGTGAACTGAATCTCCCCATTCTGACCAATGCTCTGATACCAAAGATGAATAGAATGTGGAATACAACATATGCATTCAGAGGTAATGAATTGAAAGGATCTTTTCTTTCTTCGCCTTTTATCAATTAAATTGCATGGACTTTAGGTACTCATTTCAGGATCCTATTGTTGTTTTAGACAATGAAAAGTATTCAAACTTTTGTGTCTTATTCTATGTAAGAGTTAAGACAAACATGTCATAATGAAAAGAACATGAACATCTTTAATATTATTGTATTTGAGATTTTATTTATAGAAGATTTGATGCTATGTTATGCTGGCCTGCAATAGGTGTAAATAGATAGGAAATATTGAACATTACACATTTATTTTTGTTTTAGATTTTTCCCTGTCCCAGTGGCTGACGGAGAAGTCAGTTATAGCTGGCTCTGTACTTCAGCCCTATCATGTCAGTGAGCTGTTTGAGAAACTGTCCATAATAGCCTACAAAAAGTCACCATCCTGTAGTAGAAATGGATCTGTATACTCCTCTCCTGATAGCAAGGGTTGGATCAATGGTAGGTCTTCCCCTAACTGGACATGGCTAAGTTGCTGTGCTCAAATTAAGATGCATACAAAATTTGGGTGAATTTCAGATTTAAAGAGGAATGATTTTTAAGTCTTATTAACATTATATTATACATGTAGATTGTGCAACAGTGGATGATATGCTGACCTTGACCTCCTACCCTTTGACCTGTAACCTGGACAGTACCTGTAACAAGGTGTCCTGCTGTGTGGATTCAGACTTCACGAACTCCACTTTTGAGGTTGTCTTTGACTTAAACAGATGTACAAGGATGTTGTATCTACAGATTGAAGACTTAACAGTGCAAATTCCTTACTCTGAAATTCAATGGGGTAAGGTTGAGACAGTTGCACTATAAACTTAAAATTTATGGGTACATTCTTTATAACAGGTATTTATTGACAATGCATTTCTAGTGAAGTTTTCATGTATCATTACTTTATTTTATAGAGAGACCGTCACAGTTTTATCTTAACAGTGTTGTCAGACTAGAGTAAGTAGATTTTTTTACTACATAAGTTTGTGATTTGATGGAATTTTCTTAGGGAGCAAAAATGTAACTGTTGATTGTTTTTGTTTCAGTTACACACTGTATGACCTGTATGCAGAAAACTTCTATTTGGTGGATTTGAAGCTATCCATGTGCTGGGAATCATATGAACCATGTGAATTTGAAGCACAATTATTCAAGAACAAAATGCTTCCTAAGAGATCTTGTCCAGGAAACATGACATTTGAACATCCAGGCAAGAAATTGTGTTTCAGTTATCCTGTTTACTTTGTGTGCAGTTTGTGTAGTATCATGATATTACGTATGGGCAAATGTAAATTCTTTTTAATGCCCTTTATGTATTGAGATGAAATATACTACAACTTAAAACATTGCATATTATCATGTCTCATAGGATTCTCTCTAAGCACTTATTCCACCACCAATGGCCTTGACCAGAACAATCTCCAGGGAAATGACCTGGCCTACCTGTATAATTACCTGGGAATTTCTAGTTACCTGGACACTCCCAGCTGTAACAGGAGTGATGACAAGTACACACCAGGAACCAATGGCTGGAAGAGTGGTAAGTAGTGTGGTAATGCATGTTAAGTTTTATTGGAGAACAGAAATTGTGAATGATAAAATCTTTTGTACATAAATCAAAACCAGTACTGTGTGTATTAAAAGACAAGCTACAAGTATATATTCTAGTGACTTTGGTGCAAACATCAATGCACCATTTCATGATTACCATTTTTATGCCCCGCCATGAATATGGCCGGGGCATATAGTGTTTGTCATGTCCGTCCTTCCGTCCTTCCTTCCGTCACATTTTGCATTAGCTCTGTTCAAAGCTAAGTTTCAAAGAAACTATCCAAGATATTTTCATCAAACTTCATACACTGATAGATATTGATGAGAGCTATGCAACTGCATCAACATTTGTTGACCTTGACCTTTCCTTTGACCTTGACCTCACTTTTCTTAAATTAGTGTTTAGCTCAGTTTTAAACATACCATTCAAGATGGTGTTATCAAACTTCACATGTTGATACAAACTTTCACGGATGATGCATCTAGGGATGAACACTACAAGACTTGCTTCGGATGCTGGATCTGACCTACATTTTCCAGATGAGTGACCAGGTTAAAGTTTTTGGAGCAGGTCCATTCCTAAGGAATTATAAACCCTACTTGGACCAAACTTGCATAGAGATGCATCTAGAGATGGACACTACCAGACTTGCTTCGGATGCTGGATCTGACCTATATTTTCCAGATGAGTGACCAGGTTAAAGTTTTTGGAGCAGGTCCATTCCTAAGGAATTATAAGCCCTACTTGGACCAAACTTGCATAGATGATGCATCTAGAGATGGACACTACCAGACTTGCTTCGGATGCTGGATCTGACCTATATTTTCCAGATGAGTGACCAGGTTAAAGTTTTTGGAGCAGGTCCATTTCCAAGGAACTATTAGCCCTACCCAAACCAAACTTGCAGGGATGATGTATCTAGGGATGAACACTACAAGACTTGCTTCAGATGCTGGATCTGACCTACATTTTCCAGATGAGTGACCAGGTTAAAGTTTTTGGAGCAGGTCTATTCCTAAGGAACTATAAGCCCTACTTGGACCAAACTTGCATAGATGATGCATCTAGAGATGGACACTACCAGACTTCCTTAGGATGCTGGATCTGACCTACATATTCCAGATGAGTGACCAGGTTCAAGTTTTTGGAGCAGGTCCGTTCCTAAGGAACTATAAACCTTACTTGGACCAAACTTGCATGGATGATGCATCTAGAGATGGACACTACCAGACTTGCTTCGGATGCTTTATCTGACTTATATTTTCATTCCCAAGTAACTATAAGCCCTACCTGAACCAAACTTGCATGTCTGATGCATCTAGGGATGGACACTACCAGACTTGCTTTGGATGCTGGATCTGACTTATATTTTCATTCCATAGTAACTATAAGTCCTACCTGAACCAAACGCATGGATGATGCATCTAAGGATGGACACTACCAGACTTGCTCCGGATGCTGGATCTGACCTATATTTTCATTCCATAGTAACTATAAGTCCTACCTGAACCAAACTTGCATGTATGATGCATCTAGGGATGGACACTACCAGACTTGCTTCGGATGCTGGATCTGATCTATATTTTTATTCCCAAGTAACTATAAGCCCTGCCTGAACCAAACTTGCATGGATGATGCATTTAGGAATGGACACTACTAGACTTGCTTCGGATGCTGGATCTGACCTATATTTTCATTCCCAAGTAATTATAAGCCCTACCTGAATCAAACTTGCATGGATGATGCATCTAAGGATGGACACTACCAGACTTGCTTCAGATGCTGGATCTGACTTATATTTTCCAAACAAGCTATTCAGCTGCATCACTATTCAAGATATTCTGATCAAATTTTATACACATACAAATTTTCATGTTGCTTTAGGCCATATAAAATTGAAATCTTGGTTCTCAGGCCCGCACGCATCCGTTTTGAGGTAGCCGCATTGCCAATTTTATTGTATTTTTGATAAAATAAAAAGTTGGTATTGCGGAGACCAATCCGGGAAAAAAAATTCTGACCTCATTTGTTTCGTAGTTTAGTATTCAAATAACACTTCCGGTAGCCATTTACAATGAGATTTTGGCAACTTAGTTTGAAATACATTCGATGACATTACCTACGATGTTTACACGCTGTTAAGCAATGGATAAAGCAGAAATTTTGACCAGAAATGGAAAGTATATCTGTGATTAAAAAAATTATCTTTATGTTAAAGAAAAATCGGAAATTAAAATTAAAAAAAAACCTCCCTCATCTACTTTATTGCCAATAAAATGAAAAATAAAATGCCGCCCTCCCACATCTGTTTTGGAGAAAATTGGCCTGAGAACCAGGGAATTAAATTTAGATAGCCTTACTAATATATTCTCGGCGGGGCATTCAGTCCCATGGACATATTTCTAGTCATACAGTGTACATGTATTACTAATGGAAACAATGCACATTGCAAATGTTAGTATTACTGATTCTTGAAAATGTCAACCACTTGGTATGCAGTTATTGCACTAAACTTTGAATACATCAATCTATGGACACATACACTTTTAATTTCTGTTTTTGCAGCCTGTCCAGTGGATTTATCATCATTTTTGCCATCTCTGGCCTCAAATATGAACTGTCATATAACATCTACCTGTACCAAGATAGAATGCTGTGTTGAAGTGGACAAGTTTGATTCTCGGCCGCTGAACTTTTATATTGACTTGGATAATTGTGACTGGATGATAAGCTATGGAATGGACAGTTTCGTTATGAAACCAACAGTTTTATCCAATTTTGAATTTGATGTGTGGCATGAATTTTGGATGAAAGGAGTTTTGAGAATGAGGTTATTCATTTTTTACCTCTTCTGAGCCAAAGGCTTAAAGAGCTAATGCTATGGCAATTTGTGCGGTGTGCGTCGTGCGGTGTGCGTTAACTTTTTAGAATATGGGCCATAACTCAAGAACCCCTTGGCCAATTATTGTCAAATTTGTCACAGGGTATCCTTGGCCCAAGGGCTACCATTTGAAGTAAAACTAGGGGTGGGACCCTAAAACAAGGGGAGATAATCAGGAAAGTAAAACCAAAAGTACTGGTTGCTAAAAAATCTTCTTCTCCAGAACCACCAGGCAGATTTTCCCCAAACTTGCATACAAGGGTCAAGATATGTTGAAGATTAAAAATTTTTCAAGGCATGACCCTGAGGCAAAGGGCATGGTCTCAAGGTTACTTCAAAGTTGACCAAAATTTACACATTAAAAACGTTGATATTTTGCTTACTATAAAGAATAGGATCATCAAATCTTGTAAGTTGATACATCTCAGGACTTCACATCATGTTAATACAAAAGTAGGTCACAGTGACCTACTTTTTAAAATTTACGGGCTTTTGTTTTCAAATTGATTTGGAGGCATATTTTGGACACTTTAAGGCCTATTATCTTAAAACTTTGTCAGTTGGTTCATCTTGGGTCAACAAACAACATCAACTTAAAAATAGGTCATTGTGACCTACTTTTTGAATTTTATGGCTAATCTTTTCTAAAACATTTAATCCCCTTATTTCATATACTAAAAAGTTTAAAATCACCAAATCTTGTAAGTTGATGCATCTTGGGGCCTTAAAACATATTTACCAAAAAGTAGGTCACTTTGACCTTCTTTTTGAACTTTGCAGGCATTTGTTTTCAAATGTTTAAAAGGCATATTTTGAATACTATTAGACCTATGATCATCATATTTTGTCAGTTGATGCATCTTTAGTCTTCAGAAAATGTGGACCAAAAAGTAGGTCACGGTGACCTACTTTCGACATTTTATGGCTAGATTTAAGTATCTCGGGTACTAATTGGCTTAGAATCATCAAAATATGTCAGTTGATGCATCTTGGGTTTTTGGAGATTGACAACCAAAAAGTAGGTCACTGTGACCTACTTTTGACATTTTATGGCTATATTTAAGTATCTCAGGTACTTATTGGCTTAGAATCATCAAACTTTGTGATTCGATGCATCTTGGGTTTTCGGAGCATGTCGACCAAAAAGTAGGTCACAGTGACCTACTTTTTGACATTTTATGGCTAGTTTTATGTATCTCAGGTACTAATTGGTTTAGAATCATCAAACTTTGTCATTTGATGCATCTTAGTTTTTTGAAGAATGTCAACCAAAAAGTAGGTCACAGTGACCTACTTTTTAATATCTCAGGTACTGATTGGCTTAGAATCATCAAACTTTGTCAGTAGATGTATCTTGGGTTTTCGGAGAATGTTGACCAAAAAGTAGGTCATGGTGACCTACTTTTGACATTTTATAGCTATATTTAGGTGTTTCGGGTTTTTATTGCTTTAGAATCATCAAACTTTTTCATTTGATGCATCTTGGGTTTTTGGAGAATGATGATCAAAAAATAGATCACATTGACCTACTTGTGACATTTATGGCTATATTTAAGTATTCTTGTGTACTTATTGGCTTAGAATTGTCAAACTTTGTCAATTGATGCACCTTGGGTTTTCGGAGAATGTTGACCAATAAGTAGGTCACTGTGACCCACTTTTGAATATCTCAAGTTCTTATTGGCTTAGAATCATCAGTCTTTGTCAATTAATGCATCTTGTGTCCTCAGAAAATTTCAATCAAAAAGTAGGTCACCATGACCTACTTATAGTATTTTATAGTTTACATTTAAATATCTTCAGCCCTAACTGGCTAAGAATCATCAAACTTTGTCAGTTGATGCATCTTGGGTCTTAGGATAGATTGTATAATTTATCAGAAGAGCGATTCAAGGCCCTTGGGCCTCTTGTTTTTTTTTAATGCAATTCATTCCACTGTAGAATTTGAAGGCAATGCCATGCATACTAACATGTAATTTCTACATATTAGGTTTATGGTAACAGATTTACCAGGAGCAAACCAGTTTAGAATAAGTCTGACTTTCAGTATATGCTTTGAAGATGGGTCAGTTTGTGAACAGGAGCAAGTTATTTTCACCAATGCTTTATTACCTAGGCAGACTTGTGACTTCAACATTGGAACTCCCATAACAAGTAAGAAAGATCATGCCTGCAGATTGTCTTGTGAAATTTGAAATAAGTTTCTTAGCAAAGTATCTTTAAAAAGATGAATGCTAACAAAAGAATTTTAACCTTTCTAGATTTCACCTTCACTGACTGGAAGAGACAGAAAGGCTACTCAGTCATGGAGGGGTTCAGCATAGCTAAGCTAGAGGAGGAACTAGGATTGTATGGTTATCTACACAATGCCACATCTATCTGTAACAGAACTGTAGGAATATTTGCAAACTCCACAAATGGATGGAAAAATGGTAAAATGATGATAATCCAGAAAATTCCCTCTGTGTTTGATTTGAGAATTTAATTTGGAAAGTAACTTAAACTTATCACTTCCCGAATAATTTTAAAGACATGGATTTTCTTTCACTTTGAATTCTAATGAAAATCCTTTATTCACAGCAATGGGTTCGAGATATATTAACATACATGTATGTACATGTATACACTTTTTGCTTTCCTGCAGATTGCCCAGTCCCTATATTTGGATCCCTACCTTATATTGATGGCCCCATCACCTGTAACCTGGGCCCCTCCTGTATCTCCCTCACCTGTTGTGTCCTGACAGAGCCCCTGTCCAGACATCTGACCTTGGCATTAGAACTGAGTCACTGTGAGGACAAGATGACCATCACAATGGATAAATACACACAGCAGATTAAGATCAGCCAGTACCAGCACTGGGGTAGGACTTTTTTTTAGCAAAGAATCAACAATAGTATTTTCCAGATCCTGATCTGAAATTGTTTATTATAAACTTGCTATTTTGATTGTTCTAGGCACCACACAGGTTTTGGATGTCAGTAATGTTATAAAGCTAAGGTATGATAGTCCACATGCTTGTCATATAAAGTTCAGAAACACAATTTCTACTCACCAAAATTATATCTAATAAGAGAGAAAAAAGCATTGTTATTAGCAAACTTTATATTGAATTCCTTACCCTTGCCTGTGTAGTTTTAACCTGGAGAATCTGGAGAGTGAGAACACGTTCCTGATCAGTTCCTCCATCACTGCCTGCTGGGAAGGACCCAGCAGCTGTCAGAGTTTTCCCCTCTTTACCAACGTCAGACTGCCAAAATACACGGGAATGCATGAGTGTGACTGGAAAGCGGAGTTCATTCAGTCAGGTAAATAGCATAGTTAACAAGACTAGGAGAACACTCAAAGCATGTTACATGACATTAATATTTTTGTGCAAAAAAAATTGACTTTGTGTAATTGCAGTCCACAAAAACATATTCAAAAACATGGAAAAGCACAAGCACAAACTTTAATTTGTGAAACATTCTATAGATTTCTTTCATGATAGAGTTTATTGTCCTTACAGATTTCACATTAACTAACTGGCTGACTACCAATAGTTACACTGACAGCACTCCCCTGGCTGCTGTCACACAACAGGACCTGATGAAGTACCTCCAGATGGCTTACTACAAGGATCCAGACTGTAACGGAGCAAGTGCTCCCTACACTCCAGCCAATCCAGACAGGTGGAACACAAGTAAGGCCTGCTAGTCTGCTGTGATACATGGTACTGAAATCATACAAGAAAATATCTCAAAGGTTGAATAAATCATGGAAGTTCTATTTTTTAGGTCACCTGAGTAAACTCAGGTGACCTATTGCTATCACTTTTCGTCCGTCGTCGTGCGTTAACATTTGAACATTTTCAGCTTCTTCTCTGAAACCACTGAACCAATTTCAACCAAATTTGGTATATAGCATCTATGGGTAAAGGGGAACAAAAATTGGGAATTTCATGGTCCCTGCCCCCCTGGGGCCTGGGGGGTGGGGCAAAAACCACTAAAATTAGTGCAATCTTTAAAAATCTTCTTCTTTACTCCTGGACATCAAGCAGTCAAACTGTTTGCATGATTGTAATCAGCATTGAGTGCTCTACCAAAATTGTGAAATTCATGGCCCCGGGGTCATGGGTTCTAGTGCTAGGGCGGGGCTAAATAAGTATATAGTGAAAATGCATTATTTCTTTGAAAATCTTCTTCTCTGCTACTGGGTATTAAATAAACCTACTAAGTACATAGTTATGATGAGCAAGAGTGCCTCTACCAAAATTGTGAATTTTATGGCCCCAGGGTCAGGGGTTCTTATGTTAGAGTGGGGCTCTATAGATTATAATAGTGAAAATACATGAATTCTTTGAAAATCTTCTTCTCTGCTCCTGGGTATTAAATAAACTGACTAAGTGCATAGTTATGATGAGCAAGAGTGCCTCTACCAAAATTGTGAATTTTATGGCCCCAGGGTCAGGGGTTCTGGTGTAAGGGGGGGCTCTTTAGATTATATAGTGAAAATACATGAATTCTTTGAAAATCTTCTTCTCTGCTCCTGGGTATTAAATAAACTAACTAAGTGCATAGTTATGATGAGCAAGAGTGCCTCTACCAAAATTGTGAATTTTATGGCCCCAGGGTCAGGGGTTCTGGTGTTAGGGTGGGGCTCTATAGATTATATAGTGAAATTACATGAATTCTTTGAAAATCTTTCTCTCTGCTCCTGGGTATTAAATAAACTAACTAAGTGCATAGGTATGATGAGCAAGAGTGCCTCTACCAAATTTGTGAATTTTATGGCCCCAGGGTCAGGGGTTCTGGTGTAAGGGGGGGGGGGCTCTATAGATTATATAGTGAAAATACATGAATTCTTTGAAAATCTTCTTCTCTGCTCCTGGGTATTTAAATAAACTAACTAAGTGCATAGTTATGATGAGCAAGAGTGCCTCTACCAAAATTGTGAATTTTATGGCCCCAGGGTCAGGGGTTCTGGTGTTAGGGTGGGGCTCTAAAGATTATATGGTGAAATTACATGAATTCTTTGAAAATCTTCTTCTCTGCTCCGGGGTATTAAATAAACTAACTAAGTGCATAGTTATGATGAGCAAGAGTGCCTCTACCAAAATTGTGAATTTTATGGCCCCAGGGGCAGGGGTTCTGGTGTAAGGGGGGGGGGGTTCTATAGATTTTATAGTGAAATTACATGAATTCTTTGAAAATCTTCTCTGCTCCTGGGTATTAAATAAACTAACTAAGTGCATTGTTATGATGAGCAAGAGTGCCTCTACCAAAATTGTGAATTTTATGGCCCCAGGGTCAGGGGTTCTGGTGTTAGGGCAGGGCTCTATTGATTATCTATTGAAAATACATGAATTCTTTGAAAAAAATTCTTTTCTGCTCCTAGGAATGAAATAAAATAATTACATAGTTATGATGAGCAAGAATACCTCTTCCAAAATTGTGAATTTTATGGCCCTAGGGTCAGGGGTTCTAGTGATAGGGCGGGGCTCTATAGATTATATAGTGAAAATACATTAAATCTTTGAAAGTTTTCTTCTCTGCTCCTTGGTATTAAGCAGATGAACTACCTATATAGTTATGATGAGCAAGGGTCCTAATCTTCCAGAATTGTGAAATTCATGGCCCCGGGGTCATGGGTTCTAGTGCTAGGGCGGGGCTAAATAAGTATATAGTGAAAATGCATTATTTCTTTGAAAATCTTCTTCTCTGCTACTGGGTATTAAATAAACCTACTAAGTACATAGTTATGATGAGCCCTCTACCAAAATTGTGAATTTTATGGCCCCAGGGTTAGGGGTTCTTATGTTAGAGTGGGGCTCTATAGATTATAATAGTGAAAATACATGAATTCTTTGAAAATCTTCTTCTCTGCTCCTGGGTATTAAATAAACTGACTAAGTGCATAGTTATGATGAGCAAGAGTGCCTCTACCAAAATTGTGAATTTTATGGCCCCAGGGTCAGGGGTTCTGGTGTAAGGGGGGGCTCTTTAGATTATATAGTGAAAATACATGAATTCTTTGAAAATCTTCTTCTCTGCTCCTGGGTATTAAATAAACTAACTAAGTGCATAGTTATGATGAGCAAGAGTGCCTCTACCAAAATTGTGAATTTTATGGCCCCAGGGTCAGGGGTTCTGGTGTTAGGGTGGGGCTCTATAGATTATATAGTGAAATTACATGAATTCTTTGAAAATCTTTCTCTCTGCTCCTGGGTATTAAATAAACTAACTAAGTGCATAGTTATGATGAGCAAGAGTGCCTCTACCAAATTTGTGAATTTTATGGCCCCAGGGTCAGGGGTTCTGGTGTAAGGGGGGGGGCTCTATAGATTATATAGTGAAAATACATGAATTCTTTGAAAATCTTCTTCTCTGCTCCTGGGTATTTAAATAAACTAACTAAGTGCATAGTTATGATGAGCAAGAGTGCCTCTACCAAAATTGTGAATTTTATGGCCCCAGGGTCAGGGGTTCTGGTGTTAGGGTGGGGCTCTAAAGATTATATGGTGAAATTACATGAATTCTTTGAAAATCTTCTTCTCTGCTCCGGGGTATTAAATAAACTAACTAAGTGCATAGTTATGATGAGCAAGAGTGCCTCTACCAAAATTGTGAATTTTATGGCCCCAGGGGCAGGGGTTCTGGTGTAAGGGGGGGGGGGGTTCTATAGATTTTATAGTGAAATTACATGAATTCTTTGAAAATCTTCTCTGCTCCTGGGTATTAAATAAACTAACTAAGTGCATTGTTATGATGAGCAAGAGTGCCTCTTTCAAAATTGTGAATTTTATGGCCCCAGGGTCAGGGGTTCTGGTGTTAGGGCAGGGCTCTATTGATTATCTATTGAAAATACATGAATTCTTTGAAAAAAATTCTTTTCTGCTCCTAGGAATGAAATAAACTAATTACATAGTTATGATGAGCAAGAATACCTCTTCCAAAATTGTGAATTTTATGGCCCTAGGGTCAGGGGTTCTAGTGATAGGGCGGGGCTCTATAGATTATATAGTGAAAATACATTAAATCTTTGAAAGTTTTCTTCTCTGCTCCTTGGTATTAAGCAGATGAACTACCTATATAGTTATGATGAGCAAGGGTCCTAATCTTCCAGAATTGTGAATTTCAAGGCCCCAGGGTCAGGGGTACCATAAAGAAGGGGGGGGGGGCTGTACTTATATACTGAAACTGGATGAATTGTTTTGAAATCTGCTCCTTGGTATTAATCAAATATTTTTGAAAAGCAAGGGTGCCTTTTCAAAAATTGTGCAATGTGTGGATCTAGGCCTAAGGGTCAGGGGTTCATGTGTGATTGGGGCATTACTGATCATGCTGAATATTACTGATTACTTGAAATGCATTTTTTGTTCCCCTACCCTGCCTATGGGTATTAAGTAAACAAACTAAGCAACTGCTAAGTGTATTGTTATGATGATCAATGGTGCCTCTTTCAAAATTGTGAATGCCATAGCATCTGGATTAAAACATGAATCAAATTCAATCACTGGAAAGTTGTTGCATAATGCTCAGGTGACCTATAAGGCCCATGGGCCTCTTGTTTTATGGAAATTATCTAATGTTTTAAAATTTTTATATCCTAGATATTTTGCTAATTTTGTATTGGATAGTTTGATTTCTCACTAATGAGCTACCATGTATTTCTATGAACAGCTTGCTCTACTGGTACAGACCTGCCGACACTTCCCAGTACAATGTCCTGTCATCTCCCTGACATCTGTACTGGAGTGGACTGCTGTGTGTCCAGTACCAAACTGGGCAGGATGTTCAAAACATTCCTGGACATAGACCCGTGTATATCCAAGATCACTGTAAGCATTGACAGCTGGAGGTTTACAGAAACACACAGAAATTTATCTACAGGTAAAGATGCTTACTGAGATGACCTTTTTTGCACTACTATATTTAGAAAAAATATTTTTACAAATTTAATTCTGATTTACAAATCAATTATTTTGATATAATCCTATTAAATGTCCTATACTTCTAGGTTTGGCCAAGAGCATATGGTTACAGGGTGTAGTAGGAATGGAGTGAGCAATTCTTTCATTTTTTTTAAAACCATTCATTTCATAAGTTACAATGTATATAAAAAGTTACAATGTATACATACTTGATAACTGTATGTTACATATCTATTTTATGTAGCTTTGATGTGGAGACCCTTTGGAGTGACCAGATGTATATAGCGAACCTGAAGGTCAGCATTTGTTTAAATAGTGGTGGACCTTGTGAAATCAGCAATCAGACCGTGTTCAGTAACAGCCTTCTAGCCTTCAGGCAGTGTGACTGGGCACAGGCTCTGCCTATTGGTGAGAATAGACTAAATGTTATATGCTTTGGTTTTTACTTGCTATCTACATGTATTTTATTTGGGTAAATCTCACATTTTTAGCTACAAGAGCAAACGGTTACGACTTATTTGCACTTCTAAGACAGTGTTGTTGATGCATTTAATTAATACCATGCAGTGCCATACTTACTGCAAATATGAAAGGTAGCTGGAGGAATGGTTTAAGGCCACAAAGTCAAAGTTCAAATTATAATGTATTATTTGATATTTGTGGCAATTGCCAGAATAAAAAGTGAATTGGTTATCAATCCAAAATATTTTATTTGTAGGGTTTTCTTTAAATGCCTGGAAATCCAGTAACAATTTCTCAGTCAGTGACCCCCTGCCAGAGTATGCTGTAGCGAGGGTAATGGACCAGTTAGACCTGTGGCGGTACCGTAAATCTACAACCTGTCAGAGGCCACAACCACCTTACTCTCCTACATACATTGGATTTGTACAGGGTACGTAACATTTAAGGTCTTGTAAATTTAGATATCAGTTGTTTTTTCATAATAAATGTATTGTATAAGATTTTTCTGCAACCATGGTTTAGTCATTTTCATAAATCTAAGTGAATAGCATGATGAATATTTTGATTTTACACTGTTGAATACATTGATTTTAGCTGAAAGATATTTATTTCTTTGAATTGTGATGTCTTCTATTGTGTGTCTATATGTATTTGTGTTTTAACTATGAGCTAGAGGAGTGTCTTGTATTTGATAGAGCCCCCCTGTAATGTGCCAGGACTGCCCTACAATCTTCAGAAGAAGACGTACTGTGTGGTACAGTCCACATGTACTGCCATCTCCTGTTGTACAGATGACCCAGATATGGATATGACCTTCACCTGGTACATTGACCTTGATGTCTGTAATCATGTCCTAAAGATGGGCATCGAGGAGTACACTGCTCAGTTCTCACTGCTTAATTTCCCATTCAGTAAGTGAATCACACAATTTTACACTTTCAATAAAAAAATATTTAATATGTGTTTTAGTGTATTAAGTTTATTAGTGTAATATTCTGTATTTCAGGAAAACCACAAAGCTTTGTACTTTCTGGAGTATACAAAATAAGGTAATCTATTGCAATATACCTAGGGACTGAATTTGATGTCATTTGTACAACTCTTTCAATGTTGTCATCACTTCATTATCTTTATGACTCTGAATTTTCACTAACACCAGTTTATTTCATTCCAGTAACATAATGTTTTGTTGTATTACAGCTATATCATTTATGATCTGAGTGGAGTAGGGGAGTATATGATGAGTGCTGATGTCTCTGTGTGCTATGAACCCAGTAGTTGTGTCTTCACAGACATTATACTGATTGATGTGCGTTTTCCTAAACCCAGCTGTAACTACAAGTCCACAGATTTTTACATCTCAGGTATTTATTAAAAATATTGTCTGATTTTAAATCATTGGCATTAAAGAAAAAATCTGATCCGTTTACAAGCTTCAGTGTTCACTATGTAGGATTTTCCTTGACAACTTGGTTGACTGACAATAGTCTCCCTGGAGGAACCCTGCCTAATTATGCTGCCAGAAAACTCCTGAAGGATCTGGATATAGCCATGTACATGAATGAGACCTCCTGTAGCTCTGGCACAGGTGTCTATTCTGGTCTTGTTGATGGTTGGAACAAAGGCAAGTCTTTTGTTGTGAAAAAGTGTTTTTTATTCTTGGTGACTTAAACCTAAAAAGGGCAGTAGGTTACTAATGTTATTCTCTTGCACCAAAAAAAAAATGAAAGGCACTATCACAGTTGAACTTCAATATATTGAACACTGATATACATGTATGTATCTTGAATATTATACCATAAATATGTCTAAGTAATTTGACAGTCCCAACCCCTAATACTTTAAGTGATTTACCCTCAATATCTTGGTAATAATAAGGTCTGACTGTATGTTTTGTTCTGTCAGTGAAATCTTTGTTTTATGTCAAATAAGGATCTAAACTTGGCCCTTCCAATGCCTTAAGTCAGGTATTAATCCCTTTCCTTGTAATTTTTTTACAGAGTGTGGTACTCCAGTGACAACGGATTCTCTACCCTCAGGCATTGTGTGCCACATTCCCTCCTCCTGTACCACAGTACAGTGCTGTGTGGACGCCACCACACCACTGGGGCGGTCATTTACCACTGTCCTAGATCTGGACCCCTGTAGCCACCAACTTACACTGGGAATTGAAAACTTTGTGTATACCTTTTCTCTGCTGGATTTCAAGTTTGGTAGGTTCTTTTATCTAAGTTCGCATAATTATAAAAAAAAAAATTTTGAACATAATCAAGATCTTATGTTTACATTTCAAAGTACATTTGCCTCTTTACAATTTATTATGATTATTCATTGAAATGGAATCTGGATGTTTTAAAACTAATATTCTATGGTTTTAGATGAGACACAGCATTTTTACCTGAAGAATGTAGTTAGAATGATGTAAGTCTTTTTTTCTTGAGAAATGGACTTAAATGATGTATTTTCTGGAATATTTAATTGAAAATAGGCTATATTGCACTAATTTTTAATGTATACGATTCAAACTAAAAAAGTTGTGTCATTGTTTATTTTTGGATTCTCCAGGTACTCCATCTATGACTTGGAGAGTGATGGCATGTATGTAGTGGATCTGAACATCAGCCTGTGCTTTGAGTCTGCTTCTGCCTGTTCACTGGATGTAGAAGTCTTTAGACAGACAGTCCTGAAGAAAAGAACTTGTCCAAAATACAAAGGGTTCCTAGATCCAAGTAAGCCAAACACCTGTCTTAAGAATTAGAACCTTTTATTGGCAACTTTTATATCTGTTTACGAGGGTTGTCCCGTAAAATCGTGGACAAAGCGTTTTTCTCGAAAAGTTATGAGCACACTAAGCTCAAAATTTCAGTAATTGTTTATTTATCATATTTAAATGCATGATAATTATTTTGATAAAATATAGGCAAAAATAAAGATTTTATTATGCTTGAATGTGCACGGGGTAGTGTCCTACGGCGCACGGTCAAAAACCAAGGTTTTATTAAAGAATACACAAGTTTGAATTCAAAATAAAAGTTTTAAATACATAAGATTTGGATTAAAATTATCCTCATTCAATTCCACAATCAATTTTTTAGTCTTTTTAAAAATTTTAAGGCATTTGGTTAATTTTTGGCAGTTTCTCGAGCATTCGAAATGGGAAAGTGGTAAACACAACACACGAAAAATGGCGACGTTTTATGACGTTACGGCGCACCGGAGAACGGTTCAGTTTTAATTCGATGTTGTAATGACACCTTTAGGGACTTAAAATGACCACAGAAGAAAAAAAAATATAAAAATATCACCATATCTTTAGTATACAAATGAAAGAGGAGTTTTCTCAGCGAAGTCTTTTTGATCGAGTCCTTGGGGAGTACAAAACATACGGACAAACTCCTTATTTAATAGCAAAAGACGCTGTCACAGTAGACCGCCGATATGAGATTTTCTACTTGTTGAATGGTGGTGAGAATATTGTATGTAACTTACTAATAAATCTTCAGAAGATCGCATGAGGGTGCCAATTGGTTCTTCGACTGTTTATGGAGACTAAAGAATGTGTTTCAATGAAATTCATTAATTAAAGTCGGACTCATCCAACTTCATGTTCAGCAAAGATAAAACGTGACGCTGTTTAAGACACTTTGACGTTATAATCCATGCGCCATAAGGTGATACAATACATGGCATAAAATCTCATAATTTGTTTATTTATGCATATATTTATTTGAAATTTGCTGTGTATATTACTAAAATATGTACTAAATAATAGTGAAAATTTCAGAACGCAGTGATGTTTATTTTTCATACTAGACAACTTGTCCACGATTTTACGGGACAACCCTCGTACATGTATGTCAAGTCATATTACTTGACAATGTATAATCAAGGTTATTGTAAAATGTAAATATAAACGTAAACAATTACAGATTTAGATGAATGACAAATTTTAATGGCTGATCTTAACTTTTCGGAGTTACCAGTAAGAGATTGTGCTCTTATTATGTTCCCCAAACGAAGTTGGGGAACATATTGTTTTTACTCTGTTTCTTATTATTATTATTATTATTATTATTATTATTCCTGGGAAAATTTTGTCCACGAGTGATCTTGTAAACTACACATCCGACTAAGGTAAAATGTTTTTAGGGTCAGTAGACATGTTATGTAGATTTGCCGAACAAAGGTCATTTTGCGCGCACGTGCTTGCAAGAGCGCGCACGTGCAACACGTGAAATGACCAATATAATGGATATTGCTGTAACTTTTCTTTTTTCTAATGTATTTTTTTGAAACTCAAAATGTAAGGATAAATTAGAAGTATACACAAGATGGCATGGTCAAAATAGCAAGATCTTACGCGCATGCACGTGCGCTTCGCTCTGATTGGCTGAAATTAAAGTCTCAATATCTTTCTTGTTTCTTGTCATAATCTTTTGAAATTTTGAACAAAGTCCTATATTTTGAAGATCTACGACATGATATATAAAAATTTTCATGAAAGCATGCGCATGCGCGCTTGCTGCAATCTGATTGGCTGAAACTTTAAATGGCTATATCTCCTTTGTTTTTTGACGAAATGCTTTGAGATATAAAACATAGTCGTGCATTAGAATATCCTACAATATGATATAGAAAGAAGTTCATGAAATCACGCGCATGCACGTGTGCTGCAATCTGATTGGCTGAAACTTTAATAAGATATATCTCCTTTGTTTTTTGACGAAATGTTTGGAATTTTGAAATATAGTCATTCATTAAGATATTCTTTCATACGATAAAGATAAAAATTTATGAAATCACGCGCATCCATGTGGGCTGCAATATGATTGGCTGAAACTTCAAAAGGCTATAACTCCCTTGTTTTTTAACCTAAAATGGTTTTTAGACACTAAAAGGGAGTTGGGGAGCGTTTGGGGAACATCTGTAACGGTTCCCGTTACAATTAGCACTAGTTGTTTTAGACTTCTCCCTGACTGTATGGAAACAGGACAATGGAGCTAATGGCACAACACTGACAACAGCTCAGATAGTGGTATTACAGGAGGACCTGGGACTGTCTAGATACTTCCTGGATACTTCTTGTTCTAGGCAGTCATCGCTATACAACCCTCACATAGACTACTGGAAAAATGGTTAGGATGTTTTCATATCAGAAACTTTATTTAAATTTTTATTTTTTAAAATTGTGTGAGTTATGAACTTTATGCACCACTTGTAAGAGGTCAGGTTTTGATATTTAACCAGTCAATAATCCTTTCATAAAGTATTGGTTTTGCAATCCTTGTGACCACGAACTTTGATATGTAACAGGTTCTAACTACTTTTTTAACAGAATGCTAGAATTCTAGTTAAATCTTTCAAAGGTTTATATTCTTTTTCAGATTGTGGTTCTTCAGCAACAGGAATCAGTCAGTTCACTTCTGCTGATAACATTAACTGTCACCTGGCAACCAATTGTACGACCTTGACGTGCTGTATGGAGGACACCATCACAAGGACAAACATAGAGGTCAGGGCATCAATGGATCCCTGCACCTTCAGCCTGAAACTGAGAGTAGAGAAGATGGCAACCGACATTTCCCTATTGAATTACACTTGGGGTTTGTTAATTTATCTATGTCATGTCAGTTTCAATTGAATTACAGTGTACTTGCATATAATTATGAGAAAAAGTTAATTTATCTGCAATAAAATTTAATGAATCTGTTTTTAGGGGTTCCTGAGAAGGTGGACCTGTATGGGGTGTATGTTATCAGGTAAAATTATTTTGTGATTGTTATAATCTTGTCTTGATAGAATTACTGCATGCAATATAATTCTGTTATAAGAAATAGCCTTGAGGCTGCTCATATCTTCTCCATTAGTATTGATAATTCTGTCAGCCTGACTTTATATTTTATTTTAGTTTCACTCTGGAGAACCTGTACAACTCGAGACAGTACCTGCTGAGTCTGAATGTCAGTCAGTGTTACGAATCAGACTGTGCAGTCAACCATATCATCCTCACAAACTCACTGCTGTCCAAACCTGTCTGTGATTGGTCCAGGGATTATCTCATCAAAAGTAAAAGCATTTCTTACTTTCATACAGTTGTACTTCAGTGTATTGAACATTGATACTATTGATAAGTCAAAGTCATATGGAAGTTCCAAATACTTTTTCTTTATGTATTTTACCTTCAATATTTCAAATTCTTAGAGATCTCAGATTTTTCTATGTCACAGGAATTTGAAATAATGAGATTTGACTATATTTGATATTAAGAATATTTGATATTAGAGCTTTAAATTCACAGAGTAAATGTTCGAAGAAAATGTTGAATTTGATGTACTTTTAACATTATATCTTGTTCAGACTTTTCTCTGGCCAAGTGGAGGTCAGACCGGACCCTCCCTGGGACTGGACCGATCCCCAGTAATTACCTGCTGAGACTGATGGATGAGACAGGGATAGCTGGGTATCTAAAGGAACCAAGCTGTGACAGGACGGCTGGACTGTATGCTGGGGCTGTTAACGGGTGGACCAGTGGTAAATCAGTTTTAAACAGCAGGGCAGAAAGTGAAATGTATCTTCTATAAATCTGTTAAACATATTGAAAATGCTAAACAATGGCTGAATTTTATCCTACTTCAGTACATAATCTTATAATCTGCATTAGTCTGAAATCAGTGGAAATTACAGTGTTCCTGTTGATTTTTAAATATATATGAATATTTGTAGTAGTCCTTCATATAAAACACATTATATTGGGTTTTACAAACAGAGAATTCTATTTCAGCCTGTGCAGTAAATGTGACCTTGTTAACTCTGACCTCTGACCTTACCTGTAACCTGCTGACCTCTTGTACTGGAGTTCAGTGCTGTGCATCTTCCTCCACTCTACAGAGAACTTTTGAAGTTTATGTGAACATTGATTCCTGTAGCAGCAGTCTCAGCATACAAATAGAACAACTTTTCTACAACCATACACTGGTCAACTTCCAGTGGGGTATGAGAAAAAAAGCTTTGTGGGGAAATGATATTGTCAGAAATAGATTTTTGCCTCCTTCAATTACTTTCTTTTTTTCTCATTGAGTATTGGTTATGATAATCTAGATTTTTATTTGTCTCCTGTGATTTTTCAGGAGTGGAGCAGCATTTATGGTTATTTGGAATATACAGAGTAGAGTAAGTAAGATGCAAATATTATAAATGTTTTAGTCTACGATCAATAACATTAAAATATGAATGACTTTGAAATTTTTCCTAACAGCTACATGTTAGATGACTTGCTAGAAGAGAATGCCTATTTGATTACTCTGGAGATCAAGTCATGTTTTGAGACCTCCCCTCCACAGTGTGAATCCTCAGAGTCCTACACAGTGTTCAACAGGACAATTCTCCCCAAAACTAACTGTGTCTGGAACGCAGCATTCAAACATACTGGTAAAATAGATCATCATCATTTATCAATCAGCATATGAGTTAGCGTAGAAATATGTTATTCTTAGTGCTGTGAATGATGAGACTTCAGGACAAATATTTTGACATCCTTTGCAGGATTTTCCCTGTCCACCTGGCTGTCAGATAATGGTCTGGCAGACACAACAGAGTTACAACAACAGGATCACCTGATTTCCCAGCTGTTACACGAGATGTCAGTATCCCAGTACCTACAGACACCAGCATGTGGTGGATCTAAAGGAGTGTACAGCTCAGCTATCAATGGCTGGAGTTCTTGTAAGATGGTCAAGGAGTCTCAGATGTTTATATCACATCATCCTTAAATCAATTATTTTGCATAAGTATTATTTGATTTTAGGATGTCTTCCATTTAGCACTTTTTCCTGTCAATTTGAAATATCAATTGAATACATATTTCATCGATAATAAGTGTCTGGTGAAAGTACATTTAGTTCCTTATATGCTTGAAAATATATTGCTTTTTTTGGCATGCAAAAAAGTCTAGAGATTTACAATATGCTGAGAGTATTTGGGATGTTATTTTACAGAGTAAAAATAAAAATGAAAAGCTTTTGCTTCATGCATACATGATACACTTTGTAGATAAGATCTATATAGAATGAGAATTATTTACAGTATGCTCCAGGAGTGTGAACACTGGTAATGTGACGGGCAGCGTGTGTCATCTGACATCAGCGTGTACGTTCTCCGAGTGCTGCACAGAGATTGATTTCCTACAGAGATCCTTCAGGACCTTCCTTAACCTTGACCCCTGTAACTTTGTCATGGTGGTCGGCATCGAGACCTTCAGCAGGAACATCTCACTCGCAGGCTATCAGTGGGGTCGGTAGAATTACTCAATTAAATGATTTAATCATTGAGAATTCAACGCTGAATCTAGCTTTGCTTTTAATTTGACTTTTTATTTGTATTTTCAGGTGTTCAAGAACATTTCTGGCTTGCTGGGATGATCAGAGTAGAGTAAGTTTTGGGAGTAAGTGTTATTTTTGACATAGTTTAGGAAAATACATGACAGCTGCACAGTAACAATTTTTTTCTCCTTTAAGCTTCACTGTGGATGACATGTATGGAGAGAGATTATTCCTGGTCAACATGAACCTGAGTTTTTGCTTTGAGTCAGGATCAGCTTGTTACAAAGTGATTAAAGTGTTTGAAGACACACTTCTTCCAAAGGCAGCATGCAGCTGGAATTCCCAAGCAGGTCTGAAAAAAAATTTGTAATTTTGTTGTATCATTTGAAATTTTTGGAATTGAAAAAGCATGTAAGCAGTGATGTTTTACATTAAAGTAATTCTCTTTGATTGATTGCTTTGTAGGTTTCTCTGTGAGTGACTGGAGGTCCAGTAACGGGGTACCAGCAGGTGCCCCTATGACCGGCTGGCCAGAGTCTCTGTTGTATGAAGAGCTGGACATTGCCCAGTATCTGTACAGTACACAGTGTGTCAGGGGAACAGGGCTCTTCACAAGCTCCAGAGTCTCAGGAGTGGACATTGGCTTTAACACAGATGCTAGCACTTATTCACAGTGTAGGTTCATTTATAGAGCAATGGGTCAATAATCTGTCTTTGGTAACTGTCAACATTGCAAATTATTAATAGGTTAACCACAATTACATTCTTTGAGCTTTGTACTTCAATAGAATATTTTCTTAATTACAGTGTGTCAGTTGTCGGTGGACTTCAGTGGTCACCACATGGCCACCACCACAGCAGACAAGGTGACCTGTTACCTTCCCTCGCTGTGTACCGCTGTAGACTGCTGTGTAGAGGCCACGTCTCTATCTCGCTCCTTTAACTTCTACATCAATATAGACCCCTGTAACTACATCCTGAGGGTAGGGATAGACAACTTCTACTTCAATCAGTCACTGGACAGATACACATTTGGTAAGTTCTTATTTCTATCTTTCATGTAAAAATGTGTGTACAATTTTCGCAAACCTGCTTTGATTTTAGTTAACATCTCTATTCTTTTATTCTTTTGGTACAGGAGAAGAAAGGTTGTTCTCATTGGCAGGAATCTTGCAGCTGAGGTACTTACACAAACATTATGATTATATTATAATCATTAAACTTGAAAGACTCTTGATGAGTAGATTTGACTTTTACAAGCAATTGAATGTCTATATTATTTATTCTCTTCAGATACACTATAAACAATTTAGTAGATGAGAGACTGTACTTGTTAAACCTGAAACTGAGTGTATGTACAGAGAGTGGATGTGAAGCTAATTACACCATCTTCAAGGACATGCTGCTACCAAAACAAGACTGCTCATGGAGTCCAGGATTCATTGATGCTGGTCTGTATATAAACAATTATCTTACAGTATTATGCAGTTTGGATTATTGGTTTCGTAATTATACCCCCCGCAAACGAAGTTCTAGTTTCTTTTAAGAAACAAAAAGTATTTGGCTGGTATACAGCGTCTTGCTTAGTTTTGTAGAAAACATTCAGAACAACTTAAAATAATTTTTATTGATTTTGAATTTTTTGAAGGAGTTGATGGTATAAGAAGTGATTATGATAGATATTTAGAAATTTTCTTTGTTACAGGTTTTGTTGTGACAGATTGGATGAGCAGTAATGGTTACAGCAGCCCACTGACAGACTCACAGACAGCAGAGCTGATGAAGACTATTGGAGTAGGTCCCTATCTCCTAAAGGATCAGTGCAGTCCTTCAACAGGAAGATTTAAAAATGCCCAAAATGGATGGGTTAAAGGTATGGTAGTCTCATTGATGAAAAACCTACAGATTTTGCATGTGTACATGTACTTGAAAGTTGGAGATAATACTGCAAAGAAGCATGTAGAGATGAAATGTAAAAAAAAAAAAAAAAAAAGTGTGAAATGTGAAAAAGTGTGAAATAAGCAAAAGAGTTAAATGTGAAAAAAAAGTGTGAAATTGGGTGGGGAATGAAAAAAGTTCCTGCTGGATGATCGATGTGACATTCTAGGTATAGTCCCATGAAATTTCACATCCATGTTTTATCATATGGATGTTGATTTTTTTCTGCAGGTTGCTTCTCTCCAGTGTCCTTGACCAATCTGACCTCCACACCTGTGGTCTGTTACCTGGATTCTACCTGTACGGCTGTAGACTGCTGTATCCAGGTCACCAGGATCAGTAGGAACCTCAATGTCAAGGTCACCTTGGATCCTTGTTCCCACATGCTGAAAGTGGAACTGGAGAGATTCCAAATTAAACTGGATTTGTTGACCTACACTAAAGGTAATAGACACATGACTAATGACTAGTATATTAGATGGAGAATTTTTGTTTTTGTTAACTTAAAGTTAACTTTATACAGAATATGTAAACTTTTCTTCTTCTATAATCAGGCACAGTGAAAGAATATTCTCTGCTTGGATTCTTGAAAATGAGGCAAGTCTCAATTTTTGCATGTGCAAAAAAGAACAGAAATATACATGCAGTGTATTTAGTGAGTTTGACATAGATTTGCACATTCCTTTACAGAATGTTCTAGCAATCTAACTGAGCTGTTTCAGTTTATGTATTTATGATGTTTCCTTTTGTCCTGTAGTCTTAAAGTCGATGACCTGAGATCCCAGAACAATTACCTGTTGGACCTGGATGTTCAGGTGTGCTTTGACAGTGGATCTTGTGACGTCAGTGTATCTGTACTGAATAACACCAAGTTATCAAAGAGGTCATGTGATTGGTCTGCTGGTCTTCAAGGTAGAAACAATATCTCAGAATTTATAATTGAAGATGTTTTTAGTATACATGTATATGAAAATCAGCATACTTATAATAAAACATCATTTAAATGAACAATGTACCATGAATTCAAATGGAGTAAAAACATATTTTACTAAGTATATATGTGAAAAAAAAAGATGGAAGTCAAAGCAACATCCATGGATGAAATTTTTTTCCCTGATTTCTGTATGGATGAGGCTTTTGTATATTTTGCAAGGTTTCAGGTGTTTTATATCATATGATTGTAGGCCTGTCAGTTACAAAGTGGCTGACTGATCTAAATGTGGACAACACCACAAACCCACTCCCTGACCACCTACAGAGCTTGCTGCTGGAGGATCATGGGATAGCTAACATGATGAAGGAGACTCAGTGTAGCAGAACGATGGATGCAAAGTACTCTACTACAAATACCACAGTGGATGGATGGAATTCTGGTGAGATGAACCAATTCTTCTTTGCTACATCTATGTAGTTTATGGTAGTTTATGATAAAAATGTACACAGCAGTTCTTTATTGACATGACATGGAAGCATGACTGTATTTCCACAGTCAAACCCCATTATCTAGAACTCAGAAGGACCCTTGATATCCGAGGACTCTGGAGAATTTGAGGTTAAAATACAAAGAAAAAAGGTAGCTTTGACTTCAACAACAAACTCAAGTAGACATGTACATGTAGACCTGTATTTGAGATGTTGATGTTCAAGATACCAAGAGTTGACTGTTTCTTGAAAAAGTAACCCTGCTGAAAAATTAAACTTCTGAAAAATCATTATACATGTACATGTATATTACTCTCCTGTCATTAATCTTTATGTTTTATAGATTGTGCCTCATCCCCTTCACTGCCCACACTATCAGGGGAGATAACCTGTAACCTGCTGGATTCCTGTACCAGTGTCAGCTGCTGTGTGGAGGTCACCAGATTTAACCAGAGGTCACTCGAGGTTGCCATGGATTTCAACCAGTGTGGGAACTACCTGGACGTGACAGTGGAGAAGATCACCACCTCATTTCTCCTCAATGACTTTAAATATGGTAAAAAATACAGTCTTGAATTGGAATGCTGTAATCCCACATTGGATTAGTTTACTGTATGTAGGCATGCAGTCACAAATTTTCTGTGGAAATTTGTCACAGTGTACTAAGTGCCTCTAAGACATACAATGGCAATCAAACAAAATATGCATAATTGTCTAAAGACCCCATGGAAAAAGTATGCTTTAAAGTACGATTGCATATTTTATTTTTAGTATATTCAGTATATAATTTGTCACAGTGTACTAAGTGCAAATCTATAAGTCTTGAATTGGTTCACATCTTTTTACAATGGAAAATAAATGAGAAACAATCAAACAAATTGTGATATGCATAATTGTTTCTAAAACCCTCTTTCTTTCACCACATGCTTCCACTGATGTGTGGACACATATTTCATTGAATTAATTGATAAAATTTTAAGATTTGTATTGTTCTTTTTACATACTATAGTATTGGAATAGTTTGCGATTGCATATTTTATTAGATTATGCATTTTATTTGCGCAGTATATTTCGCGACGATTAATTTTCGGTGTTATCAATTAACACAGTATATACTGATGACATTTGTACCCAGTATTTGTACAACATTTATATTAATATGAAATTAGTGGAATATTTATGTTTTAAATGTTGAGAGCTAATCCAATTCTGTTGCAGGAGTAGTGCAGAAAACATCTCTAAAAGGAATGTTTGAAATGCAGTGAGTATTATCATTAACAAATAGCTCTTATAATTTTATTATTTATAAAACTGGCCCATTCATTGCTCTAGTGCTTAATTAAGGGACAGGCATTTAAAAGTTATAGGATCATGTATGAATATATAATTTTTGGATGAAAGAGAAATTTTAACTTACTGGGTTACTAATTTGATAATAAATGTTACAGATACAATATCACGGAGGATGTGATCAACAAGAAGTATTATGTTGACTTGGCGTTCGCTGTCTGTTATGAAGCAGGCTCGTGTGATGAAATGTTTACAATATTCAGCAGCTTCCAGTATGACATGGTGACATGCAGCTTTAAATACGACTTCTTAACACTTGGTAAGTATTGCAAAAGAAGGTTCATGTAAGTAATGTTCAAGTAAAACACGGTTATACTGGATGCCCTTCTAATGATTTTCAATCTATGTGGTTAAAAAATTATCTTAAATAATATCAACTGAAATGATGAATTACTTTTGTAACAAATCAAAATTGCAAGTCCCTGGCAGTTTCGCTATAACTGTATTTTTGGGTTTTTGCTTTTTTGTGGACTGCAGGTGAAAAAAAATCTGATCTGTATGTTTTGAGAAAAAATAACTAATAATAGTAGCTTAAACCCCTCAATGAAACACACGAGAAATATGGATTTCTCCTTGAACTCTTGAGAAATGCTTCAAAACAATGTTGCAGGTTTTTCTCTGAACACTTGGATGACGTCTAGATCTATAGCCAGTGTGAATGACCTGACAGAAGCCCAGGCAGATGACCTGTTTATGGAGCTCGGCTTGGACCATTTTATGACAGCAGCGGAGAGCTGTTCCTCCTCAGACAGAATCTACAATGGGACAGTCAATGGATGGACCAAAGGTCAGTTTAATTGCAATATTGAGACATTGGGGTAAAGTTGGAAAAGGTTTGAAATTATTGTCAAAGTATGATCCATTTTGCAAAATCAGATTGTTATGCACAGAAAAATGGCTTTGAAGAATTAGAAAATCAATGTACATGTATATAATATGAGGCAATATACATGTATTTGGCTATATAGATAAATATTCAATGTATTGTTCTTTACATTTCAAAATTTATATATTAGAGTGTTAAATAAAAATTTTCCTGGTCTTATAGCGTGTGCCAGCAATGTGCCAGTTCTGCCCACCATAACAGGCAGTGTTTGTCACCTGAAGGCAGACTGTACTTCAGTAGAATGCTGCACAGAGATTGCCTTCCTACAGAGAACCTTCAGAACCTCGGTCACTCTGGATCCCTGTAACTTCCTACTCACTGTCAGCATAGAGCGCATGACAAGGGGGATTACTCTTACTGGATACAGCTGGGGTATAAAACCTTAATAAAGTGATACAGACTAGCTCACAGATATTTTGATCCTAAGCTTTAAAGTAGAATTTATAAGCATGTACAGTTCTAATGTTTATATGTATTTAACAGGAAAGCAAGAACATCATTGGTTAAATGGAGTAGCCAGATTGGAGTAAGTAGATAGAACTTTTCATGTTTTCTTTCAGGTGTTTTGTACTGTTTTGTTGGTATAGAGCCCATTCATGCAAAATGTGCATTCTCTACCTTTGGACAATTTTCTTTGTTCCTATTATAGTCCTTCCATCATGGATGAAAAAAATGAAACATTTTATATAAATTCTGAAGCACCATTTGTCAAATAAAATTGTTCCCTTTTATGTCTATGATGATCTATGATGCTGAAATCTATGTAAAATTTCTTTTCTTCAGCCATCTACTAGTGAATTACTTGCGGTTTGACATCTGTAAGAGCGGCAGTATTTCACGATATTAAACTCACATAAAATAAGGAATCTATAGTATTGAAAAATAGTTTCCGTGATGAAAAGGAAAGAAAAGAGATTTTTTGAAAGTCTTTCAAAATATTCTTAAATTGATATTTTTAACTGCATGATGATCATAACCAATATATTTCAAATGTTAGTTTTCTAGCATTTTTGTATACTGTAAATCACTTTTTATTTGCGAGAACTTGATTTTCGCGTAATTATACCCCCCGCAAACGAAGTTTAGGGGGGGTATATTGGAATCACCATGTCCGTCTGTCCGTCTGTCTGTCTGTCTGTAGACGAGATTTTGTCCGGACCATTACTCAGAAACTATTAGAAGGATTTGTCTGAAAATTTGTACACATATTATTCACCATATGAAGTTGTGCACCTGATATTTTCATCTTGATTGGATTATGATTTTGAATTTTACAGGTGTTTTTTTCATTTTTATTTTGTGGTTTTGTCTGGACCCTTTCTCAGAAACTATTGCAAGGATTAATCTGAAAATTTGTACACTTATTATTCACCATATGAAGGTGTGCACCTGGAATTTTCAACTCTTTTTGTTAATTTTTTTGCATTTTACAGGTTTTATTTTTTATTTTAATTGACTTGTTCATTTTGGGCTCATGTATAAGGTTTGAGATATAGAATCTAGAATATCTGTTCAAAAATACTACAGCTTAAAACTACTCATAAAAACTTAAAAAAAAGAAACATCATCAAGTGTTAAAAACAGTTTTTACATTGCACAGAAGATAATGTAATTTCATTTGTCTCTTGGGAATAATGACTGGACATGCATCCAGTTAAAGATAAATTAATGAGTTTGGTGTTGGAAGTTGTTAAGGCATATCTCTTATCAAGCGTGTGTGTTATCTAATCTCCAGGGAATAAGGCACAAGAATTAAAGATCTCTCTTCTCTTATTCTCTTAATTGTAATTTATTGTCTGTCAAAGCACTTCATTACTGGATGACCAGCTCTTTATTTTCAAAATGCATTTCAAATTGATATATCAAGATTAATTTGATTTTGTATAATGGTTTTTTTTCAACAATCAGTTTGCAGAGTGACATAACACATAATTGCAATATATTTTTTTAATGCAGAAATAAAAAAAAATAAAATGAAAAAATAAAAAAAAAAGTGTTACAATGGAATTACAATGTATTAGTATTGATGTTTCATTTGGTTGCACCTTTGTTTCATTCATTAAGAAACATGATGAGCAATTATATTTCACTGCAAATTTTTGTAAGTAAATTTTGAACACCTCTAGATCCATAAAGTATTTTTGAATTGGCACCTTCTCTGAAAAACCCAGCGGGGGGTATTTGTCCCTATTGGACAGTTCTAGTTACACGAGACAGTGTGCTCGCGAAATATCAATTCTTGCGTATAATAGTATTCCTTAAGAATATTAAGAGCAATAACCACAATTTGCGAGAATTTTGTCTCGCAAATCAAGAATCAATGACTATCTCGCGAAAATAAGGTGTCGCAAAAATTTAGTGATCCACAGTAAAACATAATTAAAAGGTTAGTTAAAAATAAAGTATCATAGATTTAAATTGAATGTACTTGAAAATGATTGAAATCTGATGTTTTTATCAAGTTAGGCACTTGAAAATTTAAGTGTATACTAATGCCCTATGTGAAGTGAGCACCCACAGTTTTAGGGGTAAGAAATTGCAGACAAAAAAATGTGCCACCCAAGGTTTCATTTCCGCATTCGTAACTAATTACCCAATTCGTTTATTCTTTAATGATTTTATGTGAAAATACATACAATTTAATTTTGAACCCATTCGTTTTAGCTACTCTGTCAAGGACATGTATGGCGAGAGAAAATACCTGGTAAACATGAACTTGAGTTTCTGTTTTGAGACAACTGGAGCCTGTTATTTAAGTCTTATCATACTGAGTGATACACTTCTACCTAAAGTCCTCTGCTCTTGGGAAAGCACACCAGGTAAGAGTCCACACTGTAAGGGTACCATATTTCTTTAAAAAAAAAGGAGATAAAATTAGTTTCAGTCTTCATTTAATCCAAGTCAATATAATAAATTTTATGAAATATTACTGGTTTATTAATTGAAAAAATTTACATTTGTTATATTTGTAGCTTTCTCATTAAATGCATGGAAGGCTGGCAAAGGATTGATCCCAGCCAATCCCCTGCCCAGTTGGGCACAGACCATGTTGTTTGAGGAACTTGGAATGGCTCAGTACCTTAAACCCACGGCCTGTGCCAGGGGATCAGGGCTATATATAGACTCCAGGAGTGGGGCAGTTAACATTGGATTCAATACTGATTCCACAACCTACTCTCAGTGTAGGAATCACAATTTGTTTTATAATATGAGACTTCCATATAATCCTCCATAGATTACTTAGTATGGTAATTACAAATGCAAGCAACTATTGTAGAAATGTATTACTTTTGCAGTGTGTCAGTTGTTGGTAGACTTTACTGGTCACCACATGGCCACCACCTCGGCAGACAAGGTGACATGTTACCTCCCCTCCCTGTGTTCCGCTGTAGACTGCTGTGTAGAGGCCACGTCTCTATCTCGCTCCTTTAACTTCTACATCAACATAGACCCCTGTAACTACATCCTGAGGGTAGGGATAGACAACTTCTACTTCAATCAGTCCCTTGACAGATACACATTTGGTAAGGAAAATTCTGTTTTCTGATATTATAATGGTATTCTTTAAAGACAAGGAGTAAACCATCCTAATTGTTATTTAATAGTCTTTGTGGTGTACTTAATTGAAATATATAAACTCTCTGTTGTGCAGGTACAACGGATAATTTCTTCATGACTGGAATACTACGAGTAATGTATGTATTTCACGCTAAATCTTCATACCAATCTATAATGAAGACTAAAATTTCCAAACTTTCTTCAAATATGTTGTTGAAATCCACTGTAAATTATTATTTAGCTTCTCACCCAGTTGATATAATATACATGTACAAAATAAAAATATGTTGTTGAAATCCACTGTAAATTATTATTTAGCTTCTCACCCAGTTGATATAATATACATGTACAAAATAAAAATTGTCAATTGATTATTAATTATCCTTGATTGACATGACTGACATGACACAGGTACAGTATAGAGGACCTGACAGATGACCGAGCCTACCTGGTGTCTGTTAACATCAGTATCTGTACAGAGAGCACCTGCGAGGCCAGCTATGTCTTACTGATGAACATGGTCCTACCTAAACAGCCTTGTAGCTGGGCAGAGGGATTCTATGTGCCAGGTCAGGCCAAACAAAATTTGGTTTATGAATTTATGAAAAGAATTTGTTTAACAGTATTTATAGTGAAAAGTACGTCATACAAACTTCTTGGGAAGGTTGATTGTATTTTCTCCAAAGGTACAACTTTATTGATCAACCAGCTTTAGTGTCACTATTCCAAGTAAAAATAGAAACACTTGATTCTTGCTTTCTTATTTCTTAGAACAATAAAAGAAAATACTCCTGCAAATTGCTTTTACATTATTACAAACATTGTTTTTTGTTGTTTCTGTACTCTGTATAAAGCAGATTTCATCTTTCCATTGGCCTCATTCTGCTATGTTTTCATCATATACTTAAAAATTGTTTTGCTATACATTACCTACTCTTCTTACATCAGAGATAATTTTTTTCAGTATTAATTAGATGACTAATTCAAAGATGAAAAGAAAAGAATTTAATAAAGTTTGGACATAAAAAATTAATTTCTTGGTTCTCAGCCCCCCTCTCCCCCCCCCCCCCCAGCCATCTCTTCCAAGGGTGCCTCGTTGACCCTTTTTATTGTTAAATCAATAAAATAAAAAAACAAAAATTCACCTCCCTCATCATTTTTTGAGGTTTTTATACATTGTAGCTGCCACATCATGTTTTGGGGGCAATAAAAAAGTAAAAAAAAATGCCTTCTTCCCCATCATATTTCTTGAAAAAAGGCCTGAGAACCAAGGAATTAACTTTGCATGGCCTTGGAAGTGTTTCTTATTTTATTCAAATATGAAATCCTCTAGGTTTTTCCTCTGCAAACTGGATAATGTCCAAAGGCTACCTATCCCCCCTCTCAGCCTCGGAGACTGCGGAACTGATGGCATACATGAAGGTGGGGAGGTACCTACTGGATCCTGGGTGTGATGCCTCAACAGGGATTTACTCAGGAGCCACTAACGGATGGAACGACAGTAAGTTTCTGTATTTTGGGATAATTTAGAAAAGTTACCTTAGAGATATATAAATGTTATCTAACTATATTTTAAATAATTTATAAATACAGAGAATTCTATATTTCTGAATTAATTAGCCTGCTCAGCAGCAGAGAATATTCCCAGTTTGACCTCTGACCCCGTAGCTTGTCATTTGTCCAATTCCTGCTTGGCTGTGGACTGCTGTATCAGGGTCACCAAGATCAGTCGGAACCTTAACATTAAACTGGTCCTTGACCCCTGCGCTTACATCATGACAATACACATGGAGAGGTACCAGATAGAGGTCGACCTCCTGACATTTAATTACAGTAAGTTATTTGAATCTTGTAGTTTTAGTAATTTTATGTTATGTTCTTTTACATATTCCCCAAAATAAAATTGTTCTACATACATGTATTAAATGTACGTACCAAGTGTCTCTTTCTGTTCTCTAGGCACTGCTACCACATACCAATTGATGGGCATGATCAGAATGACGTAAGATCTAGAATTTCATGAGGATATTAAATTATAAAATTTCATTGTTCTTTTACTGTAGAAGAGGTATGAATTTATTATGCTTTGTATTTTAGATTAACTCTAGACAACCTGGAGTCTCAGAATAAGTACTTGGTCAGCCTTGATGTCAGAGTGTGCTTTGAGAGTGGATCAACTTGTGATGTCTCCATATCAGTGTTCCAGAACACCAAGCTACCAAAGGGGAAATGTGATTGGACGATGGGACTTGGAGGTAGAATGACATTAAGGATAAATCTCAGAAAAAAAGAGAAATATTTACATCTCAATTTTGTACTAAATTTTCAAATTTAATGGTTTTTGCACAATAAAATTGATAGGATTTTCTCTGGCAACATGGCTGACTGAACAAGGAGTGAGTGGTAACCCAAATCCACTACCAGATCACTTCCAAAGTCTTTTGCTGGAGGATCATGGGATAGCTAATATGCTGAAAGACACCACATGTCTTAGAGATGGCACAGATTCAAGATACGATGACTGGGTTGCAGTTTCTGGCTGGATAAAACGTAAGTTATGGTGAATGATGAAAATTGCATCATATGACACGATTTTCATTCAGAAAGACATAATCAGTGACATGTATGATAATTTGTATTGCATTTCAGAATGTAGGTCAAGAACAGTATTACCCACCCTCCTCCCTTTATCAACTATAAATTGTTTCAACCCTGAATCTTGCACTGCTGCTTCCTGTTGCCTCACACTTGAAAGATTTGGGGGGAGACTAATGGAAATATCTATGGAATATAGTCACTGTGGGAACTATCTGGACATTACCATCGACCGTATACCCATCAAACAGTACTTGACAGGATTTCAGTACAGTGAGTATTTCTACACTCTGCCCAGAAAACCATCAAACATCACGTTTGTTTTTGCCTAGAAACATACTGGAACTGTGAATCCATGAAAACTTAAAACAATTTTATGATTTTGTAGGCACAGAACACACTGTTTCCCTAAAAGGAATGTTCAAACTCAAGTAAGATACATTTTGTATGGATATCATTACAATTTACCACTATGTTGTACCGTATAGCAGGGTTTTTTAGCGAGATGCTAATTTTGGTTTATTTTGGCGTGATGGTAGCCCGCTAAATTTTAATTGCTAAAATATTCAGTACTCTTCTTAGTGTTCATATGCAAAAACCTGAAACCCTGTGTCTGCTAAAATAAATTACAAAATTAAAATTTTACACCCGCCAAGAAAACCCTCTATACTGTATATAACTGTCAACAGATCTTTCCTGTAAAATAATACTTTTCACCAAATCAAGTTAAAATGTGATTAGATATTTCTTTTCCATTTTAAAGTCATGTGTATTTGTTTAATTATTTTTGTAGATATAATGTAACAAAAGATGAGGCAAACAAGGAAATTTTATTAGGTTTTGAGATGCAGGCATGCTATGAACCTGGGACTTGTGAACAGACCTATACCATATTTCAACAGACACCATTTGAAATGAAGACTTGTACATATAATGAAGGGTTTCTGGATTCAAGTGAGCCATTATGATATTTTCCCCATTTTTCTTTTTCTTTAAGCAGTATGTCAAATTTTTTAGCAAAAACTAATTCAACCAGATTTCAAAGCATACATTTCCTCAGTTCACTCAGGTCAATCTTCTAATTGTTATTCACTTAAATGTTGTTTATTTTAGCCTTTTCTCTGTCTAACTGGATGACTGCCCGGTCCATTGCTGATGTGGCGTCCATCACAGAAGCCCAGGCAGACAGCCTGTATATAGAGCTGGGACTGGACCACTTCATGTACAACACAGACCAGTGTACTCTCTCTGACTCTGTCTACGGTCCTGCTACAGGAGGATGGAGAAGTGGTAAACATCAGAACAGATTACTATAGTATAGTCAAAACTAAGAGAGTTGTTGAATTATAAGTTGTCTGAGAATAATTAAATTTATTTTAACACAGTCATCTTTTTTTTAAATTTAAACCGAGAGAGCTGTTGAATTCTATATAATTATATAACTGTAGCTGGGCGAATTTAAAACGGGGCAAAATTATTTGCAAGAGTAAAAGGGAGAAAATTACACGGGGCGAAAATAACCCTGTATACAGTAGTTTATTAATTTTTTTTTAGCATTCTTAAAGATGGATCAATAAGTTTCAGCTGTTCTGGTCAGAGATCATGCAAACAAACAAAATGAATTTAAAACAATTTTTTTAATAAAAAATTTAAGCAGACAACACCAAGATACCTGTACATAGTCTTTGAATTTCTGTTGAAACTATTATTGTATTATTTATGAAGTTTTATTAATACTACCACTTCCCTTACAGATTGCCCCTCTATTCCTACATCTACACTGGGCAGTATTAATGACAAGACCAAGGTACGCTGTCACCTGAAGTCCAGCTGTGATTATGTCTCCTGCTGTGTGTACATGGCGGAAGTCAAGAGACATGCCAGGGTGGACATACAGATTGATGTCTGTAACCATACCATGACCGGAGCTATTGATAATCTCCAAGTCTCTACAGATCTGATGAGCTACAGCTGGGGTGAGTGTCAGAGTTTCTGAAGTGTCTATCAGTAATGTTGTATGCTTATAGGGAAGTGCCCTACAGGAAGAACAAAAGCATTTTTATTGAGCTAATTGCCTGATATTCAGTATGCTTGCAACAACTTGTTTGAAAAGTTGTGTGAATATTTTTTTTTCACATTTCTTCAGATACAGATAAAGAATTTAGCCTACATGGTGTAATCAAATGGAAGTAAGTACATGTTTTTGTCTCTACGTGTTTTATTAGAAATCAGAATTGAAAGATGTGATTAGGATTGTTTTAACAAGGGCAGTAAATATAAAGAATTTCAAAGTGCTGTGTATTTAATATTAATAGAGCCAGGCTTGTGGATGTACCCTCTCAGCATGTGTATGTGACTGACTTTACAATCAGCACCTGCTTTGAGACCAGTACTTGTCATGAGGAGACCATCTTTGGTAAAACTGTTTTCCCCAAGGAAACATGTAACTGGGCAGGTGGTATTGAAGGTAAGGTGGTGCAATTTGGTACAATAATCCATCATTATTTAAAGGCAAAAGTGATATCTTGTTTACTCAAATTTCTTTTGTTTTGTGGATCATCATTTCAGAGATATCTGCATTTTGATCTTTTAAGGTGGCTTCTCTGCTTCTGCTTGGATGACAAGTAAAGGCTACTCATCTCCTCTGAATGCTGCTCACACTGCTGAACTGATGACAGCAATGGAGACTCAGCAATACCTTCAGACCACAGCCTGTGTTTCCACCTCAGGCATCTATGCCTCATCATCAAATGGATGGACCAAAGGTGAAAAGAGAAAATCTTGTAAAACAATTACATTTTTGAAGAAGCTAAAAATATGACATAGACATGTGAAATGAAAGACAGAAGTACTTCATTGAAAGTGATAAAAATTCCTTTATTTGCAGCATGCACTTCAGCTGTATCTTTGCCTGACATCAGCTCCAAACCAGTAGTGTGTCACCTGGATAGCACCTGTACAGGTGTGGAGTGCTGCCTGTCCCCCTCCCTCCTCAGTCACTCCCTCCATGTCAAGGTCGATATAGACCCCTGCTCCTTCCTGATGACCATCTATCTGGAGAAGCTGAGAATCAGTGTTGATCTTTATAACCACACACAGGGTAGGACTCTGTTTATATAATGGTTATACATTAATGGATATGCTTTTCAACATTTGCTGTCTTTATTAATCATTTCTTTTTGTAGGAAATACGTTGAGGTTTTTCTTGAAAGGCATGCTTGGAATAGAGTAAGTAGAATTTATGTGTTTGTGATCTTAATTATAGCAGAATATACATTTTATATAACAAGGTGTTCCAAATCAGTGAATGTTTGGTTTAATAAATGATATGTATTAGGGATGTCAAAATTGTCAATAATTGATATTCAATATTCATTTAGAAATTATCACCAAAGTTAAGTATTTTAAAGAATAAGGTCAATCGTGAAGGCAAGGCCAATACATCTTATTATACATGTAATATGTATATATCTTCACTCTTTGTGAAGTCAAAGCAATATACGTTTTATGTCATTATTTTGGAATAAAATTTCATGCATATGTAAAGTTTTGTAATATGCAATGTAAGGTATATTCTTAAAGGATTATTATGTGACAGAATATATGAAGAGTTGTACATCCAAAATATAAAGTTTTTAAAAAGTTCAAACTCCAAAATTCAAAAGATTCTTTTAATAAGTTCAAGATTAATTAATCATCTTGCCAAAGTGTACACTGATAACCCAACAGATTTATACCACGCAGAACAATTATATAATGGAGAAACATTAAAAGCAATTAATTTCCTGATAATAATTTTTAATGATATATACATAAACAATATGTGTTACTTTTTAAAATTATGTGTTTTTTTTTCAACAATACAAACTAATTCAAGGTCAAAAGGTCAAAGTTGTTGATATCCACTGAAAGGTCTTGCCACAAAAAATACATAAGTGAAATGTAAAAGTCCTAGTATCTACCTTTCAAAAGTTATGGCCAAAGTAAAAGTTTAAAAATTTTGTGTAAAAGTCTTATTGACTCCAAGGTCAAAAGGTCAAATTTGATTCAATTTCCCAAAAAAGGTCTTATCACAAGGAATACACATGTGAAACATGAAAGTCATAGCTCCACTAAATCAAAAGTTATGGGCAAGGTTAAAGGTTTTGTGACAGATGGACAGACAGACAGCTAGAGAGACTGATAGACGAATGAGATTTAATGTCTCCTCGCTTTCGCGAAAGCGGGGGACAGTAAATGATATCATCTGTGAAAAATAGTTATTTTGTCTGTTCTTTATTGTAGAGTAAGTTTCTATGAGCTACAGGCACAAAATAAGTATATAGTGAATTTGGACATCAGTGTTTGCTTTGAGAGTGCCTCTGCCTGTGCTGTTGTGGCCTCTGTCTTAAAAGACACAGTACTACCCAAGAGAGACTGTGAAAGATCAACTGCAATGGGTAAGTTATTCTGTTATCATTAAACATGTTTTATCTGTGTAAAAGGTATTGGATATATTGAAAATTTTATGATATACATGTATCTTTTACACTGTTGATTTTATTTGAGCAGCTTTCTCTGTGAACAACTACATTAATGCTAGAGGCTACTCACCCACTCTGTCACCCCTCCCTCAGCACCTACAGATGCTGGTCACAGAGGAACACGGAATAGCTAACATGATGAAGCAGCCAGCCTGTAGCAGGACAGATGCTATTTATACCTCTACCACACCTGTCAATGGCTGGGTATCAGGTATTATGTTTAAATTAATGGAAGTACCTTAATTTTTAAATTAAGTAAGTTTGAACATTTTTGAAATGAAATCTGTTTGAAAAACCATTTACATGTAAGGCTATGAAAGTACATAAATCATGCTTATAATGAACAGCTATCAAGATATTGAATGTAAATTGTCAAAGATAGCTTGTTATATATAATGATTCTATGCAGAGTTCTTACCAATTATATTTGATTTCATCATTGACAATTGCTTCCACTGTTTCATGCTAAGTGTCTACTATATTTTATTGTAGACTGTTCCCCCGCCCCAACATTGACAGATTTGAGTGCTTTGGCCATTAACTGCTACAACCCTGCCTCCTGTACTGCAGCCACATGTTGTATGGAGATTAACAGGTTCAATGGCCGACCCCTGGAAGTGGAACTAGATTTCAACCAGTGTTCTAACTACATGGATGTTACTATAGAGAGAGTGCCAGTCAGGATGTATATATCAGATATTGGTTTGAATGGTATGTGTTAAAAATTCAGCTGATTTTCCTTGAAAATATAGTTCAAAGTTTTGTAAACTTCCTTTCTTACTTGATCGAGGATCTTGCAAATTGTTATTTCAGGTACCACATACACAGTAGGCTTGAAGGGGATGTTTAAAGCCAGGTGAGAGTGTAACTTATCACAGGAGTATAAGAATTTTTTGCACCTTTGCAGACTTTGATATTTGTGCTATATATTATAAAACTAATTGTCATAATTCATTTCCAGCACGGCCATCACTACAGATAAAGAAAATAGACAGTACAGCTTTACCTTCTCTGTCTCTGCCTGTTATAACTCGGGATCCTGTAGTCAGACTTACACTATCTTCTCCAACACAAAGTTCAGTATGAAGACATGCAATTACACTGGAGGATTCCTAAATCCAGGTTCTCTTCTTACATAGGATGTATTGATCATGTGATGCTGTTACATGTTGTGTATTACTGAGAGATGAATGATGTTATGTTTTAGTAGTTACTTCATGTATGTAGTTTTGGATACAAATCATAAATGTATATCCTCAAATCACATTTTATGATGCTGATTTTTTTTTTCTTGCAAATTGTTATTTGCTGATGTGACCACATCACACATGTTCAAGGACAGCCTATATATGGAACTGGGATGTTTGTAAACACAGCCAGTGAGACTCTGTATGGTCCTTATCACAGGAGTATCAAAATTGTTTCAATTTTTTGACAACCTTTAAAGGCAGATATTTATTTGTTATATTTGTGCTATAGTTCATAATTTCCTAACTAACTTGTCATGTTCATTTCTCTTCTTCATCGTGTGATCAGATTTCTTGTTGTATGTTGTTGGCACCAGTTCAACGTCACGTAGAGATAAAAACAAAAATTAATTTCTGTGGATATAAAGTGGAAGCTGAGATAGACAAACTGAAGGATTCAACAGACCTCCTAAATTATGTCTGGGGTAGGTTCAATTCATGACGGTTGTCTTTGTTTCTCCAGTAGATTGTACAAACTCTGAAATAAGTAAACAATATATAGCACATTGTTATATGTGCAGACTTACACTTTTAGGAGTCAAAGAAGCAAATGAGTGAAATGTGTTAACAATTTGACTTTTCAACACAAAACAGTTCAATTTGAATGGTGTTGTCAAATGGAAGACATGCATATATATAAAATATTGAATTTGAAATATAAACAAGGCATATGAATCCAGGTTCTCTTCTTACATAGGATGTATTGATCATGTGATGCTGTGACATGTTGTGTATTATTAAGAGATGAATGATGTTATGCTTCAGTAGTTACTTCGTGTATGTAGTTTTGGATATAAATCATAAATTTATATCCTCAAATCACATTTTATGATGCTGATTTTTCTTTTTAGCATTCTCTTTAACCACCTGGATGACTGCTCGGTCCATTGCTGATGTGGCGTCCATCACAGATGTTCAAGCAGACAGTCTATATATGGAACTGGGACTGGACCACTTCATGTACAACACAGACCAGTGTACTCTCTCTGACTCTGTCTATGGTCCTGCTACAAGTGGCTGGAATAATGGTAAGTCAAAATTGTTTCATTGAAAGAGCTGTTGACATTTTGACATTAACCTTAAACTGATAGGCAGAGGTATATCTATTTGTTAACCTTCTTTAAATAACTGTTTGAAAAAATAAGAAGAAGGGCTAACAATTCATTTTCTTTAATTTTCTTAGCATGTGCTACCCCACCGACAGCACTTGGTACAATTTCCGATCCTTCAGAAGTCCGGTGTCATCTGTCTTCATCATGTGATCAAATTTCCTGTTGTATGTTGTTGGCACCAGTTAAACGTCACATAGAAATAAAAACAAAAATTAATTTCTGTGGATATAAAGTGGAAGCTGAGATAGACAAACTGAAAGATTCAACAGACCTTCTGGATTATGACTGGGGTAGGTTCAGTTCATGACGATTGTCTTTGTTTCTCCAGTAGATTGTACAAACTCTGAAATAAGTAAACAATATATAGCACATTGTTATATGTGCATTGAAGTGAAGCGTTAAAAAAAAAAAAATCTTTTAGGAGTAGACAAAGAAGCAAATGAGTGAAATGTGTTAACAATTTGACTTTTCAGGATCATCAAAACAGTTCAATTTGAATGGTGTTGTCAAATGGAAGTAAGTCTTCAGCTATATATATAAAATATTGAATTTGAAATATAAACAAGGCATATGAATCTATAAAGTTGCACTCATTTTGTATCCACATAATATGATTCTGAAATATACACGCATACACTCGTAGAATGGATCTGGTGGATTTGATAGCACAGAAGAAGTATGTGACAAACCTCCAACTTCAAGCCTGCTTTGAAGGGGGCACCTGCATTGTTAGTGAGAATGTCCTACAGAACACAGAGTTTGTACAGCCTGTGTGTGACTGGACAGTTGGACTTCAGGGTATGGATAAATCCCATCTTTTCCTCTGATATGTTCTCATTTCTTTTTAAAAAAAAAAATATCCTTGCAGAAAGTTTTTTGAATAATACTTTTAATTGTATATTTTTATTTATATTATAATTTTTTGTTTTTCGTTTTAAGGATTCAGTTTATCCACTTGGTTGACAAGTCGAGGTGCGAGTTCTACTCTGAACCCATTGTCTGGCTTCTTGCGGTCGGAACTCCTGGAGGATCATGGGATAGAAAACATGATGAAGTCACCATCCTGCAGTAGAACAACGGACACAATTTACTCATCTGCTGGCTCTGATGGGTGGAATTCTGGTATGAGAGATAGTCAACAGATCTATTAATTTAATTAATTTTTTTTTATCTCAAACTTTGGTGTATTAATTTCTGATATAAAGAAATCACAAGAGAGACAGTTTAGTGTAACAACAATCATGTGACTCCATTCAAAGTGATACAGTAGAAGTCATTTCATTGAAGACTAAGAAGGAATTCTATGTGTGCTCCTATTACAAATTCATGTCCCAATGATGTCATTCAGTGTTTTGAAAAATAAAAATGAAATTATGCATAACCAGAGAATAACATTTTTTCTGTCTTAAAACAGACTGTGCTAGTCCCCCCACACTAAGGAACCTGACGGGAGAGGCCATCACCTGCTACAATCCCTCGACCTGCTCTGCGGCCACTTGCTGTGTGGATGTGGCTCGACTGACCGGTCAATCTGTGGAAGTGTCCCTTGACTTCAGTCAGTGTGGAAACTATCTGGACATTAGAGTAGAAAAGATTACAGTCAACCAGTATCTACACAGCTTTACATTTGGTATGCTATGTTTTTCTTCTAAAAAACAAACTGGAAGAACAGTTTAGTATTTCTGTTATCTTTTAAATAATTAAATAAATGTTGAGTAATGGTCATTAGCTTAATCACTGTTACAACAAACTGTTTACCTGCAGTTGCATGAAAAATGTTAAAATATGTGTTTTTAAAACAAATTATTACTTTGAAAAGAATGATCAATTCAGTGTTACAATCTTTGATTTAGGTGCAGAACAGAAAATGTCTCTGAAAGGCATGTTTGAAGTGAGGTAAGAATATTGAATCCAGATATTTTATGAGATCTGTATCAATCCCTCCTGAGAAGTTAAAATCTACAAAATTGATATCTGATGGCTAAAAATTAATAGTAGATATCAAATGATGCAAAGAATTTGATCCTTGTATTCTAGGTATAAGATCACGGAGGACACAGCCAATAATAAATACAAAGTGGACATGTCTGTCCATGTATGTTATGAGGATGGTTCTGCATGTGCTGAGAGCTTTACCATATACAGTGACACAGAATTCCCTATGGAGACTTGTACTTACAAAGATGGACTTCTAAACCCTGGTAATTTGCATTTGTATGAAACATTTTAAGATTTACAGCCTGATATATACTGAAATGAATGTTATGCATCAAAGCATAAATGTACTACACCACACAAAGATTTCCCAACCAAAGGGTGTGTCAACTATCAAAAGTTGAAGGTCACTGGAAGAAAATATTCGTATGTTAAATATCATTGTGATTATATTCTAGAATTCTAGAATTGTTTCATCATTTTGCACTTGGTGGGTTTTCATTTCACACAAAGTACCTTGACCCAAGGTATTTGGGGAAGTATTATAATTCGTGTCCAGTTGTACTGTTGGATAAACTTAATTTCACACAAAAATTGTGAAAGGTAGGCTGACCTTTATCAGCTGGGGAAGTTCAAGGTCACTCAAAAGTAATTATTCCATTTTAAATGTTTTTTTCAGCCTTTTCTCTGTCTAACTTTCACACAAAGATGACCCAAGGGTGTGTCATGACCTTGACCCAAGGTCATTTGGGAAGTTCAAGGTCACTGGAAGAAAAATTTCATAATTCGTGTCCGGTCCATATCTTTCTTATGGATAAACTTGGTAGGTTGTCATTTCACACAAAGATTGCCCATGACCTAAGGTAGTGTCATGACCTTGACCCAAGGTCATTTGGGGAAGTTCAAGGTCATTGGAAGAAAAATTTCATGTAAATACAGACCAGTGTACCTCTCTTTCTTATGCCAAAACTTACTTCTGATAAACCCAGCAACACAGTTCTAGTTTGCATTTGTATGGAACATTTTAAGATTGACAGCCTGATATATACTGAAATGAATGTTATGCATCAGAGCATAAATGTACTAAACCTAAAAATAAAACTGTATGTTAAATATCATTGTGACATTCAATGAATGTTTTATAGCCTATTATATTACATTGTACTGTAGTCCTTAATTTACATTAACAAATTCATATAAAGTTAATAAAACTTATCTTAAACTGCATGGGGGCAAGAAAAATCTTTGAAATTTTCCAGGATGCCAGATATTGAAGTTAAAATCATAAAGCAAATAAGGCTAAAATTTCCAACTCACCCTGAGAGATCATGGTATTTTGAGACATTGATAGTTCAACTGCATATTTATATTGTATATTCATTGATTTTAGATTGTGCCACAAGCACAGCATCACTGGCCGATGCTTCTCATCAGGACAAAGTGAGATGTCACATTCCAGCATCGTGTGAGGTTGTCACGTGCTGTGTGTATATTGAACCAGTCAAACGACACACCAAAGTGGAACTGAAGATGAACTCCTGTACCTATAAAATGAATTCTGTCATTGGAAATCAAGTGGCAAAGGCAGAAAATCAACTATTCAATTATGCTTGGGGTAATTATATGCAATGCTGCGATTACCTAGACAGTTCTAGTTCAGTTTTACTTCTGTATATCATAAAGGGTATATCATGGCAATGCTGCATTTTGATATTACTAAAACATTATTCATGTCATCTTTTACTTGTGATTCATCAATTTGAAATCCATTTGCGACGATATATCATTGTTTTGTATGTTATTTTTTTAACAAATTTTTAAAGATCACTTAAATTCTATTTTTGTTTATTTATATAGGGACAAATGAAGAAATTCAAATACATGGTGTTGTGAAGTGGGGGTAAGTCATAAAAATAGATTGAGGATGCTATTGAATGAATTAAAGAATAAAGAGTTATAAATGAAACAAAAAAATGCACCTTAATTTTTTTTTAGCTACGAAGTCACACACAACCCTGCATCATCAGAATTTTCAGTTCAGGGCAAAGTTAGTTTGTGTTATGAGGCTAGTTCATGTACAGAGGTGGCCATGAATTATGAGCTGGGATACCAAAGCTGCACCCCACCCCCTCCAGCTCAATACCTGCCAGGTACTGTAGAAGCAGAAATATTAATTGAGGATTAAATTTTGTTGTTAATAAATATTAACTAAAATCTTACATGAAATTTTATATGATTATATTTTACATTGGTTTGATTTCAAAACAACGAAATTTTATGTCCATTTAAATTTGTGTTTCTACAGTTTTTTTTAAGTTTTCTAGAATTTTTGATGAAATATATACATTCGCCAGTGACATTAGGATGAACTTTTATGAACTTTTCTTTAAAAATTCCTTCATTTAGGAGTATCATTTGGATTCTGGAAGCAGACACAGTGTACACCATTTACCTATGATAATACAGGTAAGCAACTTTGTAATAAATAATTGAAAGGGATTTTACAGTTACACTCTGTACAGATCACTTCCTAAAGAAGATAACTGGTTCATATAACAGCAGTGTGTCTTCTGTTTAAAGCTTGTCCAAACTTTAACCTTCCACCTGATGGTGTCAACAATTGTGACATTCTGGCAGACTGTTCTGGAATTCAATGCTGCTTTAATACAAACTTTGATCTGGGTCCTAAAAATATCTACTTCAAGATTCAAGTCAACTGTGGAAGTAACAGCATTGAATATGAAATTGAGAGGAATACATACAGCAAGGCATTGTCATCTCTAACAGATGGTAGGATTTAATTCATCACTTATGCTATATATTTTTATGAATTTTTTTCCCAGCAAAAAAAAAAATATTTAAAAAAGAAGACAATTCATGCAAATGGAACATTCATCAAAAATGAACAAATTTTGTTAAAATTTTTTAACATCTTGTACATATACATGTATATTAATTATTAATATAGGTGGAACAGTTTCGGAGGTTATTGGGAGTACACCCACATTTAGTCTGAGTTACTCAAAGAATAAAATCAATGAGACCCATGAAATCACTGCCTCACTGACAATAGTCGGCAGCTCCACAGCTACCTATGATGTTATAGATGGTAACACTGACATTGATACACCATTATGTACCGCAAGGAGGAGGAAACGAAGATCCGTCATTTTATCACAGTAAGTCGTTAGAAAATTTGAGAACTTGATAAAATTTTTAAGATAACATTACTGAGATTCAAAATGTTCTCATGCATTTTGTAATGCTACTGAATTTGGAAGCATAATGCATTTTAGTTTAATGGGATAAAGCTAATTATAAGAACGTTATATTGTTTATAATATCACAATGAATGTGCTTCAATTTACAGACTTGATCCCTCAGACTTCAAGACTGGAGTGAGGACACTACTGGAGAGTGGAGCAACCAATGAAGACATTGAGGACTTCCAAGTGCTCTGCCGGGATCATGCTGTAAATAGAATCATTATAAATTATTTAATATAAAAAGTTTCAAGATACTTTCAAAGCTTAACTTTTATCGGCTTAAAAGAAAATATGATGACGTCTGATGGCAAAGTCGAAATAATTTATCAGAATAGTAGAGATTAATTGATTTTTAAACAATGCTTTTTAGAAATTCAAGAGATCAACAAATATGGCCAGTACCTTCATTTCAAATGATGATGCTAAAGCCAGCCTAAAGACCCAGATAATCTCACTAGGAATGAACAATCCTCTGACTTTACCAGTTTTAAGTAATATAACAGAAAACTCAACTATTCAAGGAGGTACTGATATAGATTTTACTGCTTAAACTTCTGTATTTCTAAGAATAAATAAATATTTTGATGTACTGGAACAAAATGCTAAGCAAAAGGTTAACGTCTGCAAATAATAGAGAACTTCACCTTTCAAGGAGGTACTGAACAGATATAGGTTTTACTGCTTAAACATCTATATTTCTAAGAATATTTTGATGTACAAAATGCTTAGCAAAAGGTTAACTTCTGCAAATATATATAACATTTCAACAAAATGAAAATGTGAAATTTGAATTCACTATCATATAATGAACTATTTTCTTAATATTAAGCATTTTATGCTTGATCAAATTACCATCTGAACAAAAATGATCCCTTTTTAGCTGATTCCATTGAGAAACTCATTGGTACTGGGCCCCCTCCATCAGCAGTAAAGGACGGTGGTATTTATGTGGTGGGACAGGGTCTGAATGCAATGGGAATAAAGCTTCTGAGTAAGAAGTTAGCTTGTATGACGATAGGAGACCTGGAGGCCATACTGGACATCAAAAATATGAATTCTTCTCAAGTCGCCAACCTGTTATCACAACTGAAAGATCTGGCTAAAGCTTTGGTGGGTTATTGTACATAAGCGCATATAGAAATTACTTTTTGATTTGACCAGGTGTTTTACAATGCTTTCTGATGTTTATATAAAACTCAAACAATGTTACAGTTACAAAGTTTATTATATACAAAACACATATTGGATTATGGGGACTTTTTACAATTTGACCTATCTCCAGGACAATTGGAGATAGACAAAGTATAAATGGTAACACATAAGCAGCAAATAAGTAAAAAGAATGCACGACTGTTAAAATATATATACAAATGTAGTAAACAAACATACATATAGAAAATACACACATTAACCCCAAGGAGATGTGTATATTTTTGTTTTAAATAAAATCTCTCAATATATTAATTTTTCACTCGTACAAATTTCAATATAGGTGTAAAAAGTCATATTTAAGCCATGCTCCTGAATAAATGCAGTTAAAACAATCATGAAATTTTGCAATAAAGCCATAATTTTAATACAGGTGGATATGTCCAAGTGATTTGGAAGTCCCCACCACATAATCTTTAAGTACTGTAGAAGCACAAATTTTCGTGGGCATAAAATTTCGTTCTTTTGTCTTCAAAAAATGTGGGCATTTAATTTCGTTAAAGTATATTCAACCATAAAATTTCGTGTGGGATTTAATTTCCAAAAACGCTTTTGTGCTTTTAAAATTTATAATCATCCTGATCCTGTATCTCAAAGTTTTTTTCTCAGTCCCATCAGGTTCGAGATAATGAAGTTTGACTGTATGTCATTCTATGGATTGCCTGTTCCACTTTTAATCAGAAATGGTTATATCTTGCAGTATTCTGACTTCAACAGCAGGCTAAATATAAGTAGCAGTACAGATAGCATTTTCAAGAAGTTTGACTTGGAGCTGTCAGGAACCAAGGATTTCCCCAGACAGACTGTCAATGTCTTCTCCTACAACAAAATGTTCTTTGTTGGAGGCCTCATCAGAATGAATTTTGGTAAATTGTGCATCATAAAATCATGAATATTAATTTTTTCTTTCGATGAATGATCATAAAATTGCAAAATAAAGTTACTTCTGAAGTTGATTGTAAATGTCTGCCTTGTTTAGGCTTCAGTGCCACAGGAAACCTTGGTTCCACTTTTACCGCCGGAGTGAAGGTTATGGACATGACAGGAAGTGCAAAAGTAGATCCTTATGGAGCAGTGGTAGTGTCAGGTGAACTCTCCGTTGGGAATTTCCTGCATGGGACTCTGAAATTAGAAGGAAGCATGATAGATGTGGGTTTCCCCTCAACAGCTGAACTTAGCTTTAATAAATTTCCACTGGAAGTAGGGTAAGAATTCATGCTTTCAACTTTAACAATTTTTCTTATTATCATATTACTCCTATATATGGATTTTTGAGCGTTTTGTATTAAATTTTCATTGTAATTCCAGAGTTCAAATGTACCTGAATCTGAAACCTGTGAAGCTGACACTCCAAGCAAAGGTTGTGATGGATGTTGATCTTGGCTTCACACAGTTCCAGAAGGAACTGTTTAGGTCCAGGTTATGGGATTACAAGTCTCCCACTATACAGAGGCTGGTCATAGACCTGAAGAAACAGGAACAAGATCACACACCTCCAGAAATAAGGAGCTTTGGGGTATTATTGATTTACAGATTTTCAAGGAATTTTTTTTTTCTTTGGGCATGCAGTTTGAACATTCTAAAATCAATCTTTGAAGTTTTTCAGTGAAATCTTTAAGGAGTGCTGATAAATGATTCACAGCTATTTCTGCCAAATGTAAATAAAGTTTTGACTTGGTATTTCTGCAGAATTCTACCAGCGAGGATCGCTGTGGTGTGATCCAGGAGCCAGGGCGGGATTACAAGGAGCCCATGTTTAGAGTGTTTCTGGATGCTGGGGACGACCTGAGTGACATTAACATGACGCTGGACATCGGGACAGTTCCTGGAGGGAAAGATGTCATATCAGGAAAGGAACTGGGAGGTTTCTCCACAATGCTGAATGATGTATGCAAATTAACTAAATTATACATCTTTTCTGAAGAATATCACACAATTCAGACTCTATTCTGTTATTAAAATATTGCTGAAGAAATACTTCTTTAAAAAATTCAGGACTTGTAAAGACTGAATATTTATTTGTATATGACTAGCAAGTCAAATGTGAATTCTATATTTTTTTGTGATCTTGAAGGACATTCAGTAAAATATTTTTTCATTGATATTTGCAGGTGTTGAGTCCCTCTGGGGTACCTCTCTACTTCTCTGTTTACGTCACAAATCAAGCAGGAGAAACAGCAACAGCCATCTGTTCCCTAGCCACCTATGATGTCACACTTCCAGGAGGTAGAATGGGTGTGGCCTTCAGATCCACCAGTAACCCTAACGTACTGAAGGCCACAGTCACGGTGTATGAGGACTCCCCCATCACAGAGAGCAGGGTGGCTGTGGGGTACGGAACAGGGAAAGATGGAAGTCAGATCGTGGGCTGGACCAGTGTCAACCTACAGGAAAATGTAGTCAACTATAATGTGGGTAAGTTTGTGGTGTGAGAAACCAACTTTGGTTCACTTGCATGAAATATCGCTGAGTTATGAGACCTTTGTTACTTAGAAATATTCTTTGCTTGAATTATGTTATCTCAGTCAGCACGTGACTCACAGATAGATTTCAAATAAATCTTGAATAAAGTTTTAGTTGGTTTACAGTGTTGTACTAAAAAAATTGTATTTCTTAATAGGAAATGACCCAACACATGAGAAGGTGATGAAGTTGTTTTCTGCGGGGAAGATAGCCCGCTTGGTTGGCTTAGGTACTGTCAGTGCTTCCCACTCTAAGATAGCCACCGTGGGGGAGTGTGCCACTATCTGTAATGGCATGCATGTGACAAAGTGTCTCAGTTTTAACTATGATTTTGGCAGCAGTGGACACTGTGAACTTCTGGAGGTCATAGAAGGACAAGACTACAAAACAGCAGTGGTAAGTAGATGAAAACTGAATATTTACTAAAAGGTCAAGAAGTCTCTCTTTGATTTCAAATATCATTTAATAGGCACTTTTCACTTTAAAAGTACTTCACTACAATTGGCAGCTACCGAATGTTAATAGAAAATTGTGTATTTTTGCAATAGACAGAGTTACAAAGAATTTATTTCACCCTTTAGGATGGCCTGTACATGCACTATGAGAAGCTGGGAGTAGGATCCAACAGAGGATTTGAATACACCAACCTGAACTTAATCCACAACCAACTGTACTTCTTCAATTTTGAAGTTGTCAACTCCCTGGGTTTTACCAACATCCTAAGCTCTGAGCCAATTCTGACTGACTTCACCCCACCGACTCCAACATCATGTATGTAACTATTGGTCTCAAACAGGCCTTTAAATTGCATTCCAGTAATTGGACTTCTGAGTCTGTAATAATTCCCTTTGCAAAAATCCTGTGGTTTCATACCACTGATATACCATATGCAGTGATTTCTACCAAAATTTTAATATTTTTTCTCACTGAAGACTATTTGTAAGGGATTACATAGTTCTATTCATACTACATGTATGAACATTTATGAGTATGGTTTTAGGGCAAATCAAAGTAACCAGTGACAGAACTGAGACCCTGCCCTGTACTACATTGATACCCTCGGACCGAGATAACTGGCAGAGACTTTATTGTCAAGGAGTGAATCCTACCACCAAAAACCACAGGGTCATTGTAGATGGACCAGGCTCAGAAACAGTCTACAATGGACATGAGTTCAAAACAGATCTTCTCTACACCAGAGCCAACCAATACATATCAGGTACGTTACTTGAAATCAATTAGAGCACCAAAAAAGAAAATTTTTAAATTTAAAGAATACATGTATTTGAAAAGGAAAGCCATTGAAAAAATTGCTCACTTGCTTGAAGTGCTAGTAAACATGGGAAAACAATATGGAAATCTGTATAGAAGGTCATTTTATCAATGTATTCATTTAAACAGCAAACTGGGATGGGATTCATGACAATGAGACAGGCCTTCTGGGATACGCTGTGGCAGTTGGTTTGAGTCATTGTGACGATACTGTTTACAAATTCCACGACCCCCACGGTCACCTCTTGGATTCCTCCCAGTGGACTTACAGCGTCATCATGACCCCCATACCAGCACCTTACACAGTACTGCCAGGTAAAATTACAGTGTCTGTGGATTTAAAAGGCAGAGTATTGCAGCACACATGTATTAGAAAGTGAGGATACAGTTATGTTGTCTTTTGAATAAATCTAGAGAATTAGGCTCTTTGGAAGTGAAGATATACATGTATACTGAAAGGAAAAAGAAACGCATAATAGCATAATATCGAAATATATTTAACTATAAAATTATGAAAATTTGTCAAATGTGTATTTTGATTACTGTGCACTAAAATTGCTGGTCAAAATTACTCAACCATGAAATGTATGGCATAATGCATGTTGATGATGACAATTTTATGATCACATTTTGTGGTGCTAAGCATTGGAGTTATAGACATCGTTTTCCGCATTTGTTAAATTTCATGCAATCATGGTATGGCTGACGAAAGTTACACAACTGAATTGCAAGTGAATAAAAAGGCAACAAGATGTTGCTGTGCAGTTTGTTTTAAACTTTTCAACAAAAAAAGGTTTTTCAGTTGTCAGAGAGTAAATTAAAAGGTTTCCAACCAACGATGGCGGTGGCGTTGACGCGTAACAACGTCACATCAAGACAGGGCTTTTCATCATGTCACCTCGGTTGTTGTCAAGGTGTTATCACTGAAACCAATATTTATACGGCAAACTATCATACCAATATTTTCACCTTAAAATAGAAATTCTCTGCTCTAATTTGGTCCGCGCGTTTGGCAACTTTTACGTCGATTTTACTCTCACGCGCGCACGTACGCGTCGTGTGCGTAATGTTTTTAGCATGTTCACACTCGGAAAATGTAGCCAAAACCAGCTGGATTCTGTAAATTCTTCAAAATGAAAATTCGTGGCACATTTGTTGGCTTTGGAATAATACAGCTTCTATCAACCATTAAGACTATTGTCGGACAATAATAATCAAATGAGAAAGATAAATGCTCTGGTGAACTCAATGCACAGGAAAATCAAGGCTGTTAAAAATGTGCAAGGGAGATGATGAGAATTTTTATTTTAATTTTGGGGGGTATCGACATATCAATTTCAATAACTCAGGAATTATCAGTCAAAGTCACACAAGATTTTGGTAACTTGTAGATTAAAGTGAATTAAAATGTTTGATAACAATACTGGAAAACATTTTCGAAAAAATAGTTTTAATTTAATTTAAAAGTAAAATATGCGTTTCTTTTTCCTTTCAGTATATTATAAGTTCATTCTTCTTGAATTAAAATATTATTTGTTAAATATGTGAAGCATAATGTGAAGAATTGTTTTACAGATGGAAAATACTACATCACTGTGAGGGCCATCAACAAAGTGGGGTATGGAGGTCCCCTGGGGACATCTGTCTGTCACTCCACGGCCTACACAATAGACAATTCTCCTCCTGTCGTGTACGAAATCTTCAATGTCCAGTACGATGAACAGACCTTCAACCTCACACTGTCACACAACTCCTCGTGAGTAAATCATTCATGTAAATCTTGTAAAATTTTGATATATTTTCATTGATGAGAATAATCTAGGATGTTGTAAGTTGTACGTAATTTTCACTATGATGAACTACAGGTAAAATCTGTTTCTTTTTGCATAGTGATCCCCATTCTGGGTTAAGTAGAAATGACTTATGTCTTGGCCACACCCCCAGAGACTGTGATGAACTGGCATGGACACAGATTGACTACTCCCCAAACATATCATACATACACCAAATGACTGACGGAAAGGAAATCTTTGTCAAAATCAAGGCAGTCAATAACGGTAGGATATACTATACTTTCTTATATCCAAAGCTTGGATAACAGAATTTGAAGGTGTGAAAATGATGAAAAGGCAGTTATAGCTTCTTGTAGGCATTTTGTTGCACATACTTTTCTGCACATAATTGCCTTCACTTGTTCTCTTTGAATATGTGTGACTACAATTTCTCTATGATTATAGTGGACTTGAGAAGTATAGGAGTAGCCCAGGCCTCCATCATTGTTGACAGATCAGCCCCAGTACCAGGCAGAGTGTATGATGGAGAAACACCCCAGCAAGATTTAATGTTTACCAAAGAACAGGACAAGGTATCAATAGTGTTTCTAAATCAAGCAAATAAATTTTCAGTGTAAGCTCTAAGTAAATTGCTTTTGTATTTCAACAATTTAATTTAATATTCTAAAAAAATTTCTGATGAAAGCCTTAATGCTAACAGTGATTATTATACCTCATTATAAATATTCTAAACAATGCGTTATCTGATTGGTTCTAAGTTATCACGTGATCGGGCCGTAAAACTTCATATTGACAAGTGTTGCATAATATTTTGATACCGCGATATGTTGAACCTGGGTTCAATATATCGCATAATATTTTGAACCCGGGTTCACTTTTTCGCTGCGATATATTGAACCCCTTTATAAAATATTGAACCCCTACCTTTTTCATTGAAAAGAGAGGGGGTTCAAAATATTATGGCCATAATATATTGAGTCCCTTTGCCAATTTACTTTTAAAGGGAGGGGGTTCAAAATATTATGGCCATAAAATATCGAGTCCCCCTGCCCTATTAATTTAAGAAGGAGGGGGGTTCAAAATATTATGGCCATAAAATATTGAACCTCCATGTCCTTTTAAGTTAAGAGGGAGGGGGTTCAAAATATTATGGCCATTAAATATTGAACCCCCCTGTCCTTTTAAGTTAAGAGGGAGGGGGTTCAAAATAATATGGCCATAAAATATTGAACCCCCCTGTCCTTTTAAGTTCAGAGGGAGGGGGTTCAAAATATTATGGCCAAAAAAAATCGAGTCCCTTACCTATTCAATTTAAGGGGAGGGGGTTTAAAATATTATGGCCATAAAATATTGAGTCCCCCTGCCCTATTTATTTATCAAGGAGGGGGTTCAAAATATGGCCATAAAATATCGAGTCCCCCTGCTTTTCATCATATTCCACCTCTTCGGAACACCTAGTGTATTTTCCCGCAATATAGTTCTTGTTCGGTGAACGAAAACTCCTGAGAGAAGTAGACGTCACAATAGCCTGGTTTACGTCACAAAACTGATGATATTAATGTGTTGAACAAATGGTTTTATAGAAACTTTACGTAAAAAATGAAAATGAATTTGAGAGAGGCGCCAAAATTTGAAAGTTTATGTTTATTTCAAAGGTTTTGCTTGTTTCGGTATAATAAACAATTCATTGCATGAATGTTCGGGCGAAGCCCTCGGGGAATATGATTTTTCTTGGCTGAATAAGTCTTCATATTTCCCTCACTATCATGCAATAAATGTATATTATTTCGTTTGCCTTCAAAATTGTTGTGAACTTAAAGGTGGTAAGGAATTAGTGTATAACCGAGCAAAATAGTCCATGCCTAGCACTTCTATATAAGCATACTTTATTCATGTTGATAAAATTGTTTTTAGATTTGTGGCAATTGGGAGGGATTCAGTGATGCAGAGTCCGGCATTGCCCTGTATGTGGTGAGTGTGTGGACAGCAGACAGCAGCCCTACCACTAAAGTTGTCAATGAAACCCAGTTCTCCAAGAACACGAGTTCTGCCTGCTTCAGTCTGGGGGCTGGGAACCAGCTACAGCATGGAAGGATATATCAAGTCACTGTACAGGCCTTCAACAGCGCAAACAAACAGCTCAATGTGTCAGCCTCATCTGATGGGGGTATGTCTAAAACAGATTAATATCCACATTACTTTTGTTTAATCCCTAAAAAATCGAGGAAATATAATGGCACAATAATGCTATATAATATTTGTTATTTTTAACAGATTTTTAAATCCTAATCTTGATAGCCTATTTTTAGAGAATTTTTACTTTTATGAGGTACATAAATAAAGAATTTCCAAAAATTTTGGTCTTAATGCTAAATGTGTATGTACCTGCAGCTTATTTCTCACTATATGTTCTGTTTTCTCGCAGTTCTTGTGGACACCACTAACCCTGTGACAGGTGAGGTGGTGGATGGTAAGGATGCCACATTTACTGATGTACAGTACACCACCAGCAGAGCCAAGGTGGAGGTCCAGTGGAGGGGATATTCTGACCCAGAGTCCTCCATCAAGAATTACAATGTACAAGTCTACAGGGCCAGGTATAATCTATAGTAGAATTTTCAATCTATCAACAATTTATACCTACATGTACATGTATAAGCAAACTAAAATTGTTTAATATATATAATGTATATACTTAAATGCTATTTGCACTGATTGTATTTTTATGGAATTCTCTTTTATTATTGTTTAAAAAAATGATTTATAAGATTTTGCTACACCAGAGTATAATCATCTGACATTTATTTCAGGAATCTGGGAACAAGCTTCGAGTTGCTGAGAAATTGGTCCACATTCAGTAATACTTCCTCGAGCGTGACCTGGTTGAACTTTGAACTGGAACACAAGGACAAAGTAAAGACAGAGCTGAAGGTCACCAATGGAGCATTAAATTCTGTGTCACAAGAAACAGATGGATTTGTGGTGGATCTCAGTCCCCCAGAACTAGAATACTTATGGGACGGACTGGGAAACTGGGACATTATGTACCAGGTATGTAACTTGTGTATATAAGTTGATTTATCGCTTTTACCACTTAATTAAGATTATACACACATAACCCTGAAAGCCAACTAGCCTATTACTTGTGCTGAATACCATCAACCTTAATTTAAAGGATGTGACAGATCGTCTTCATGTGAGATTTAAGTTTGAAGACAAAGAATCAGGTATCAAGCAGTACCAGATACAGATTTATGAGTTGTACCATGGTACGAGGATGAAAATCTACCCAGGTAAACAATATACTCCATCGTCATGAACTAAGGAATTTGAATTATTCACCAAAATTGCACTGTTCTTAATTTACACATCTGATTTTTTAGTTACTTTTACCTGGAACACAATCGTCAATGGTTCCTTGACCAGCTACACCTGGACCGGTCTGACTCTGAAGCAGGGAGCCATGTACAGTGTACGGGTGGCGGCTGTCAACAATGCAGGGTACATGTCCTCTTTTGAGACCAATGGAGTAATCATAGACACTACACCACCCATTGTAAGTTCTGTTCGAGGCCTTTTGATCTAACTTCTTTATGAGATTTTTTCTCTCTAGAAGCACCTTGGAATACTATTGGTTTATAATAAATATTTTGAGTATTATGGACAATAAGATATGAAGCCAGTGGGAAGGGTTACTACAAGTCACTTGTGTAATGTAGATCCACTGGCTGAGGGTAGGAGTGATGGCAGAGATAGCAGAGGAATGGGTCAATGGTTACGTGTACCAGTCTGACAGACAGGGGATCATGACTGCCTGGGATGTAGTTGACCATCAGTCTGGGCTTGTTAAGCATCAACTGGCAGTGGGCACCACACCAGGTCATTACAATAGAAACAATTTTATTGTTGCTTTAATTCTGCACAGTTATGGAATTATATATATTTCAAATATACTGCACACCCTTTGAAAAGATGAATATTATATAATTTTGTTTACTGTAAACCATTGTGACAACTTTTATTCACTTTCAGTTAGTTGAGTAAATATTCCACATTCATACCATATGAAGTGGTTTCTGAAAAAAATAAGGTAGCTTGAACTTAAGGATAATAAAAGTTGTTTTACAGTATTGGTTTACAGTTAAGTGTTTTGGTAGGTGTTAACAGACTGTTGTTGTTTTATAGGTGGGAGTGATGTCCTGAGCTGGACGTCAGTGGGCCTTGTCCAGAGTCACTACATAGATGGTCTCAGCCTCTCTCTGACTGACCAGGCTCTCAATCAGCCAGTGTATTATGTGTCTCTCAGGTCAGAAAATGGTGTAGGAAGGATCTCAACCACTACAGCTACCCCGGTCTACATCACACAGGGAGATAAAGCAGGTAAAGAAAGATCCTGGAGATCTGAACATTACTGTTTACAGGGAAATTTTCGCCCCTATTTTATTTTCCTCCTTTCGTCCTCTTCATGATTAGGTGAATTTAAAATGGGCGAATTCAAAGAACACAGCATATTATCTTAAAACTATGACTGGGTGAATTTAAAACGGGGCAGAATTGTTAGCAAGTGCAAAAAGCGAAAATTACATGGGGCATAAATAACCGTGTATACAGTATCTTTGGTTGATATTCTTAAGATTAAGTGGAAGATGTTTAAAGAATATCATGTATGATTATTGAATGGAAACAGGGTATTGTAATTTAAGGATCATGTAAATACAGGAATGAGTGTACATGTCATAGCTGCCTGGTTTCTTGAAAAATTTCAAACTGATGATGGTTTTGAAAATATAAATTGGAAATGAGAGACATGAGGGATTCATGCATTTAATCATGAAGTTTATGAGTAAAAGTTGAATTTCTTAGCTGGTGCTCTTCTGATTCCAGGTTTGGTGTTTGATGGAGCGGAGGGCAGTGAGGACATTGTATCAGGAACCTTGCATCCTGATGGAGTCTTTGAGATAGACCAGCAGCTGGACGCCAGCACAGTCACCGTACAGTTCACCGGGTTTGAGAGCAGTCTACATGGCATCATGAAGTTTGAGATGGCTATTGGAACAAAACCTGAAAAACAAGATGTGCTGCCTTTTACTGAAGATAACATTGTCCATATGGAGGAAACCAATGTAGCTGGAAACGGTATGTACTAGCTGGAGATAAAAAAAAAAATCCTGATTTTTCGAGGAAAGAAAACATTAAGCATATTACTTTACTGACTTCATACAAGAAAAAAAAAATTCCAGACTTTTGCTGTTTAATAATATCTGATTGTTATAGGCCTGGCAAGCTCAGGGTATGCCCAAGTCAACCTAGAACTGAAACCTAACCAGACATATTACACTACTATCAGGGCAGTGACAAACAACAGAAATATCCTACAAACAAGTTCTGATGGATTTACTGTCGACCAAACACCTCCTGCCATCCAAGTAGACAGGTAAAAAACAGGTTTATATATAAAGTTAATTTTGTGTTCTTTGATTACCATACAAGGGATATGTATATATTTTTTCTCAACATTTTAAATATGCCAATCAAATTTATTATCAAAATAAATTTGTTTTGATGATAATAACAATTTTCTACAGTAATAAACATTTACTAACTCCCCCCTTTTCCCTTTTCTTTTGATGTAGACTGGCCGATGCCTGGCTGTCTGAAGAATCAGCCAATGATACGGTGTATGAGATGTCAGAGAAGCATGTGTCGGCAGAGTGGCACTATAATGACACCGAGTCAAACGTGGTCAAGGCCTGGTGTGCTGTGGGAACGTATCCATACGCCGAGGACATTTCTCCTAAGAAAGAACTAAACATCTCATCTGTAATGAGTAATGGAGTGGATGTGGCCTCAGTAACAGCCATGAAGACTGGTAATCCTCACATTTTTCTTCTCTTTTGTTGTACATTTTTCATGATATTATTTTTGTGGTACGTATCACAAATTAAAAATTAAAAAAACAACAACACATTTTTTAAGGTAAACCAAATATCATAAGTATCTGGGCAGAAAACAGTGTGGGCCTGATCAGCAAGAGAACCACCAGTGCCATAGTGATTGACGAGAGCATTCCTCAGACAGGGTCTGTAGTGTGTCCAGAGTTTATCCAGGTATGTCATTTCAGCCTGTCAGGTGAAGACTTAGATAATGTGGTCATGCTATAATTTAGGGTTTAGATCTTCATTCCTGTTCTGAGAAAAAATGAAAATGCAGGTTCAAATCTCACCTATTCGATTTCAACTTGCTTGAAAATGTTAAAAGGGTCAAAATATTTAGGTATTGTTATTATCTTGGCATGTATTTTGGTAGACTTTACATACATGTATATAATTTTATGTGTTTTTGCAGCCTGACCAGACCATAGAGTGCAGCTGGTCAGGATTTTCTGATACCGAGTCTCCAATAAAGGAGTTTCACATCGCCATGGGGTCAGCACAGGGAGATGATAGTCTGTTGACTGGAGTTACTCTGTCAGCTGATACCTCCAAGTACACCATCACTGGTATGAGCTACTTCAAAATAATACATGTCTAATACACTGTACATGTCTAATTAAAAAAAAAATTGCCTTGTTTAGTAGCCCTCACCCCACATGTTGTTTTTGTTTTTTTTTGAGGTACATGTATGAAATTCGTTGTTATTTGATATTTAGGTGTGACCTCCCAGTTGACCCACAGCTCTATCTACTATGTCACAGTGACCGCTGTGAACACTGTCGGGCTAGAGATCAGTGCTTTCTCCCTCCCCATCACCATGGACACCACTCCCCCTGTCACGGGCAAAGTAGTGGACCTTCACACAGTGTACAGGCTGGACTTTACAGATAACGATGCTACAGTCACCCAGAATAGTGTACAGTGTTCCACAGAAGCAGGTGTGTGTTAAACCCAACTTTTGTTCCAAAATTACTGTAGTACTGTGAATCTATTATAATTATTCATGACTTATTAAATTAATTTGTTTAAGTATAGTAATACATTCTTCTCACACAATTTTTAAAATTAAGAGTTCAAGATGAGTGATTTTATATGTAAACCCAGGTTTGTCTTTGCACTACATGTACCTTGTACTTGCTTAAAAGCTGGTGTACCGTATTAGAAGTGAAACTACACATTTTCAGAATATTTCTCATTTTGATTATGTATGTGAAGTTCTTTTGCACTAAATATTTTGTATCATTTATTTATTTTTCTTTGGACAGAATGTGATGCACTGGATGCCACTTGTACAGAATCTTTAACCTCTCTGTCTGTAACCTGGATGCCATTCTCAGACCCCGAGTCAGGAATTGCCGAGTAAGTACATATACAAACTTCACCAGTTATGGTTCTGTATGAAAGTGTCCTCTCTCTTAAAACTCAGAACTTAAAAGACTGTAACTTTCCTTTACAGGTATCAGATAGCGGTGGGCACTTCACCTGGAGGGGGGCAGATCCAGTCCTTTATCCCCATTCCCCTGGACAGTAAACACTACACAGTGGGGAACCTGAATCTTAATGGACAAAGACAGGTGACAAACTCTTCCAGACAAATCTTTATTTTATTAAACATGTTAAAAAGAAAATGACAATGATATAGATCTATGAATGTTTCTCCTGCATATGGATGTAGTGTTACTACAACTGTTCTTTTAAGATTAGTTTTTACATAATTCTTGCAATGTGAGTTAAAGTTGATTTGTAATTTCATGGTATAGACTGACATGACTCATAGTTGCTACTTGATTCCATATTTGTTACTTAAAGCTGTCAACATTGTATTTCATTGTATGGATGATATTTGATACTGATATGGAATTCTCTTAACAGCTATTTGTGTTGGTGAAGGCTATAAACAGTGGGTTTGATACTGATATGACTTTCTCTGTTTAAATCTATTTGTATCGGTGAAGGCTGTAAACACAGCAGGACTGTCCAATGTCTGATTTTGATGTGAATTTCTTTGTTTACGGCTGTTTGTGGCGGTGAAGGCTGTAAACATTGGGTTTGATACTGATATGAGTTTCTCTGTTTACAGCTATTTGTATCAGTGAAGGCTGTAAATACAGCAGGACTGTCCAGTGTCTCCTCCTCCAATGGAGTGTACATGTCGTACCTCAGTCAGGGAAGACCACCACTGTCTCCAGTGGAAATCATGGATCTGGTAGAGGGAGGCAACTCAGATGTGTAAGTACAGTATATAAGTATGTCTATGCCTTGTATTATCATTGTTATGTTGTCTATTTATTGCACTTGGACACTGAGTTCCTCTCCTTTATTCAGAGACATCCAGACAGATCCAGCCACTATAATGGCTGGCTGGGACACCTCAGGAGATCCGTGTCCAGCCACTAAGTATGAATGGGCAATAGAAAGACTGGATGGGAAAGTGATTTCTGCATTCTTGGACATGGGATGTAAGTTAGAAGCCTACCTCATATAGAGGCAATTTATATAAATGCATAATATATTGTGATGTTCATCATTTATATCTTGAAATACCTAAGTTTAGAGATTATCTCCCTTGGTGCGCTCTTTCGTTGAGGAGGGGAGTTTCGTTACTGCGTAAACAGACAGGTGGGACAGATATTTATATATTGGATACATTGCATCATCGATATACTGGTTTATCATAAATATATGATTGTCAGTATGCACTCTACAACTCAAGAATTATCGAATTAATGTAAAGGCATAATTTTTTAAAGCAAAATAATCATAACAAAAAAGAAAATATCAGTTGACGAGAGACTTTTCAGACGAGGGAAGAGATAGCGACCTCTAATAAATACGGTAAACATGCATCTAATCATTGCATGTCAGCAATCTAAATGACATATTGATTTTTTTTCCTTATTATAACTTAAAAAAAACACTAACTTTTCATAAAATGTTTGTAAAATCAAGAAAATCGGTTACTTTTTATAAAGACTACGACGTTTCTTTCGTTTTCAAGTACCCTATAACTGAAAGTAGATTTGTGAATATGCATATTTTAGGTTGATAAAATCATCAAATACATGTACATCACTGCTTAACATTAAATAAATTTTAAGAGACATAAATATGGTTCATTTATTTATGCGTGTTTGTATACAGAAACAACCTGTCCCACCTCCATGCTGAAATGGATACTTTTTGCGCCTCTATCATAGGAGAGTTACAGTCTCGAAACGGCATATTGAAGTTTTCATAACCCTGACATCTTTTTCAGTGAAGACTTCAGGACTGATTGATGGATTGGTTTTGGTGAACAGTGAGACCTATGTTAACCTGCTCAGGGTGACTAACTCTATAGGATATCAGTACATACGCAGATCCTCTGGTGTAACAATCCAAGGGACACCACTCCTGCCTGGCAACGTGTATGATGGTAGCATTGCAGGCTTTGATCTGAATATTCTGCCTTCTCCCAGGACTGTATCAGCCAACTGGAATGGATTTGGTCTCCCAGCAGATGCTATTGTGCAGATTGATGTCAACAATGGTAAGCTTGATTTGTTGTTTTTATTTTTTTCTTTTTAAGACATCTACTAAATGAGACTATGTGTCTCATAACTCCAATTAAAAATGGAAAGGAACAAAATATTTTTTTTATAAATTTGCGTAAATGTTTCATTCTTTATTTAAAAAAAAATATAAAGGTTGTTTGTCTCTTTAAAAGAGAAATGCTGAAAAGACAGATCAGTTTACTATTGAAATTTGTCTTTCTGCATCTTGAAACTCTTTTAAAGGCAACCCTGGTGTACAGGCTGACCAATCCCAGCTGGAGTCCCAGGACAGAAGTCAACAGATAGCTCACTATGAAGTAGCCTTAGGAACTGACAGAAGATTCAACAACACTCGCTATGATGTGGTGCCCTATACCAATGTAGGGACAAACACTACTGTGGAATTCTACGACCTGAATCTCACACCTGGCACAGCTACATACTACTTTACTGTGATCGCCTACAGTAAATCCTTCTCCAAGACTATGGTCACTTCTAATGGATTCACAGTAGGGGATGGAGGGGGAATCACAGGTAAAAATTTACCTTTAGATATATTTAAAATATTTTATTCTTAAATTAAAAAGATTAACATTAAGGTGTGTTAGTATGTGTATCAGTTAACTTTAAAAAGTCTGAGGTAAAGCATGCATGCACATCTGTTGATGGATGTCTTGCAGTTGGAATCATTTCAAGCCCTGGAAGTTGTGTACACACTAACGCCTCCCTAGACGTTCAATACAATGGATTCTCCTCAGCCTTAGGAATCTTCATGTACTACGTAGCCATTTCTAACACAACAGATGCAAACAGCACAGAATGTAAAGAATATGTAAGTTGAGGAAAAATTTCCTTGAACTAAAAATTTCTTTTGGAATAATATGCCTGTATTTTTAAGTAGTGTCTAATGTAACTGTGAATGTGTTCAACAGATTGATGGAGGATCATTGTCAGCGAGTGAGAGAAAAGCCTTGTTTCCTGCCAAAGATGTGACCAATCAAGGACAAAACACGTATGCAAAACTAACAGGACTTGACCTAGTTCATGGAGAGACCTACTACATCTGGGTCATCGGTAATGGCAACATTTCTGAAAAAATATTTATTCTGTTGAAATACTTTCAGTATGCTAGATTTCTTTATGTACAATATCATACATGAATACCCATCCTTGGTTAAATTTTGATAGTTGCATAAATCTCCTTTCTTCCAGCTGCGGATAACTCTGGACAGTGTGCCAGTACCTACTCGGCATTTATTGTTGATGTCACAGAACCAGAAATGGGAAAGATGAAAACAGGCCCATTTTATGACATGGTAGGTTTTTGTCTATTTCCATAGATGAATTGCTAAGTAATGGTATTTGAAATCGGTGAAATTTTCTTCAAACATACCAGCATCTTTTAAGCCGGTTACTCGAATGCAAAGGCATTACTGTTCAAGAAAATACAATCATTTGAAAATTGATACACCAGAACGTGCTCATCAAAACTATAAACAAAATCATTTGTCATCTGTAGGCATGTTAGATATTTATTTTGTGTTCTATTTCCAGCCTGTTACTTTCTCCACTGTGGACACAAGCATCACTGTGAACTGGATGAACTTCAGTGACCCTGAGTCTGGAATATCTACGTACGAGTTGTCCCTGTGGAGGAACTCATCCTGTAATGGGGCCACGGCTACAGCCAGCAGTGTTACAGACTGGATCACACTGTCCAACACCTACACCTCCTACGATATCGTGGATATCAAACTCCAGGTACTAAATCAAGACATTACAGTGACACTCTCAAAAATGACATAGTCAACCCTTGATATCTGAAACATGATGACTTCAGAAAACTTCAAGATTTCTAGCTTTTGAGATATCAGATTGAAATGTTAATATTACTTAAAGACAATTAATTCTCTTTCTTTTGTTCTTGATATTAAACATACGTGGAAGTGTTTGAGACACTGAATTTAACTGTATGCCATATGTGTTTTCATTGACTAGGAGGACACTCCGTACTATGTTAAGATGAGAGTGAAGAATTGTGCTGGTCTGTCAGTAGAGCTGCAGTCTCCCCCAGTCCTTATAGACAAGACTGTCCCCAGCAGTGGTGTGGTCAAAGATGGAGGGGATTTCCAGAGTGATATTCTGTGGGTGAACGACAACACCAAAGTCACAGGTTGGATATTTTTAGATAACTTCTACATCAAAAAAGATGGTAGTGCAAATACTGAAAGACAATAAAAGAGCCAAATGAATTATTTTTAGGATTTAAATCATAACACAATATTATTTTAAAAAATGAAGAATCTATTGATATACTTTAAGCTGAGACTTGACACTGTTTAACAAAAAAACTATACAATTGCGTATTAATTGCATATTAACTGTCAACATTGCCCTGTTTTCCAGGATCATTCCTTCACCTTGCCAAACCCACTGGCCTCTCGTGTCCAAATCAGAATATTTCTATCAGGAATGATCCACACTGGAGGAAGCTGACTAAGCTGGGAATGCTGGATCCGGACGGAGAGACCTGGAAGATCCAGTACTCCCCTATCTACATCATGGACTTCCCTGTGGAGGACAAAGTGAAACTGAAACTAGGACTGGCACGGGATACAGTCAACAAGGACATACTAGGGGCCGGGGCCATGTACAGATCAGCTGAAATGTATAATGGAGGAACTTATAAAGTATGCTTGTCATCTTTTCATAATTATGAATTTTTTGAAAATTGAAAATGTTTTTAAAAAGTGTTCACTTATTTCATAATGAGTTTGAATGATGTAAAACATTACATATATTATCCCCATATTATAAGAATATAACTTTTTTTATGTGTAGCTTGAGCTTCGAGCTGCAGATCATAATGGAGATGTGGTAACTGAGGTCTTGTTTTGGGATGGCACAGATGAAGGGCTAGCTACCATGAAACATCAGGAAGAACAACTGATGACAAAAGCTTGTTCATGTTGCTTCACAAATCCCATCCCAACAGTATGTATAAAATTATACTGTCAAAGACATATTTAAAGAAGAACTGCATTCAGAGCACCTATAAAATTGTGTAGCTTACAAAGATTACAAGTGGTTAAATTTTTCTGGAAATATCTCACCTGTTTTACTTAAAGCTTAAAATTCCTGATGAGAGTAGAAAGGAACTGTTTATACAATGTACATACCTTTTCTTCCAGCAGAGCAATTCTAAGTGTAATATGACCATGTGTTTTTCTTTATTCAGACCTGTGACAATGGACAGTGTAATTGTCAGCAGTATTTGAGGGAGAAAGGTTACTGGGGTAACGAGACATTCCAAGCCCAGGGTACAACAGCTGTCCCTATCCCTCAGCCCACAACAGCTTCTCCATTCAATGTCATCAACGATGAAGGAACCAGTGTCCTGGGCCAGAACAAACCAAGCACCATGCAAAATTCTTGTGGAGTTCAACTTTATGCAGGTTATTGATCATTCACTGTTTCAAGACATTGTATGGTATTCTGTTGGGGTCTTTTTTGTCCAAGTATTCTTTATCATCTTCATTTAATTTCATTTTCAGCCAATCCTTCTCAAAATGCCAGTGGCTACATTGTGTCCTGGTGTAGATATTTCAATGACACAAGAGAGAAATTTAGACTGAAAACTGAAGTCAACTTTGATCCTAGTGAAGTGTACAAGACATACATCATTAGGTTTGAAGTTAGGAGTGAGGAAGCCACTGCAGTAAGTTAAACTTAAATTTTGAATGTAAACTGCAATTGACTAAATGAAAAAAAAATAATAGAATACACTTTATATTAATATAACATAAACCAATAGTTGGAAACTTATTACTGGATTAGACGTTGTGTTTTTGCCGTTTTTAGCTACAATGGTGTATGTCTGTGTATGTGGAGGAGGACTTTATCAATCAGCTGTGTGACATTCCACACCTCTCTATAGACACACTGCTTTTTGTTCACATCTTCAAAAAAGATAATATTCTGCCCACTGTTCCCAATGCCTTCACTCCCTGGGCTGCCTACGCAGAGTTTTCTGATCTGGAAATGCCTCCACCTATTGGTACTTTGTGTAGGTCTGGTCAACAGTTCAGGGGATACTCCAATCCTATTATCAAATATGAGGCAGGAATTGGGTCCTCAAGATTAGCCACTGACGTGGAAGGATACAGAGAGGTATGTTTTTCAAAAACTGTACTAAGTTCAAATTTTTCAACATAGTTGAATTTTATGAGAATTTACTGCAATGAAAATGTTTTTACTTCATTTTGTAATGTTATTAGAGTATGTTTCTTCATGTAAAACATTGCAACAAGAAGGTGTTGTTGCTCAACTGAGTTACAACAGCTTTTCTTTGATTTTAAAAAAGGATTTAGTGTAACATTGAGTGCTATGCTTCTTTCAGATTGATTTTCCATGCATCTCCTGTATCAATGACTGCTCCCAGTACAGCTGTAATGCCTCCTGCAGTGCTGATGATACCATTCTAAAGGTTTTCTCCTTGGATCATCTCAATTTAACAGCCAAGAGAAATAATTCAGGGGCAAATGAACTGGCCACATACTATCTCACAGGTACTTTAAATTTAAAAACTTATACCATGTAACATCACATGTGATATATGAAGTTAAATATATAATTTCTGCACAGTTGAAGATGAAGAGAGATATGTTCAATGCAAACCCGTCATAAATGAAGATTTTTCTTCAAAGTAAGAAGTATTTTTACACAAACATATTTCTCTGTCAGTTCGAGCCACCAGTGGATCGGGGGCCTCTACTGTGTCGTCATCAGATGGTTTCTATGTCGACACCACTCCTCCAGAGTTTGACCTACAGCTGATGAGTCTGAATATTTATTATGACGTAGATCAAGGGGAGAGTACCCCTGTCCGTTACCAGCAGTCCAACAGCACCATCAAAGCCATCTGGAAATGTAATGATGAGGAAAGTGATATAGTTGTACGTATTTCACAAGAGTTACAAAAAACAGGAAATGTTTTTTATTTGTGCTTGAATTATTGTGACTTGGCTCATGCCATCCTACTGGCATTACAAGAGAGATGGGATTTTTTCTGGACTTTGTAATGCTGAAGTTAATATTTTGACAGGAATATGAGTGGGCCATAGGAACTTCTCCAGGAGACACAGACATCCAGGGATATACCTCCACTGGTCAGAATGTGGCTGGAGTCAACAGCAGTCTAGAGGGTGTGCTTCAACACAACCACACCTACTATGTTTCTATCATCTGTCACAACGGGGCAGGGCAGTCAGCTACTCACAATGATACAAAAGGTAATGTATGAATTCTAGATTATAAGTAGTGAAAGGGTGCATTTCATGATTAAGAAGTTCAAAGTTGTGGCATTGTACTAAATACATGTACATTTTAATTTATATCTCACTGCCATTGAACTATGCAGACTGAAGAAAACAACTTTATGTAACTTGAAATTACAACTTGGTTACTGAATGAAAATAAGTTTCAGCATTGTCATTGTTACTGATGTGAATTATTTGTTGGTGAACTGGTTTTAGTTAATGCAAACATCTGTGGTTATTGTATCAGTGTCAATAACATTATCATTAATCAGTTTAATTACTTCGTACAGGTGTGACAGTGTTGTTGATCCCTCCAATCGATGACATCAACGCCACCCTGCTATTTGTCACCGACTTCCCACAGGCTGTGTATCCTGTGAGATCTTACAAACAGGACGATGGAGAGAAGGCAGGGGTATCATTCACCAAATCCAACGACCCTGCCGTAGACAGATACGGTATACAATATATCATACATGTAGATCAATCTTATTATAAATACATGTATTACTGTAAATTAAGTTCTGTTCATAACAGTTACTGCATTTCTTTTAAAGATTGTTTTTGGGGGGAAAAAAAGCCAACATGAAAAATACACACAATCATGTAAACAAAATGTGTGGCTAGGATTCCATTATTGTTTTTTTTTTCTTCACCTTCATATAGTACATTCTGTATCATTCAGTTTTTCCCCTCTGATTCTATTAACTTTAATTACAAGTTTAGATCTGTATAAAGACTTAAAAATATATCAGGTTATAAAAAGAAATAGACAACTGTCATATGTTCTTTGTAAAAGCACACCAAGTTCAAATTTGAAAAAAAAACATCAAGAAATCTTTGCTTCTTGAACAGATGTTTGTCTTGGATCCACACCCAAGACAGATGACATCTTACCTTGTACATGGGTAGCCCTCAATGACTCTGGATCTGCAGAAATTAGGAATGGTAATCTGTGGATAAACGGACAACAAATCCGACAGTTATCTGACCTCAGAAGAGGACAAGTCACCTCCTCCAGTGGTAACTCCACTGGGAACTTATTCCGCATGCCAGTGGGAAAGATAATGTTCCTCAATATGAGGCTCTGCAGTGCAGCCATGTTGTGTAAAAATGTGACAGGAGGATGCATTGTCATTACGAATGCTAGATCCATTATTGAAGATTCTCCAACAGGTGGTGCCATCTCTCAGGATATTACAGCCACTGCCAGGAGAAGGAAGAGATCCATTGGAGACATCAATATCAAAACACCCAGTGGTATGGTTAAATCATGTAATAAGGTTTAATGTAAAAGATATGTTTCTACCAAATGTACCTGTGGTTAATTCGCTTTATTTTTGTTAGAAGAAGTGTAAAAGTTAAATATCTTTGGTTCAGGTTTGCTATCCTGTATTGGTAGTTGTTCGTATACTTAGTATTAAAATGCCCTATTTCAAATTTGGTTTTTGAAAGAAAGTAAGTTACAGTAAGCTTATATCAGAGAACTTTTGTATGATTTCTAGGCTTGAACCCAGGCACCACCCTAGTATTGACACCCCTGGGAGAGTCTGAAATCACTGCAACCTACGGGTCAGATGCCTCCACAAACTTTGTATCCTACATTGAGAATCCAGCTACAACCCAGGATAAGTTACAGAGGCTTTTGGTCAACAGGTACACATGTGAACCTTAACCATCTGAAGAATAATCTGAATATAAGTGAAATATTTCTTCAAGATATTTGGAGGTTAAGTGCTCATCATTAGATGAAACCTTTTTCGCTGGTATTTTAATGTGTGAAGTTTCTATAAAATACATATGTTGTTCCAGAGTGAATTTTGAGAACTACACAGCCTTCTCAATGGTGGTGGTAGGAAACATTCCCATGCCTGGTCCAATAGTAATTACATACCATGATGAGGTGGGAAAAACCACCTCAGGAAACAGAACAATGTTGATACACTGGAACCCTGGTAAGCAGTGGTGTATTGTAAGGTTAGCTAGAGAGTGAAGTATAGAATCTGAGAGAGATTGTATGACACTATGTACTACCTCTTATAACATGTCATTGTATGTATTATTTGACAGTGATGCAGTACTGGGAGCTGAGCAGTAGGACCTGCCGACATCTCACTGCTGATGAACAAGAGGTTTATGATGCTGCCACACAGACTATGTCAGTGAAGGTATTCACCTGCTTTAATTTTTTTCTTATTGTAAAAAGGATTGTTTTAAATTTTATATTAATCTATTGCCTTTTTAAAGGATATATGCAAAACTTTTAAACTGTCGGCTTACTTGTGCTAATGGTCTCTTCTTTTCTGAGCTAATTTACATTTATCAGTTATGATATTCTACGTTTACTTTAATTCTTTACGCGTATTTTTCTTTTCTTTTCCATACAGGTATGTGATACATATTACAATGCCACTGCCAATGATACAACACCAAGCCTTACCAACATCAATGGGACATTTGAACGGGAAACCATGTTCATTATCCCAGTGGGAGATGCTGCCATTTACAACTCACCACCAAGACTGAACAGCACAAACCAAATCACTATAGAGGAAGACTCGGGTAAGCTGCTCTGTGACTCTGAATTCATTATAATGTATGATAGAAGGATGAAGTTCTATGTAGCCAGATTTAGTGAATTTTTAATCTGAAATGCTGAGTTACCTTTGTAGCAATTTATATTCACCTGAAGAGATGATAATGTACTAAATTGATAAATTTGTTCCCTCTTTAGTCTCTGTGGCAGAATTTATGAAATTGAAGATAAAGATATTTAACTGAAATACTGATTTTTATCACAGGAACCCTTCAATACCAGTTGGTGGCCACTGATGACGAGGGAGATATAATCAGATTCCAACTCCATGAAGAAGAGTTTGAACTTGGAGATGTGAACCTTACATCAGAGGGCTTGTAAGTGTCTGCATCATTGTCTTAGATAAGGAATTTTCCTATGAAGTTTCATAATTCGTGGAAAAAAATTGTTCTAGGCTTTGCTTTGTTCTGAATGCTGTTTCTTGTAGTTTGTCCTTCAAACCATGCCATGATTGTTCTGGCTTACAAATGGTCAATTTTACCATGTACGAAGTACAGCAGTTCCCAGAAATTATCCCCAAGAACACCACTACAACTGTGTACATCACTATACAGGAAGTCAATGACCCTCCCAAAATGTTTGTGTCCAGAAATGGACAGCTGATACAAAATGCAGACCCCACTGAACCCATCGTGGTAAGTCTCATTTCTGTTTACAATGTATCGTAACTACTGAACAAGAGTTTTTTGTGCTCTATTCCAGATAAAATTGATATTCTTAAAAATTTCTTACTTATACATTATAAATGGAAAATTGTGTCATATTTTAAAAGGAGTACTTCATAGAAGAGTTTGATTAATATTTCCTTCAGATTTTACTTGAGGCTAAGAATGACTTCAATAAGGACAGGTGGAGCCCCACATGGAGTGCTGTTATAGGAGCATACGACCAGGAGATGTCAGACGTCATCAGCTTCCAATTACTCCAGCCTGCCAATGGAAGCCTCACACGATCAGCCTTCAACAGAGACGTACCCCAGCTACTGCAGAGCTGTGACCAGGCCGAGGAAATCGAGGTAGGCTTCAAGACTGAGTAAAAGCTACACTGTATTAGTACTGAAGCATATTCAAAATTGAATATACATGTACTTAGCAGCATATTTGAATTAATTACATTTCCTCATATAAACATCAGGTCAATATGATGCCTTGTCAGAATTTCTATGAGACACTCCCTCGGAATGAGTCGCTTTTGTCCTGGCTGACCCTCAATGTGACCTTCAATCAGCCGACCAATGTCTTTGGAAATTTTACGGCCAGGATGTATTTTGAGGACTCCTCCAATGGAACCTCTTTACCTATTTCCTTACAGTTTGCCATCATGGAGTCCCCTTGTCACAACAGGGCACAATGCAAACGTTAGTATATAATATAATATCTACATTAAAGAAATATCTGAAAACTAATTTCTTAATTTTTTTTTTCAATAAAATTTACATTTTTTCATTGAGTAAGAATGAAGTTAATAAATATATAATGGAGGAAAGAAATATATTCTTATTGATGATTGCAATGTTTTATCAAAGACATCTTGTAAATTTATGAAACATTTATGGTATACCTGTAGATAATATACTAGTAAATGAATAATTCTATATTTTCAGCGACTGGGATCTATTCCTGTGAGGACACCCATCGTAGCCACAGTTTTGATGCGTACTACAGCTGTGTGTGCGCGGGAGGCTGGCAGGGCAAATACTGCGCAGAGGACATTAACGAGTGTCTGAGTAACCCCTGTATCTCCCCCTATGTCTGCTTCAACAACGAGAATTACTATGAGTGTGCCTGTCCTCTGGACAATCCTCACTGTGAATTTGAGCTCTGGGTCATCGCCATTATTGTCCTGGCTGTAGTCCTCCTCATCATTTTCATAATTACTGCCGTGTACAGACTGAAGTTTAAGCGCAGGTAGGAATTTGCAATGTACAAATGTTAAACTTTTGTGAATTACATGTATGACTGTGACAAGTTCTTTCTTCAGTCCTCTTTACTATGAAACAAATTATGATTGTAACAAGTTCTTTATTTTTTTTACAGTCCTCTTGACTATGAAACGGAGTGAGTATACCTATCTTTGACTGTAATATTGTTATAAAAACTCTTATTAGATGTTGTTTAATTCTTTAGATGTTGTTAACTGAATTTGTTAAAGCTAAATGTAGCACATCTTGAATGCTATGTCATTAAACAATTTGATACTTAATATTGATATCTATGAATGTGGTACATGTTTGTAGTAGCCATTTTGGATCCACATCTTCCATGACTGGGTCAGCTTCTAGTGTCAGCGACGATGAAGAGAGCTTACTTGGTAAATCACTCGCACATTTAAATCAAATCTCTTTTTACAATTAACTCTGGATTCCAAGGAAACCAACAATTACCTCATTTGATTCCTGTTGCATAACTTTTTGGTTTTTCTTTTCAGATGAGAAACCCTGGACATATGATGATGGTGCCTCTGCTGATGTAAGTCAATGATTTGTCTCAGTTTGCTTTTAACAGCATGTGCATGACAATACCTTTTATTTGTTTTAAACTTAGAACACATGAAACTTGATTTAAAAAAAAAGATCCAGTTTAAAAACAAGGGGACTACATGTATTATGTCTCATAGAACAGTGAATCAGATGCTGCAGTTTTTTGTTTTAATTCTTCACTTATTTGTACATTACTTGTTTGTTTCTCTGACAAAGCTTTTTAGTTTACATGCACTTTAATATGGCCTTTTGACAGAAATCTTGTGTGAAAAAAAATGTTATCTTTCTTTTGATTAATAAATAAAGTTTGTTATGTTCTTTATTGGTTCTGTAGTTGTGATGTTATTTACATGTAGGTGTAAATGAAAAATTCCATGATTTTCATCACATGTCAAAAGAATGGTCAACTCCCTTAACTACCACGTGAATTTAGTCTGAGAGCAATCTGAATTTCAAGATTTCTGCTTTTTGCAAAAAAAAAATGGAGGGGGGGGGGTCATTTTAAAGAACTTAGCTATATCCTTGACGTTTCATGTGTTACTAGGTTTTCATACTGGATGATGTAATTGCATGGATTTATATTTTGTATGCATTTAATATTCACCATCATTTTATTTCTTTACATACAGATTGAGTACTTTAAGAATCCCAATTTCACCAGGGTAAATATCAGCTGTCACCTTAAAGTGTCAGAGTTCATTGTCATATTCTAATTGTTCTACTTATACTCATGTGTACTTGTCAAACAATTGTGCATTCTGTACTGAATCTGAAGTACTTTGTCTAGCATTCTGTGTAGGTCACTTGATGTTTGGTTCATCTTTTTATGAATACTTGAGTTATTTTCTCTTCTCAGTTCATGAAGAGTATCATCCACTTGTGAACAAAGTGATACTTTAATGTAGCCGTTGAAGAGCCTCAGTAGTTTGTTTTCCTTATATTCATAGCATTAGAGGTGTAGAAGTGTGTCTTATGTTTGTCCTCCCATTCGTACAATGTGTTGCATTATCATTGCACTTTTTTGGCCTTCTTTCATCTGTTATTTGTGACAAATTTCATAATTATTATGAAAAGTAGAAATCATTATCTGTAAAAACTGTCAAGTATACCGTAAATGTACTTTCTTCCCCGTGGTATTAATTTACGCTATGTACGCGGTCACAAATTTTCTGCGGAAATTTGTCTAAGCGTACTTAATATAAATGTAAGGCATAAAGTGACAGTCTGAGAAATCGCATAATTTTCTACCTGCAGATCAAACAGAAATTGAGATTCCGCGGAATAATGACCCCGTGGAAAAAAGTACATCTACAGTATGCCATTTAACTGATTTTAAAATAATTGTTTTCATAATGAATTAAAACTGAAGAAATGTAATACTAGACTTTGCTTTCTCATAACTCCAATGATTTAGATTTTATGAATTATTTTACACAATATAGGGTTTCACTGGAGAATTTGATAACCTTCCTCCCAAAAAGGTGAGCAGTGACACACATTATTCTAAGGGAAAAGGAAATTATAAAGCTTAAAAAAATTCATTAAAATTTCTCAAAGTCATTGCTTGACCTCAAATTTTGTACATTTGGTGTTACAGGAAGCTATCGATGAGATGTATAGGGTACGAGTCATTTGTAGACAGTTTACTATTTTGGGTGGTGGTTAAACTATATTTGTCATCTTTATGTACTTGATTTACTGATTTAGCATTTCCTCTTATCAACAGCTGAGTTGTGCTTTTGAGTTGTTTTGTTGTTTATAAAATCTGAAGTGGATTTTGATCATAAAAAATTAACATAGATTTGAACTTCCTTAATATATAAGCCGTCTTGTGAAAAAATTTTAACAGCACCTGAAGGAAATACTCACTGTTTGCACTAACTTAATGTTTATTGTGTGATAGAATTCAAATCATTAATTTATCCTTATCACTTTAGGAAAAGAAGGTCTCCTGAATATGCAGTACCCAATTATACTTATAATTACAATCTCTGAAATGTTTTACTACCCCATTCAAATGGGGAGAGAAGTGAGAGTGAATGGAAGAGGCTTGAGCAATCAGAGAATACTATGATGAAATTAGATGGTGAATAGGTGATGTGTGCAGAAGGAAAGGGAAAATGGGATGAAAGAGCATTTTAGGGACTGTATCATAATTGAAAAAAAGGCACTTAGATCTGCTGTTTTAGATTGCAACTTAAAGGATCAAGCAATATTCAAACTGAGTTAATGTTAGATTGACCATTATTGTACCTTTTAAAATAAATGGAATTTCACAATCACAATGATCCACAAAACTTGTGTGCAAAAGCATTGCTAATTTTAGGGTTTGTTTCGCATTATTGTTAATCTTTACCAAATCATTTTTTCTCAATATTTACCATATCATATACTGCTATAAAAAGAGTTTTGACATTATTTCATTATAATGACCAGGAGATAATGAAATATTAACACATTGCAGGGCTATCACAATCCAGTTCTGGATGTAGAGCCACACTATGATCCTGATGAGGACAGGGTTTTCCATGAGAGACACACTAAATCTACCTTTGAACCACTTGTACCTACCAAGTATGAAGGAGACAAACTACCCCAGAATATTCCTCCTGTCTTAACCACTGGGAAACGAGGTCGAGTCCTGCCCGCTCTGAACCTAGATAAATCCTCCCCATACTACCCCCCTCCCCCATATCAGCTGATGGACAAAAGTGGGAAGAAGAAGAAGAGGAGGAGAAAGAAGAAGATTGGTAACAAGGATGACCACCACCTGGAGGAGGAGTACAAGGCAGGCAGACAGACCCCACCCACCCAGATCCAGAGAGACGCCGCCAAGATGTTTGAAGCTGGAAACCAACAGAACGGCAATGTGGGACCTAGAAAAATCACTGTGGGCCCTGAAAGTGGATTTGCCAAAATCCATCCAACCTCCGTTGATGGGAAAGCATCTTCAGACATGACGTATGATTTTTCCTTATTTAGTAAGAGCCATCCACCTTCCCATCACACGAGAACAACAAAGACTGGGGACTCTAAATCCCAGAAGGTTCACCCAATGTTAGACAGCGACAGAAGTAATGGATTCGAGGCCCACATGACAAGTACACCCAACTCTGATGCCCTTCATCTGCAACAGACCAACCACAATAGACAAAACAACTTCAATGATAGTGTGAACATTGAGAGTGAACTGTGATATTTCTTCGGTATTTATGTTTGTGCCAAAAACTGTTATTTTCTTTAATGATTTGAACTGTGATATTTGTTTGTGCCAAAAAAATTAACTATTTGATTTTTTAACATAATACTAGTATTTTTGTGTTTGTTTTGATTTATTTTTTTAAAATGATTTTTCATAATTATGTTCAAAAGTGAAGGACACTAGAACTTGATATGACTGAACAGTGATATTTTTATCATAATGATGTCATTTACATTTTCTAGAACAAAGCTAAAAAATTATTACTGAATATTATCATTTTTTTTAATGACTTTACCATTATCTTTTTTTGTTTAACTAATATTTCAAGGTTGAATATTTTATTAAAAATTCAGGAGTAAAAATTAAATGTCTTAGTTGTTTTTGAATGAATTTAGTGTACAGTTTGTATTTTGGAAGGTCCATGATTAATTGCCTGTATGCAGATTTTTTAAGTTGACTTTTTTTGCACCCTTTTCTTGCCTGAAAAGTGAATTTAGTTTTTTTTTTTTAAAGAGCAAAGACTGAAAGAAATATCAGGATGTATCTCAAAATATTAGTTACGAAATTAAGCTTTTGAAGAGCGCTGGTGTGACGTTGAACATTGACCCGAATTGAAAATTGACCCGGGGCTCATTTTTCAACGTTGAATAATTGAACTGGGGGTGTTTATATCTCCGTTGAAAATTGAGACCAAAAGTCGTTGAATTTATACCCGGGGTCAATTTTTAACAGCTTGATAATTTTTTTTCCTCATCCGTTATGACCTCAAGAAGTTGAAAATTGACCCTGTGGAATATTGACCCAACTTTAGAGTTTGAACATTTTTTGAACTGGGAAGTTTTACTGGATTTATCAGTCTCTCTATATTTATATTTCGGTTTAAATTTTTTCCCTTTTCAAGAATAATAGAAATAAACATCATCCCGTGTATATATGTACATTTTGATCAGTGATCTTCAAGCATGACAACTTTATTTTTTGACAATACTTACTAAAATCCATAGTCCATAAATAACTACAAAACAATGAAAAGGGCAAAAAACAAAAATCCTGGAAATCTGGTGTCTAGAAAGTGAGCCCTATATATATATATCTAGTCAAATTCAGTATCGATATTTAAAGCCTAAAAATTAGAATGAAACAAATCGGCCAAAATGAATCCAAAGGTAGGTTATATTTGTAAATAAGATCAATATAGCGACCATAGCATGTGAGTTATGCTGACTTTAAACAAGGTTGGCGAAATTACTGTAACAAACTTATCTGTCAGTATCCTGCCTCGGCTTAAAACTTGATCGTTTTCGGGGCATAACATTGAGAATGAGATTATTTTTATTCTAAAACATATTCTTATTAGATACAATGTGTTAATTCCTATTCGATTAGGTGTAATAATTTTATTTCTATTTGGTAATTTGTTTTCAATAAATTGCTATTCCCATCGGAGGAAGTATGATTCCTATATTATAATATATCATTCTTTTTGAAAACACGCGTTTCCTATTCGATGTCATTCATATTTGAAAACATGCGATTCCTATTCGCCAATTTTGTCATTCCTATTTCTTATTCGACAATTATTTGGTATATATGAAATAAAGTTGTTCGAAAACATACTAGCATCCATTTCTATTTGGAACAAGATGTGTTTGTGAAACACTATGCGCCCGGCGGCAACAAAGTTCGATAGAGCTGTTTTTAGCTTATAGGTCACAGTCAAGGTCACAAGGTCATTGACCTTGGTGTCATTTGAAAGAGTTTAATTAGTGGAGTATGCAGACCAAATAAGAAGTCTATATATCCTTTGGTTGAAAGTTATGTTAAAAAATTGAAATAGCTATATTTAGCAAAAAAGTCAAAGTCAAAAGGTCATTGACCTTATTGTCATTTCAAAAAGCTTTATTAGTGGAGTATGCATACCAAACATGAAGTCTCCATCTCCTAGGTTCAAAAGTTATGGTGAAAGTTCAAAAGAGCTATTTTTAGCATATAGGTCACAATCAAGATCACTGAATTTGGTGTCATTTGAAAGAACTTAATTAGTGGACTATGCATACGAAATATGAAGTCTCTATCTCTCATGGTTCAAAAGTTATGGCGAAGGTTGAAGTTGACAACAGACAGATAGACAAAAACAATATACGCCATGGATCTATCCATGTATATATGCGATGTTTTTAAATAATTGCATTCTGGAAATATGACAAAACTAGAACTGGTTGAAAACTCAATTAAATAGGAATGACATATTTAACATGATTATCAAATAATATGTTTTACGGTGTGACCGTTGGGGCGAGCGCAGTTGTACCATCAAAAACACTTGAGATCAGCCACTTCGAACGTCAAGCCGCACGAGATTTCTCGACTAGCTGTGACGTCATACGACGTCACAAAGCTCGTCGGAGCTTACGGAGACAGCCGAGCGTCTGTTTGAAACTATAGAACTAGTGCAATTTTTGTCGAAAAACATTGCAGAGTTATTTCTTGTTTCTTTGAAAGATTTCTACAAACTGAAAGTCTGATATATGCTTTACGTTATTATTTATTCATTTATTCGGAAATATTCGCGCAAAGGACATTGGGTAGTGCGGGAATTCTGGGAATGTTGCACAGAGAAATTTGGCTGATCGTATGTACAGATTTCAATCCGAATTTCCTATTATACTTATATTACACGTTAGTCTATTGAGCTCGCTTCGCGAGCGTCGCTTCGCGACGCTCGCTGCGCTCGCTATAAATTATTTTATTATCGAATAGAAATGTCAAAATTATCGAAAAGGAATCACATATTTTCGAATAGAATAACAACATAAGAGTGATGAATTCTCGAACAGAAATAACATTTTTTCGCAAGAATAACAACTAATCGAATAGGGATCACATTTTATCGAACAGGAATGACATGATTTAGGAAAAGAAAAACGTTTGAATAAGGATAACAAAAAAGTATAATAATGCAACGTTCTACCCGCCAAACCATAATTAATTGATGGCGGAATAATATGTTTTACGGTGTGACCGTTGAGGCGAGCGCAGTTGTACCATCAAAACACTTAAAAAATTGATCAGCCACTTCAAACATCAAGTCGCACGAGACATCTCGTCTAGCTGTGACGTCACACGACGTCACGGAGCTCGTCGGAGCCTACGGAAACGGCCGAGCGTCTGGTTTAAACTATAGACCTAGCACAATTTTGGTCGAAAAACATTGCAGAGTTATTTTTTGTTTCTTTGAAAGATTTCTACAAACTGAAAGCTTTTTATGCTTTAAGTTATTGTTTATTTATTTATCTATTTCACGGAAGCAACCGACATGACTTAATTAGCATATCGTCAAAATTCGTAAGTTTCCGGTGACGTCATATGTATCATTTCCGAAGGGCAAGGTGAAGGCCAGTGTTGTGGCATGGGGGTATTTTTTTGAATAAGGCAAGGCAAAATCATTTCGTTAAGTTCTCGGTAAGAAACAATGTTCCTTTATTTTTTTTTACTATTTTTGATTTATTCGCGCAAAGGACATTGGGTAGTGCAGGAATTCTGGGAATGTTGCACAGAGAAATTTGCCTGACGTATGTACAGATTTCATTCCGAATTTCCTCTGTTCTTACACGTTAGTCTATTGAGCTCGCTTCGCGAGCGTCGCTTCGCGACGCTCGCTGCGCTCGCTATTACTTTACAAATACGGAAAGTTCACTTTGGTAAAGATGAAGAAGAAATCATTTCTTTTCTTATACAGTATAGTTTCAGTTGGCCTTGATCTTCCATAGTCAGTAAAATATCCAAACATGAAACAGTTGTGGCACATTCAATGGTGACTTTAATTTAAAGTTCACTTGGATATATCGAGTCGACATATGAACTAAAATAATTATTATACGTCAACGGTATATCTAAATATTGAGTTGAACCCCACAGCAAATGTTTTCTTTTTGTCATATAAAGTCTTTAAAAATATATTCTGATTCTGTTTCATAGAAATATTTAAACAGGCAATAAAGAAGCACAATTAGTGCCCATTGCAATTCCAAGTTTTGAAGGAAGAATTGGTCTCCGAAGACTGCAGAAATGGTGTCGATAAGGAACTCCAGCATCCTTTTAATATCAACTTCAGGATACTTTTAGGTAGAATTAGGGTGATTTTTAACAAAGTAATTTTCGTTCATGACCTTTCACAAGATACGAATAATCCCGAGTTCCATTTTATAGAGAAAACAGTTGTCTATGATGTAAAATTAAATATATAGTTTTGAATTTGTCGTGAGGAATGCTTGTATAGAGTGTACAAAAGTTGTACGTTTTGATGTTACTGATTTTTTTTAAAAAATGGTGATTTCAAATTTTCAAAAATTTTCAAAAGTGTGTGGGGGGGGGGGGGGCAAGCATCCCTAGCCCCCCCCCCCCCCCGTTCCCGACGCCTATGGTTTCACAGTTGTGAAAACCATGCCATAAATATGTGTTTTTATGCTTTTTAATTTAGAACCGGTTTCATGATCAAAATTCCACGACCCAGTTCAGTTTTCAACGGACTAGAGTCTAAATTTAACACCTTGGGTCTCAATTTTCAACGTTGAAAAATGACCCCCGGGTCAAATATCTACGTTAAAGGTGCTCTAGAGTTACGAAGTAATGAGTCGATCCTTACGTCGCGAGTTCGAATCCCACTGTGGGACATGGAGACCGGTCCTTCGGATGAGACCAAGGTCCAGTTTCAGTAGGTGCTAGCACGAAAAAGATCCCTCCCTGCTTAATGATCTTTAGTGCCGAGTATATTGGATAAAATTTGCAGCTCTCCATCGGCAAGTAGTAGCGTCTCCATATGAGTGAAAAATTCTCGAGAGGGACATTAAATTATAAACAATCAATCAAGATTTGGAGGGAGGAGTTAAAATCACTTTTTTTTCTTAAGAATGTTTGAATATACGAGGGTTGTTCGATATGTATTGTGTATTGTACGGTATCTCAAAAGCATTCGATTCAAATAGTCAAATGGATATTACATCCTTTCAAAGTATTGTCCGTGATTTGAAATACACAATTTTAATCTCTGAATCCATTTATGAAATGCGTCACGGAACGCTGATTTAGGTATACCTCTGAGGCACTGACTGACGGCTGAGCCAAGGGCCTATCGGGACTTGTACCGACGACCAGATAAGAACTTTTTAAGTTTTGGAAAAAGGAAAAAGTCGCATGGTGCTAGATCCGGAGAGTATGGTGGGTGTGGCAAGACAGTAACCTTCTCAGACTTCAAAAATTGTTTCACAAGCTCAGATGTATGTGATGGAGCATTATCATGAAGAAGGCGACATTGCCTAAATCCCGACACAGGACGTCGTTTCTGATAATATTTCTTGAGCTTTTTCAGTACAACATCTCGGTAATACCGACCTGTAACACTTTTGCCCTTCGGCACCGGAATTTGTACGGCTAAACCATCACAAGAGAAGAATATGCAATAAAGGACCTTCTTTGTGCTCACTGTCCTTTTTGGCAACTACAGGCCTTCTAACGTGTTTGGTTAGCCATAGTTTGTTTCCAACTTTTCTTACTGGTTCGAAATAGTGAACCCATGTTTCGTCACCAGTAACTATGTTTGCAAATTGTCTTTGATTGAAGTTTGGAAACATTTTTAGCAGTCGCTTAGCGGTTTGTATTCGTACCTTTTTTTGGTCATCTGTCAATATATGGGGTATCCATCTGGCAGAAATCTTTCGTACTTTCAAAATACGTTTCAAAATGAAATGCACCCGCGATAGCGATATGCCAACAGCTTTGGCAATATCACGAATCGTGTACCTGCCATCACTTTCAATTATTTCCTTGACTTTTGAGACATTTGTCTTGCCTGATACAGTCACAGTTCGACCCGATTTTGCTGCATCTTTGACGGACTCTGTGCCAGTCAGAAATTTCTGTCTCCACCTACGAACTGTCTCATAAGATACCTTATCGGACCCATAAACTTCCCCCAATTCAGTAAAAATCTGCTTTTTACCGAATTACCGAGTTTTGTGCGAACTTTTATATAAGCTCTAATTTCTTCAATATTCTCAACCCTTTTCCACCGTTCACGGTAGCTCAGTCGGTAGAGCGCTCGCTCCGTGATCGGGAGGTCGTGAGTTCGTATCTCGGCCGCGACTGACCTAGTCGTTAAAGTGGGTAGCAACTGTTCCTTCGCCATGCGCTCGGCACTTTGAAGTGAAAGTTGCAGGTCCTTCGGATGAGACCTTAAAAACCGAGGCCCCGTGTCAGCGGTAGGCGTTGGCACGATAAAGATCCCTCACTGCTCAATGGCCCTGAGTGCCGAGTTAAGGTCAAAATTTGAAGCCCTTCACCGGCACACGGTGACGTCTCCATATGAGTGAAAAATTCTCGAGAGGGACGTTAAACAATATACAATCAATCAACCCTTTTCCCAACCATTTTTACAACAGTGGTCAACGACTGGATCTATTGAAAAGACGATTATTTTATAACCATGTGTAGATGAAGGCTCGTGTTTATACTGTTGGCAAGGTATTGAACAGAGTTATCCAGGCGTAAAAATATCGACGAAATCGTGCAAGGCGTTATCGCGCTGTGGTACAATACACAATACATATCGAACAACCCTCGTAGTAAGAATCCATAATTATCAATAGGTAGAAAAGGAGATTCAGACATTGTAGCATTTACATTTTATAGAGAATGAACCCTTTTCCATCCCAGCTTTTACTAAAAAGTACACATATGACTTCAAGCTGAAATGTTAAAGTTCATGACCCATAGAGGCTTATCTTCCAAAGTACAACAAATTTGACCCATGGTCGTATATGGTTCATGCTATATTTTTGCTGTGGAATCATTTCGTGGGTACCTTGCATCTAGGAATTAATACCCCAAACAAATTAATAACAGGGGTTTTAGAGTGATTTCTTTTCTTTTACAAGTATGAATAGCATCCCATCCAACCTGTAAAATTTCGGCAATCCACAAAAATTGGACCCCAAAAATTTAAATGACTCTAATACACGCGAATGGTAAATTGCTCTGCAAAATGTTTTTAAAATGTGTACTTGTGATGTAGGAAGTCATATATGAAAAGATAACCCATATTTAATTAACTATTGAAAACTCTATCTATTTGTTAGAAGACATCTACATATAAGGGCCCGTAAACCATAAATTAACAACATCGGTTAACAGCAAGAATTTAATCTTGACTTAATCTTGACTTTCTTACGCAGAAAGGGCGGTTGGTTTCTGTGGAGATTTACCCCGTTTTACGTGTGTAAAATGAATGAAGATATGCACATGTTTCTATATATTTATATTTGAACAAAACAGAAGTTGATATGATATAAATATTTATTATGTCTTATCCAACAACTGGAGTTGAACACATGCTAACATCAACCTGAGTAAGTGTAATATCGTCACATTTTGCTTTGGAGAATTCGCATCTGAAATAAACGTATTCACATGATCATCTGCATAGAATTTGAATACTTGGAAAAATAAGGATCTTGCTATATTTTTTGTGATATCTTATGGCCTTCAAAACATTTAAAAAAGCAACACAAAGGATTTCGAGGAAAGAGCTAGGTTCACTTTATGCATAAAATGGCCCTGTCCTAACATCAATTATTGACTTACATCCTCCTTCCCATTTCATGTCTCAAAAATAAAGTAGAGACTTTTTGCTATCATTTTCTGTAATAAAATTTCTTTTTGAGAATCTAGGTATGGGGAAACAGACTTTTATAGAAAATGCAATGTTCTTCAATATTGCAGAAAACATGCGTATTTGACTGCCTTCAGCAAAGAATTAAAATATGAGCCCACGATCAAAAATGTTAAACATGCTTTTGATCTTTAGAAACAGATCTTACATTATTTAATTCAATCCACATTTTGGAATTTTCAGGATAAAATGACGCAATATTATTATGTCGTAATGTTTTGACTAGAGGGAACATTACGTTATGATCAATAGATATAGGGTCACCAACATTCCAAGTGAAAAATACTGCATTTACTTAAACTGAGCGGTTTTGATTTTTCATAAATTGTCAGGGCCAAAAAAGGCCTATGTGGCTCTTGCTCTTTAGGTATAAATTACAAAACTCTTAACCGATTTTTGTTTACGTCTCTATGTGAGCAAAAAATTCTGTCGAGCGGGTTAATCAAAATATATAATAACTGAATCTTTTAAAAGATCTTAACTCTACTAAGCTTCCTTTCAAGTTAATTTTGAAAATTTCCAAAAAAAGTTATACCCGCTGTTGAACATCATGCCGTTTGAAGCACAGGTTGGTGTAACGGTTGTTGGGCAGTGAATAAAATCTTTGTTTCTACAGAAAACTTGCTGGAAAAGCACGGTCTCCTGGCTCTGTGTTGTGGTGGTGGACATTGCTGATGTAGTCATATCCACTGTGGTGGTATCTACTGGCATCATGGTGGTGTCTGGTGGCATCATGGTGGTGTCTACTGGCATCATGGTGGTGTCCACTGGCTTCATGGTGGTGTCTACTGGCTTCATGGTAGTAAGTGCTGGCATGGTTGATCCAGAAGCCATTGTTGTAGGTGGTCGGGTTGCACTATTACAAGGTCCATGGCTCTTTATTATCAGATGAGAGAACATGCACATGGCGTGTGCAAATTCGCAGCTGCAAATATTTTTAAATGTTTCAGATTTACTTAAATGATACAAACAAAATAAAAATATACACACATATGCCTACACTGAAGCAAATTTTTGGCCTATTTTAGTTGTAAATAATTATGCACATATTAAATTTCTAAAATATTAAAAATTGTAAACTTTCTAATGTGTTTGTATGACGATTAAAAATTATGCAACCACCTTTCGTATTTACGGAATCACTTTCTAGTTTGTTGGATATGCCAGGGCATCAACGATACTTGGAAAAGTGGGATAATTTGCATAATGGGCTAAGCCTGTTATGCATAAATTATCCCATGTTTCCAATTTTCGTTGATGTCCCAGGCATACCCAACAAACTAGATATCATGATTTCTTACATTTCTATTTCACTGAAATAAAATTTCTGTTTTTACTTTCTACTTTCAAAGAGATGTCACCCCAAAAAACATATAGCCATGAAAATATATATAAATGATTTATCGAACTACTTTTTGTCGATATAAATCAAAAAAAAAATTTAATGAAAATTTGAAGTCAATTTACGGTTAAGTGTAGTCGTTTTAAACATATGATATTCTCATTTTCAAGGATTTTGTAAGCTTTTTTAAACTGATATTTGATCTGCCCTTGCGTAGGCATATGACTCGCCTAATTCCCCCAGATTCTTTGTATTATCTTTCCTTAAGAAAAAAAAGTAAAAAAAAAAAAAAAAAAAACAACAACTTAAGAATATTGCATACTGATTGGCATATGTGTGACCGTCAGAACCACAGATCTGTTCGTCGTTAAGTGTTTGGTGATGATGACAGTCAACCACCAAGATGTCGAGACAGAAGTGAGTTCCGAAGTGGATGTTCAGATCCTGGATCTCGTTGTTGACATGTAAAGGGTTGTCCGTCACATAGCCATGGTTATGACCACCTGGCGCCTTGGCCAAAATAACTACAATACATTGAATTCTGCGATTGATAAATTGACACATGTAGGGTCATAAAATTGATAAGAAGGAAAGTTGACCAAACTCCAACCAACCCCCACCGCCATCACAAAAAAGATGTTTAAAGTTTGGGAAATTAATATACGTTTTTTTTCGACCCAGGTGGAACACCATCCCTACCCCCTTTGAAAAAAAAATCCTTGATATGTGCTTCAAATTGGTGCAATCAAAGTGTCTGCTTTTTGCTATTTAGCGCCATATTTCAAGATACAGTGCGAAGACTTAGCGGACAGTATACGACCTCCCCAGGAAACACACTTTTCCAGTGCGGTTTCGCTGAATTTCAGCCTGGATAGCCCTTGGAATAGTGACCGCATCACGTTACACGAAACAATACATGACATAGCAACAATGTTTAACAAAAAGTAGATTTTAAGCCTTTGAAATAAAACAGAGGGAAAATAAATTAAAAACCAATTCAGTGAAATCAAGATAAAACTAGACCCCTTAAGTTATCTAGCTAAATTCTACTGTAAATGTACACAATATATTGGTTCTGTTTCAAACAATATATACAGTTTATTGGTTATCTATGCACCGTTTTACAGTATTGTTTTAATTGAACGAAAACTATATATATTAATGTTAGTTCAAAACCTACCAGTTGGCACTAGAATTGTGACTGCAAAGAAAAACATGGTATCAAAGCAGTGGGATAGTCACACAATTGGTTATCGCGGAGAATTAATTCGTGACCTTTTATCTCCACAATAAAACCTTGTCCTTAATATTCAAAAATTGTGATAATAGGAGAAAGGAAGACACTTCAAATTTTCTTGTAGATTAGGGCTTCAGAGTTGGGCATATCGGTCCAACTTCAGTCATATTGAAAATACTTTATATCCTATGAAATCTTTTGCAGTCCAAGAGCAACAGCAAGTCTTGTGTTTGCGTAAATACTAGCAGTCGTTAGATTCGCCTCGTGCACCTAGTTCTTGGTATAGGACTATTGTACTTTTTTGTCGCAATTTATTTACGATTATACCTGAAAGTGAAATCAAGTCCCAGGAGAAGGCTAACTTAACGACCATTATTTGAAAATGTACATGGTTCATGTACAAATAAAATCTCCTCCTCTTTCCTGTCCTTTAAGCACGTACTTTAAGTATGATTCAGACATATCATCTCTCGCCAGGAATAGCCTTGCTTGATGTTTAGTTGATTATACTGAAAATACTTTACACAGTTGTGTCTTAGTACGCTAATAATCCGAACGCTTAAGAAGAAATAAAATTAACAATTATATCTACCGATGATACTAACTACGTTTCAGTGATGGTATAACTGAAAGTTTACTGAAATGTGACTTAATGCAAATCAATCACATTTTCCAGACACTTCTGTGACCATTCAGTTGATTGAATAGCCGAGTTTCATTCTGTGCATGTTTGAAATTGACTTCCTCTGTATGCAGCTCCCAGTCAAGATGGACCGAAATTATCCTGTAACCAAATTAACTAATCCAGAAATAAAGCGTATCTATACAAAAGAAAACAATCGTAAATATTGTTAAAGAATAACTTGATTACTGCGTAAATTGTAAGAGGAGTTGTTGAGAGACCCCCTACAATGATTTTTGGGATGAAAGGAATGTATTACAGTAAAACACGCCTCTGGCGAATACGATTTTGCTTTGTTATAAGCGTAATTCGTTATATCCGTTAAGTTTATAATATATTTTAAACTCACAGGGAATAAAAATCACTTCGCTGTAAGCGTTGATTCATTATAAGTAATCAACATGTTTTACTGTATTTTTTAAACATCAGTCCTACAGAGCACAATGAATCCAATTCCAATCTGGTTACTAGGTGTGCAAGATTATGAGAACTTCTGGGAACCTGATTTTTGTAGACCAAATCCCCAACACTTACACACGATATGCCCTAGAACTATAATGAAAACTAAAAAAAACGTGTTATTGCAACAGGTTAATCAAATTCTAAAAGATTAGGTTACTGCATTTTAAAGGGTAAGTTTGGGAAGAAGATAGATATTTTTCAAGGAATGATCGGGAGGGAGAATGCCAGTACATGTAAATCGAGACAAGTACATAGCTTGACACTTAAGTGTACTAAAGTGTACTATAGGTGAACTCTGGAGCTGTTCACCATTCATTGGTGCGTAGGAGGACCCGCGGACCTTTGAAACATGAAATATTCGAGCTATTACTGTTCACAAATATTGAAAAATTCCAAATAATGTAGAGTCAAGGAAATATATGCAAGTATGTTAACATTCACTGAACATTTTTCCTTCATTTATAAAACAAACAAAAAAAACAACCCCCTCATCGGTTCACCTTCATCGCGCCATCGCATTATTTGCGCTTATGCGATTACATTATCTGTAACGAGGGAATTCCAGAGGTGGGATCAGGTGCCTAGGAAGACTAAACATCCCTTACCGATTAGTAACTACAAATGTGAGCTCTATGTACTGCTCAGGTGACTGGAACATTCCGTAACCAAAATCAGTACGCCTAACAATTGGTATGAAACAAGTCAGCCAAATTACGATCCACGTGCTAATAAGGTCATTATATAACGATTATAGAACTTACGATATTCTTACTTTAAATGAGGTTTTTGATATCCCTGTTACATCAACTTCTCTGCCAGCAGCCTGCCTCAGATTTAAAATTGATCAGGGCAAGGTACAGAGTATCGAATAAGTTTGAAGATGTACATGTAATTACGAAAATACAGGTGATAGCGGAATATAATTACATCAATGAGAGACGCTGACGATGGAGACATCGTTTATCACAGTTTGGTTGTTAGTCGGCCTCATCATCTTAAGTCAGTAAACACCCACGCACGAAACAAATGTGACAGACTCTGTGATATTTTTTATTTCAAGTTCAGGTGGATATATCAGATGCCATATGAATGGAAGTAATTTTTGTTAATCAATAAATACAACTATATGTACATCGTCGATTTGCTAGTATCTATATGTCGAGTGGTAGACCACAGCAAAATTTTCTTCTCATATATTTGAATACATTTTGCGTTATAGAAATAAACAGGTCGCTCGCTTAATAAAGGAGCACAATCAATGACCATCTGAATTCCAGCAGTTTGTTGAAAGAAGACTACATAGTTCTGTAGAGAATAAGTTATTTTTAATAGACAGACAGTCGGACAGAACCTATATGTCCCCATACTATCGATTACTGGGATATAAAAAGATTTTTCTTCTAAATATGAAAAAAAACTATATATAACTAGATCATTCTCGTCGCCTTGTTGTTAAGTAGTTATTGTACGTTTCACGGTAAATTAATTATTTTTAGGGATTTCATTAGATTAATGCAACCCTTTAGTTATTAAAATCACTTGATATCTGCATTTTTATACAATGTACTTGGTCAATTCCAACGCTCTATGTGTTTATCTTGTAATCTATTCCCCCTCCCTCCTACAGGTCAGCAAGGGACCCGTGCTTGAAAGATGAGTAATTACAGAAACCAGTCATACATAAAAAGAAACATCTCATGATATCATAATTTCAAGCCTCTATAACAAATGAGTGTAGAATATTATAAACGTTAGGACTAAATCAGCTCACTCATAAACAGACTTATCAGCTGTAAATTATTATTTACGTTTCACAGACAGAAATAATAAACAAAATATTATGTTTATGTTCAAAATACTTTCAAGATTTAATGATTATGGTATTTCCATATTGACAATATTATTGGTTCAAAGTAAAAAAAACAGCATTTATTTTCATGGAATATAGTGTAAATTAACTAATCATTACTAAAAATGTATATGTTGCCATTTATAAGTAAACAGAAGCATATGCCAGCATTCAATTCTAGTAAACAGTGTGGTAAAAATTATGTACAAATATTTGATATTACACTTGTTGAAAGACTCTCGTCCAAAAGACATATTTCTTTTGGGTATGAATTTAACAGATTATTAACAGATTTTGCCGAAAATCTATGATATCACAGGAGGATGGAAATACCTTAAATGTCCTACCAGCAGAACGAGAGCTTCAATGTTATCTGTTATCAGAGTCTTTGGTTAAAAGAGTCAATATAAGTACTCAAATACACAATGTACACGATTGACTACTTTCCTTTTCATAATAAAATAGTTAAATGTCTATTGTATATTTTCAGAACAAAGCTACACAAATAACAAAAATCACGATGTACTACTGATACCCACATGGCAGCTTATGGCAAAAGTACAAGTTTCTCAAAAGCAAGTCAAACTCGATGGTGAAGGTAAAAGAGTAAAACAAAACGCCCATGGACCACATCGCTCACCTGAGCACATTGGCTAGGACGAGAAAAGCAAAATTCACTTGTTTACACTGGGGGGGGGGGGGGGGGGCTTGAATTATAAACTACTTGATGATGCTTCCATATCAAAATAACAAATCTTTCCTGACCCAGTGGTTCTTGAGAAGATTTTTAAAGATTTTTCCTATATATTCTTATGTAAAACTTTGATCGTCAATTGTGACCCCGCCCTACTCCCGGGGGCATGATTTGAACAAGCTTGAATCTACACTACCTACATATTTTAATTTACACTACCTTAGGATTTCATCTTTCCTGGCCCAGTGGTTCTTGCGAAGAAGATTTTTCAAAGATGCCATTAATTTTTCGCAGATATTTAATTATCTCCCCTTGGAATAGGGTGTGGCCTTTCATTTTAAAAAACTTGAATCCTCTTCTTTCAAAGACACTTTGTAGCAAGTTTGGTTAAAACTGGCCCAATGGTTCTGGAGAAGAAGTCGAAAATGTGAAAAGTTTACAGACAGACCGACGCCGTACACAATGTGATCAATGAGACCCAAAGACAACACTGACTGTATAACCGTTTTTGTCATTTCCCAACCCTTTTCGTCACAGCTAATGTCGACCTCGATTCTTCACCCTAAAAATGTCACTATTCTTCTTCTTATCACAAAATCATTGATTTTTCTAAACTGAAACAAGAATAGTATTTATTTAGAGTTAATGCTGATGCTTTCTTTTCGGCAATTACACAGCAATCAGAGAGATATTGTTCAGTTTCTGGAACATTGGAATATTTCACTCAGTTCTCTGAATTAATGTAGCACTAAAGCTACTTCCAGAGGAGAAATAAGACTTTTTATGTGATCGCACCCAGAATCTGTCTCCTTTTTGTACTTCAATCACCACCGTGTTGCTTCCACACTCCGAATTATTGCTGTCCTCAGCGTAAGCAAATCCCACCCAGCGGTGACTGTAGTTCTTACACACCACTGCCCTAGCTATTAGACCCGCGCCCTGAGAACAGACCGTGACGTGAAATAGGTAAACACCGGAGTAAGTGGCCGTTAGAATCGAGTTCGAGACATCGAGTCCTTTTTCACTCCTGTGAAGAATGGATGGAAACATCAGGATATCTCGATCCTGTAGAGTCACTTCGCTATTTGTTTGAATTGTGAAGCCTGCTGACGTTTGGAGATTTAATTCTGAATTGAGAGAGAAAGAGAGTGAGTTTACCATGATTTTTGAGGATTAAATGATGTTAATAAGGTTATATATTTATTTCTGATTTAACATTTTTCAACCATTTTTACCTCTTAAAATATTTAATCCTAGATCTGTGTTGTTTTGGCGTACTGCTCTAATTTGATCCAGAAGACTTTGAACTTTTTGTTGACGTTGGCTTTGTGCTACAGATCTGGCAGCCATTACTCTCTCTAACCTACTGATATTTCCGGTGATCGACTCCATCTCGTGGTACAGTTTCCGGAACCGTTCTTTCTGATCAGCTGTCCTTTCCCGCTTACTATGAAGGGAATCATTTGCTTTATTCTGAGTTTCCTCTAGTCTTTTTGCCTCGGCTTGAACCATCGCCACTTCCTCGGTGTTGATTTTTGACGCCGTTTCATTTTTTAATTCAGCGACTTTTGAATTAAATCTGAATCAAATAAATTAAAATGTGAAAAGATACAACCAAGATCAAGATCTCTGAGAGTCTTGCAAAAATATATCGATGTACAGGTATCTGCTCCAAGGGTATGTGTAACATTCGTTTTACCCCGCAGGAAACCTGCAGTCAATCAGTTGTAGATGGATCCTAAAGTTTAGCATTTCCTTTTCTTTATTTAATGACCGATGTAATTAAACCGTTCATTCAGAAGTAAAGTGTATCGTTTAGTGATTTTGCAATATTCTTACATGTATTGCTAAGACTGACCCTGTAATATTTTTAAACCTCAGGAAATAGATCTGATCTCGGAAAACTGGCATCTCGCTAACTTCCTCGTGATAAAATTAACCAAGGTTTGTAACATTTAAAAATTCACCTTTTAAGGTTTTTCCATCCTCACAATTTTAATGGTTCGAAGTACAAAAACTGCATTCATTTTCATTTAATATAGTTTAAAAATTTACTTATTATTGCAAAAACTGTATAGGTCGCCATATTATTTTGGATAGAAGACATAAATAAACAGAAGTATATGTCAGCATAAAAAATTGTACATTTTTGTTGTTGTAAATATTATGACAAAAATTACATAAAAACTGGTTAACGTTCAAATCCATAATTCTGATGCTGAAAGTTCCTATATACTTCCTACTTCTAAGATAATTTTGAATTGTGAATACCAGGGAAACTATTTAGAATAAGAAGTACAATAAAGAAAATGCCTGAATGAAGATCGCTGAGAAAGAGTTATTGCCCTTGTCAACATTTTTTAAAGATTGAATAATTAATTCAAAAAAAGGAAATAAACATTTTTAAAATTCTTTTACTTAACAATATTTATCATTATACCTATTTAAAAGCATTCTTACAAAAATTTTTGTTCTACTTGGCATGGATTTAAATTAATTACAGTTTTTGCAAAAACCTATGACATCATTGGAGGTTGGAAATACCTTAATTGAAATAATAATAATAATAAAAATATCTCTTCAAGCATTGAAAATAAACTTTAAAAAAAATTCTGGGGCATCCCAAAATAACTTTAAAAAGATATAAAAAGGTCAGCGTGCGTTATTGTTGAGGGAGGAGGGGCTTGAATAAGATACCCTTCCTATATATACATGTACATGTAATATATACTATAGAACACTGGCAAAGTTTTAGTGGACATCCCAATATCCCGGTTCCCAGGATGTATACTAGATCTTTTCAAATTCGCTAGAATTTAAAGTCACAAATGTTCTTTGATCAAGTAGCTCTGATAAATGTTCCAAATTCAAGTTTTGTCAATATTCGTGAAAATATATTTCATTTTACTTTGGGGAAAATATTACCTTATGAGTTGGAGCCCGTTTTTGTCGATTAGAGTTTTAAATTCATCATAGTTGGAGGAACACTGATCATGGTCAACCGTCAGCCAGTTACTTCCCAACGCTCGGAATATGCAGACAAGTAGAGCCAGAATTTTGATGGTCATTTTACTGACTAACTTCCTTCTTCAGAGGTTTACGCGTCAATTAATAGAAAAGATTTATGTTTACTCCTTATAAAATTAGTGGGATCGACTTACTAAGTGAGATGTCATTACGGGCACTCATATCATGAATGAAGTGGATGGAATATATAAAATGGAGAATGAGGAAGAAAGATAATAATTATGCATTATGTTGACCTAAAAAGTACTCATATCTGATATTTGAGATTTTTTTGTGGAAGTTCAGTTTTAAACGTCCCAGAAGTTGTTATGCATCTAAAAATTTAAATTAGCAAAACAAATTATGACCTTGGTCATATTTTTCTGAGGAAAACACATTTCGAATATTTCTCTAATTAAACAAAAAATAATTTTGTCTAACTATATTGTAGCTTTACTTCTTATAAGTTTATCAAACGACAACAATTCGTTTTGAATTATGGAAAGAATGTTGTTTTGGGATTTTTCTTTGAAGAAAACAAAATTACTATTTCTCACAATTATTTATTATCTTACATACTGAGAGGATATAATTTATAAAAGATAACAATGAAGCTAAGATATGAAAAAAAAAAAGAAAAATATATGAATGATACATACAATGTAAAGACAAACCTAATGCATCAATATGATGATAAAAATTCATCAAGATTGGATGTCAACTTAACATAGATGAAAATGGTTTTATATTTCTATAGTTTTGTTATAAAAAATGATAGTCTGACTTTCTCAAGGGTCTGTCCTTATCATATCAGAGTGCAGTATTATCACTTTTGTGTTTCCTCCATGCTCAGTATGAGGCTGACTTGACTTAACTTGAAATTTATTTAGTGTTCTTTGTTGGATGTCCCGAGTGTAAATAGTTGCTCTGTTGTACTCCTCCCTGTTCTGATGACAGTTTGTTCCTCAAGCACCTTTTGTCCCACTCCACAGGATCCTATGTATCACTTGCAGAATACTTATATATAACTAACCTCTATCATATCAAATATCCATTTATTGTGTTCCTCTGAGACCTTTATACCATACCAATGATATAGTTTCTTGTTTCCAAAATGCTATTTAAAGTTTTTCTAAATATCCTGTTGTTGCCTCTAAGTCAGCTTGAAACATCTTAGCTGTTGCAGATGTATTCCATCAACTCCTCTATTTTTTTTTAAAGTTTTTTTTTAAATAGCTTTGATCATTTCTTCTTTCCGTATGGGGCTTGTATCTATCTCATCTACTTATTCTACTACCTGTCCATTAATTTCAACTTTTAATAGATGCATTTATAATATGTGGGCGGTTTTGTATTTTTTAAAGTACTCTTTTCACCTTTTCTTTCTTTTTTTGTCTTGTCCTCTTTGTACTTTATTGCTATTGCCATGCCTTTCATTTCATTACTTTTCACTCTCGTTATCTCATACAATTTTCATGTGCCCATCGGTAAGTGACTGCTTTCTACTCCCGTAATCATCTTCTGTCCACATTATCCTGTCATTCCTCATGCTGCGTTTTACCTCTCTGTCTTTGATGTAAAGTTGTTTCTAAAGCTTCTATAGTGACGTGCCACAATTGATGCATCTTTTTCCTGACGTCATTGTTTCTAGACAAACTTTCTTGCCTTTTTAAACCATCATAACCAATAAACTATAAAAGGTACTTACTTGATATTTGCATTATTTAGTGAAATGACCTTTAGCAGAATTAACAGCAAGTAATCTCCTTTGAATTGTCCGGTATAAGTTTCTAATATAAGGGACAGTTAGAGTGGACATTTTAAATGATGTTGAGGTCAGGTGACTGTGATGGCCAGTCAAAACAATCTAAATTATTCTCACGTTTCCAAGCTGTAGTCATTTGTGAGGCATGACAGGGGGCATTGTCATCCTGGGATAAAAATGACGAATTTCCAAAATGTTTTGCAATGACTGGCCATAGATGTTCATCTAGAGTCTCTATATACCTCTCGGAATTCATATTAAAATTTCCAGTTATTGGAACTAATGTCCCCATTCCTGAATAAGTCACACATCCCCAAAACATAGCGCTCAACTTTACATTGCCGCCATGTTGACCAACACACTCTGGACGATACGCTTCATCCTGTGTTCTCCACACATACAGACGATTTTCATTTGATATAACTATCCGAGTTTCATCTGAAAAAAATCAATTTTCTCCAATAGTCATCAACTTTATGATTTTTCATATGTTTACACCATTGAACACGACGTTTTCGGTTCACTTCTGACACGGTGAGGGTCTTTCTTAATTTGTGTCTATGAATTCCATGAGAATGGAGTTTCCTCTGAACAGTTCTAACAGAAACTTTGTCCGTAGCATGTTGGTTGAAATTATCCACAATTTCATTCAAAGTCTGTCTTCTATTCTTCTTCACAGTTCGGATCAAAATTCTCATCAATCAGACTCTTCCTACCTCTGTTATTCACAAGCCTAGAAATTGTACATTTATTCACAGAAAATATTTCTACCAAATCAATTTTTTTTTTTCATAAAAATCTAAAGCCAGTTTTCTTTGCTCCTCTGCCATTTCTTGTCGTCTGCTCTCCATTGTTTACAGTGAGAGCATTAGAGTTTAAACAGGGGAAGCGACTGAAATTGGGTGCAAGGGGAAATCATACCCCATATAATTTGTTTCAACCCTAATTGGTTTTTAAAAGTGTGTTAATTTAGAATTACATCTCAAAATACACAGAAAATAAAAACAATTTTGGCATGTCACTGTATTTAACATTTCTGATCTGCTGTTGGTAACTAAGTTTGTATTTTATCTGCTTCCTTTCTTCTACCATCATCCAAGAATATATGTTTATCCAAGGTTTTTGTCTCTTTTCGTTTACTCCAAGTGTACTGTCTGTTGTTTTGAAATCTTTTATCAGACTTTCCCAGATTTCTTCAACATTTTCCTCCCACTGTGGGACGTGGAGACTAGTCCTTCGGATGAGACCGTCCAAATCGAGAAGCACTTCTAGCACTTGGCTCAAACGTGAATGACTTCTAGCACTTGGCTCAGACGTGAATGACTTCCTTTTCTCTAGCAGTTGTAGTTTTGTGACATCGTATTTCTTTCTACGTGTGTCTGCATTTTGCTCTCGTTTCTTCAATTTTGTTCTGATCTTGCTCCTTCTCAGTTTATTAATCACCGCTTGCATCAGCTCCTGTCATGCTCTTGTATCTTAAATGGCTATTCTATGTTGTTTTGATAGAAGCATATGAACAGTTTGTTTTTAGGTTTTTCCATCAAGTTAAGTTAGATCCATGGGATATTGTGTCTTGATTTATAGCCTCTAATGGCCTATGTTGTTGCTGCCAAACTTTGCATTGAAATCTCCAATAATGAGCAGTATGTCATGTTTTTGTATGATTTTTAATGACTTCCTGTAATTTTTACATGAATGCTTCCTACCTCCACTCAGAACTTTTTTTGTTCCACAATCAGGCTTATTTTTTATAATTGATGTAAAGAATCTTGCGCACTTCAATCTTTCATTTATGGGTGTCCATTCATTCAGTTACGTCTTAGTTTTCTATGTCAGCACTATTCTACTTCTTAATGTAATCCATCCTCTCTTCTAACAAGTTTTCCACTTTGCAGTGTAGTTTCTTAAGTTGTAGCCCAGTTAAATCCAGTCAGTATCTCTCCATCTCCTGTTCCAGTCGCCTGGGTGGTTAGAGCGTCTGCTCTAGAGTCACGAAGTAAGGAGTTGATCCTTGCGTCGAGGGTTCGAATCCCACTATATAACTGATTGTACGAGGGGAATTTCAAAAGTTCTGTAACGTCCCTCTCGAGAATTTTTAGCTCATATGGAGACGCCTCCACTTGTCGGTAGGGAGCGCTAGCTGCAAATTGTTTTCCTATGCTCAGCACTAAGGGCCATTGAGTAGTGAGGGATCGTTTTCGTAACAGCACCTACTGCGACACAAGACCTCAGTTTATAAGGTCTCAACAGACGGACCGTTCTCCACAACCCACCGTGGGAATCGAACCCGCAACCTAAGGTTCATCTCTTAAATCGCAACTTTACAGTAGAAGCTCTAACCAGTGCGTCACGCGGGTACGTGACGGGGTATGTATTGTGATATAGACACGTTTACATAAATAAAATTGGTTTTTCCAATACCTGAGCCGAAGGCTCAAGTAAGCTTTTCTGAGCAAAAATTTGTCCGTTGTCTCTAATCGTTGTTGTAAACTTTTCACATTTTCATCTTTTTCTCAAGAACCGGTGGACCAATTTCAACCAAACTTGCCACAAATTATCCTTAGGTAAAGGGGATTTAAATTTGTTCAAATGAAGGGCCATGCCCTCTTGCAAGGGCAGATAATTATGAATATGTGAAAAATTAATGGCATGTTAAAAAAATCTTCTTCTCAAGAACCACTGGACCAGGAAAGATGAAACTCATGTGGAATAATTCTCAGGTAATGTAGATTCAAGTTTGTTCAAATCATGACCCCCGGGGATAGGATGGGGCCAAAATAGCTGATCAAAGTTTTACACAGAAATCTATAGGGAAATCTTTTAAAACGTTTGTTCAAATCATAACCTCCAGGGATAGAATGGGGCTACAATGGCCAATGGGGGGTCCAAGTGTTACATTAAAATATATTTAAAAATCTTCTTCTCAAGCAAATCAAAGCCATGATTAGTGATACCAGTATTTATATGGAAGCATTCTCAGGTTGTGTAGAATTAAATATACTGAAAGGAAAAAGAAACGCAGGGTAGCATAAAATTCGAAAACTTTTTGACCGCAAAACCGAAAATTACGAAAATTGGTCAGATGAGAAATTTAGTTACTCTGCACCAAAATCAATGTTCAGAATTACTCAACCGTAAAATGTATGACGTCATGTAGGGAAAACGGTAAAAAGCCCAAAACACGTGCAATTTGATAACGACGAGTTTGTCAACAAATCTTGTTGCACCATTTGATGCACCTGAGGTATACACATTGTTTTTCAATATTTAGAGACGATATGAATTTCTTGCAATCTTAGTACAGTTTACGGAACTTCAGTGGGGTCAAATTTTCGAATTGCCTAATTAATGAAAAAGGTAACAACGGGTAACTAAGCAGTTTCTTGTAAATTTTCCCCCATAAAACTTGT